GTTGTCCTTTCGCATTGGTAAATACATACTGCGTTATTCTAGGAGTTTCCGCACACACACATTAATAGCATACTCAGCACGCTCAAATGACGCATATGTTCAAACCAATGAAGAAATGAAAAATAACAACGTGTTGAGTTCATTCAATTGAAACGGATGCACACTTCGAATGTGGTTGTAAAACAGCTTGTTTACGCCATTGCATTTCAAATTATAGTGCAACAGTAGCACGATTTTGTCAATTTTCTCGCATTTGTTCGCGTAAATTACGATTCCGTTAGAACAACTACAGACAGTTTGTTTGTAATTTAATGAAAAATATTACTTTAGATATGCTAAAAAATGTAAACAAAAGAGTACCCAGAATCGAAACGAGCAGACGCTGCCGCTTGAAACTTGTGAAACAACAAATCTACAACGACGAAAGGAAAACGATTTGGAATATTTTTTTCTTAATAAATTAAAATGTCTGTACACATTGGCTGAATGCGCTCTTTTCTCGGCGGCAGAAATCCAAAACAATGAACATATCCGTCGAAGATGTAAGTGTTCGCGCACTGAATGTGTGCGATAGCGTAATCCAAACGATGGAAAAGTGAAAACTCAGCAAACATCGACACAAGCGCCCGAGTCATTGAAATTTTATACAACTTTTTTTCGGTTACGCTGATAACGTCACGTCGACAATAATAATTTGCTTGGCATGTTCATCGCACGTAATTTTACGATACCGAAATTGAAACATTTACAAACCTACGTCAATCGACTACAATATATATGTATGCACAAATAATAATCATTTTGAAAATGTGCAACTATCAATGTTTCTATCCCGCTCTTTCTTTCTTTCCGTTCATTTCAACTCTTCAACAATTCGTAGTCGTAATATGCATCGTGCCATGGATGAGATGCAAAATGCAATTACAAGCATCTATTTCGGTTTCATTCGAATCTTGTGTATGCGGTCACTGATTTTCTGAGAGTATAATTCACATAATATGCGAAAAGATAAACATTTGCAAACTCGATTATTTAATACACGACCCTCTCTCATTTTGTAGCCTTCCCCTCGAGCATACAGCATGCAACACTTGACGGCAGTCTATGTATTTCGAATGGATATCCATCCGAGATATTTTAGAATATCTGGATATTTAACGCAACTGCACAGAGCCAGAGCTGTGTGCGTCGCACATATAATCTACGGTATGTCGCTACACGTAAAATACAGACACAGTGTGACTGTGTACGTGCGGCACTTGATACACATATACATCGCGACATACCATAGATTCTATTTGCGACGCACACAGCTCTGGCGCTGTGCAGTTGCGTTGAATATCCAGATATTCTAAAATATCTCGGATGGATATCCATCCGAAATACATAGACTGCTTGACGGCATACTTATACTTTCTGCCAAAAGTTTAGAGTTTAGACTCATCATTACATTTTTGGAGTTAAAAAAATTGACATTTTCTATGCATTTGGAAAAGTTCAGAATTTTTATAATGATATTCAATTGAATTCCATTAATGGAATTTACCTATTGTAATAAGCAAATATATCCGACTTTTGGCCGTCAGTGTTCATAAAGCGTGCAAAGCTCATACAATCTATTTCATTTTTAGTTCCATCAAGATTTCTACATAAACAAACACATAGTTATTAACAAACAAGCCTATACGATGGATAGAGAGTCTCTATCAGAGGAAGAGACAGAGACAAAGAGAAAGAGAAAAGAGCACACAAACGTTAGAGTGATGTACACATTTTTTTGCTCCTGTTTGAGTGCATTGCAATATGTTACGTTTACTTTAATGAATCAGTCGGCAATCTGCACAAAATGCTCTGCTATAGAAGTTATGCTCGTGTGGATGCTGTTGTTTGTATTTTCCATAGTGGATTTGGTGTGTGTCTGCTTTTTTATCTGCTGCATTTATATGTGTAGCACACTTTTAGAGCCATTCAGTGATGAATGGCTCCATTTGCATTGCACTTCAGATATACTTTTAAAACGTCCTCTGTGAGTACGATGCATTATATAACAATGCAATTGTTTTCGGTTTTAATCTACTCTTCCTTTTTTTCATATACTCACGAAGAGATTGAACGGATTTGGGTGGATTGAAATATTGAAACATGGTTTTTTATTTAACGCCATCCTATATTTAATTCACTCTATTTCGTAGTAGTCTCTTTTCGATTAGTGCTTGCACTTTTCCTGAAAAAGGTATATATTATATATACATCATTTGTAGACTAGGAAGCCAGAGCTATATTTTGAGGCTTTTTATAAAATACATAGAAAATAAATGCTCTGAGGTGGTGAATTTATGGAATTACTTTGGATTCGCTGCAATTAAGACCACTGCGGAAGAAAAAAATGGATAGAAGTAAGCAAGTGGAGATGACGATATACCAAAAGCTTTGCCAAAATATAAACATTAACTCGACGATGAAAATCGGAAGGTCGTAGATATTTCGTGCGGTTTGACTTATTTGGGTTGGAAGTCGAAATAGTAATAGTCATGAAAATATCAACAAAGCTTAGCTGGAATATTCATCCCCACTTAACGAGAGCAAACTCCAACCGAATATAAATATTAAATGATGTTAAGACAATTTTCTTCTCTATTACATAAATTGTTCATATTTGATGCTAAGTTTGTCTTCACATCCGTCACATTCGGAGCGATCAGTTCACGCTCCAAATACTTTCAGTATTTTATGTCATTCCAAATTTGTGCCGTTTTTATCATTTTGAATGCGTGCACGTTAGAAATTTATCCACAACGCGCGTCCTCACCACATTCTTTAAATTCATTTGGAACCACAGCATTTTGTTAATACATTATGTGTCAACGGAAACTTTGCATTTTGAATGCATAATTGAACAACAGATCATGGAAATTGACCTTTTTAATCAGATGAATAAGTTAACAGAGTAATCGAATGCATAAACATTTGTAAAACAGCGTAAACCTGATAGATTTTGTTTTGAAAAGCAAAAAAAAGACTTTTAAAACTGCATTCTTCTGCAAGAATTTCTGCCAAGATTGATATTCTATAAAGCAATGTAAAACTTTGTGCGCATTAATAAATTAATTGGTCTTCATCTCAATTGAATTTGAAATGCAAGTTTTTAATTAAACTCGAGTCGATGCATTTGCTATTACGTAAAACTGAAGAGTTCTTTTGATTCAATATACTGATAAAATAAACAAACTAGCCACGAAATTGCATTGAGCTTGAACATATACAAACTGACACCCCAAGAGTTAAAATGAACATTTTACTGAATTCAAATTGTGACGAAAAATTGTACGAAAATAAAACGCAAAATTCAGTATTCGCTGCGGTTCTTTGCTCTTCTGGTGCCAATTAACTTTAATCGTTTGCATGTTTAATAACAATTTCTAAATTTGTTGGGCGTCAAATTGAAAACAGCAAATGTACACGATTTACATAGATCACTTACACACACACACACATGCTCGCGCGCGCACGTTCAGGCAAAAGAGCTTTTCAAGTTCTCTCTTTTATTTGTGCATATTTATTTTTTTCAATTCAAACAAAACAAAACGCCTTAATGAATTCCAATTGATCGCCTCATGATGAGCGACGATTAAAACCATTTCACGATTTTAATTAGACTAGAATATATGTAGAATGTCGTGAGATCGTGATAAAACATTGCTTCCATTCTAATGCGCTCAACTTGCTAAATCATGTTGAAAAATAGATTTTCAAACCATTGGATCGTTGTTTCGGAAGCAGATTTATAATGTCGCACTTATTCAAAGCAATTATACACAATCAAAGCATTTGGAATTTTATCATTCAATGTAATTGAGAAACATGACAAAAATACTGTTTGAATGTTGATGCCAAAACCGAAAACGCATCTGTAGAGAAAATAATTAAAACAAAAGACAATTCATGGTTTCACTTTCAATTGAGGAATTTCTTAATTGACTGATAAATGACTGTCTGATTAACTCATTCATTCGATGCTTTTAATGATGACAACCACACACTCATTGTTTGATATGTTCGACAGATATATTTGCATAAACGTTCTTGCTAAAGTGTTGATTGCCATTTTAGAAATTAATATTAATTTAATTCGGTTTCAATTAACCGAAACTTTGTTTTAATGCATTCGTGTTTGTCAGTTTTACGCGATTGCACTGCTCTTTAACTACGTAACTTTTCCACTTTTCACAATGATAAAGTTTTTTGCTAAACTAAAGCAATAAGTGAACGATAACTTTGAAATTCGGGGGAATCTGAAGAATTTTGCAAATAAATTCGTTTATTTTCTCAATATGAATCTCTTGCGACTTGTAGAAACAACAATTGCGACAAGATATGTCATGATACAAAATGTTCAACATAAGTTTTACACTTCATCAATAAACCATAAATTATTACACACTTACTCCAAGTTTTGTCATGAAAATAAGGATATTTTTCATGTAAAAACTTTTTCGCATACACGTGAACTGCAAATGAAATAGACAAATGAGTGAGAGAGAGAGAGAGAGAAGAAAGTGGGAGGAGAGTGATGTAACGTATGAGAAGCCAATTACTATCAACAAACGTGTATGTGTATGAGTAATACACGTGCAAATTGACTATAAAGTAACATCGTTAGCGTTTTTTATGTGCAATGACAATCAATTAATTTCCCTTGTAGCCTGTCATTTAACCTTGTGTGTTTCTGTTTGTTTTGCGGTTGGTTCATCCGATTTATCGTGTATCTCCAATCTGGATTTAATTGTTCATAGTTTGTCATAATGGTTTTTGTGGTTGTATATCGAACCGTTTAACCTACAACAAACCGATTTATTTACGCAATTTATCCCATACTGTCAATATTCTGTATCCTTCATAAAAAGTCGATAAAAAAATTAAAATGGATTTTGAGAAAAATGAATTGAGAGATGAATGGTAACATTGACCCAAATACTGTTTTCTGTTTTCTCTGCACACAGCACAAACACATACAATAGGTCAGTTAAGGAAAATCTGTCCAAATAATCACATATTTTACTCGACGCTGAAATTGCTGACCGATTGGAATGAATGTCAATGCGAATAACGGTGCGAAAATCAAAATACCCGAAAATATTAGCCGCTAAAGAAACTGGATATAAATTGAACGAAACAAAATTTGTGGCGAATTATTCGAGTAAAGCAGAGAAAACACACATTTAATACTCAGCAGGATGTCAAACAATCGCACATCGATTTCCGATAGAACACCGTCGCACCGGCAACTGCACGGCGAACCAGATAAACAACATAACCATGAACAAATGAATGCGATGACAAAAAGCAACAAACACTCCAGCCAAAATCATCATCTTTCTTCACATGAAGACTGCGATATCATCGGGGAAATCATTGGCAAATACGGGAAATATCAATTTTTTATGACATTTTTACTATCTTTATTCCAAATACCAAACACATTTCACATATCTTCGCCCATTTATCAAGTAAGTACAACCATCGAACATATTTTTTTTTTGTAATTTTCAACTCATTTTGGCATGTAGTATAGAAATAGTTACGGGTTTTGATTTGGTTTTCATCTTGATGTCAATGCAATGAAATGTTTCATCTGTAAAAAAAACTAAAACGAAAAACCAAATGTAATTTGGATGGAAATGCACTAACAAATTGAAAGTGGAAGTTAATAGCTTCATATAAATGCACCGACGTGGCGTTCTAAAATTGATTTTACAATGTGTTTAAACACAAAATCGTAATCGATGAAATGTTGGGAAAATTCAAGATGACAAAATCTAACGTTTTTAAACTGAATTTCTAATTACTAATCCATTGACTTCACATTTGACATAATTTCAATTCATTAAAATTTCTTGTGATTATCGACAATTCGTCAATAATTGCGATTTGATTGGAAATAGCGATAAGTGACGTTTTAAGCATCGAAAATTCATTGATTTTAAAAAACATTTAAATAAACTAAAATTAACGCCATTTAGTGACATTTGTTTTTTCTCGCGGAACCCTGCTGCTATTTTTTTTTTAAATATTTATTATAATTGATTTATGTTTGAAGGCAGCCGATAAACATTTTTGGTGTAAACGTCCAGATAATTTGAGTCACATCGATATCAATGTATGGCGAAACCTAAGTGGACTAAAAAGCTGCAGCATAAGTAAACACAACTGGAATCAGATAACAAACACGCATATGTTGGTAAGGTCAATTTTTACATATAAATTCCAAAATTTACGTTGATTTTTGGTGTATGTGTGTGTGTGTTAATTTTGGATAGTCTCCATTAAAATTCGTTGCTATATTTCGGTTTAACCAATAAATTCTGTATCATTTTGGTGAATTCGGTTTATGAAAGGAAGCGCTTGTTCAAAATACAACGGATCCCATAAAATGTACCGAATGGGAATTCGATATGGCTGATAATTTGGGCAATACCTGGACATCCCAATGGAGTTTGGTGTGTGACAGTGAATATTTGAAAAATGTGGCCGAAATGTTTTTTCTCGTTGGTGTCGCATCAGGTGGCATTATAAGTGGATATTTATCGGATAAATTTGGCCGACGAACGATGCTGTTTTGGTCGGTGATCTTTCAAACGATTTTCGGTATACCAACATTAAATAAGAATCAAAAAAATATTTTAAAAAAAAAAAATACGGACATTTAAAATAACAACTTTTTCTCCATATCTTCTTTTCCAATGAACAAAAATAGGTATTGTTCTTTACATTCCATTGTCGTTTCGAGTGCATTTAGCGTTACGTGGTTTGCTCGGTTTGGTATCGGTCTCAGTCACATATGCCGGTCTTATATTGGCCATTGAATTTGTCGACGGCAAATGGCGAACAATTGCTGGAATGTACAATTTATTTCCATTGCCCGTTTCATACATGTTAATCTCGGGCATTGCTTATCTTACGCAAGATTTTCGTGTTTTACAACTATGCATCGCAATTCCTGGCATCTTTCTGTGCTTTTTATGGTAAATTATTATGCAACTTGATACATAAATACGATTAAATGCCACAATGCTAACATTCTTTCCTTTTCATTCGTTCATGCATTCTACTTTCGTTTCTTGAATATATTAGGTTTGTGATCCCAGAGTCGCCTCGATGGCTACTGTGCAAAGGTCGAACCGCCGAAGTGGCAACAATCATTCGAAAAATATGTGCAGTCAATAAACGTGAATGTCCGCCAAATGTTGAAAAACTGTTGAAACCGCCTCCATCCGCTGACAAAACGAACGATGGATGCATTTCGTTGTTTGGCAATTCGTACTTACGTTTAATAACCATTTGCTTTCCTTTGATTTGGTTCACCATCAATTTGGTGTATTACGGTCTGATTTTGAATATGAACAGCTTCGATGGAAATGTTTATTTGAATTCGGTAAGTATTTTTTCTACTTTTACTTCATTCGCTGAGTGATAATTTTTTTTGTTTCAAAACAACAAATTAAATGCTGAACAAAAATGCTCTCTCTCTGTCTCTCTCATTGATATGCATTCTGCGATTGTCGTTGTTTTTGTCATTGCTTCAGAATGTTTTTGTTCAAAATAATATTTATTGTCGACGACAATTTGCCGTTGTATATACGGTTGACGTGCATCGATGTTACGTGGCTCGTTGCCAAAAGTCAGTCGCACAAACAGAACAATATTTCGTTGTATGTTTTGTATTGTTGTTTTTTCTTGTAGGTAAATGCATATAAAAAAAAATGACCGTAGCACCGTCGAGAAGTCAATAGTCTTGAGCTATGTTGTTTTTGCTTTATCATCAAGTGAAAACGAAATGCCGAAATTTCTCAATTTACACATCGGCTGGTATAGTTGGCTCTCACAAAGATCATTTTTCTTATTTTGTTATAAATTGACTCTTTGACCATTTTGGTTAGTCTCTTCTACAACAATTCCAATGGATTATTGGTCAAACTCTATACATTTTTTAAAAATAATGTTTAATGGAAACAAAGCAAACGAAGTAGTCCAATGAAATCATCATCTTCATTTGATTGATATTGTTTATTAAATTGTTCTGGCTTTCGTCATATGGATGCAAATAACTGAATAGCGCCATCTAATAAAAGCATTTTTAATGACATGCTTTAATTGATTTGGCTGTTAACGATGTGTATATTTATAAAAAGAAGCGTTAAATCAGTCATTCAAAGGCGTTACCTGCTTATTTCTTTTCAAAACTGTGAATAAAAAAAATGAACAACCAAAATCAAATCCATCATCGATTCGTGTCTGAACAATGTTATGTATTTTCGGTTTTATTTTATCTGTGTATTCATTTTTTGGGGTGTGAAATGGTGAGAATTATTCTTTTTTTAAAAATGTGTTGTTTCAGTGTTCTTTTACTTATAAAAAAATAAATTAATCCTTGCTATTGTAATCATTTAAATAGCTCCGATAAAATATCAGCTATCACAATTCTATATTGTAAATTACTTCTAAATTCGAACGTTTGAAATGAATTGAAAAACATGGGCTTGGTTTTTTTTAACATTGACAAATAAAATATGTGAATAAACTTACAAAAAAAGGAACAAAAAAGAAGAAATAAAAGTGTATGAACGGAGGTGGTTGGAATAGAGAAATTCAATCTAAATTAACTAATTGCCATTTTTTTGACGGGTGAAATCATGTTTTCGGCTCGATTTTGATCTTTCATGCCCAAAGCCATGGTCAAAATTCGTACCATACATTTGTGATTTTGTTCGTTTGATTCGCCATTTTCGTCCGTCTCATCGTTGGTTGTTACTTCACGTTCCAAGTTGAGTTTCTCTTTGGCCACCATTGCCATTCCCTCTTCGATTGTTCCCTCGGCAATGAAACGATAAATTGTCACTGGTTTTGTTTGGCCCATACGATGACACCGATCTTCGGCCTGTTTATCATTGTACGGATTGAAATCGATGTCATGTATAATAACGGTGTCGGCTGCGATTAAATTAATTCCCAAACCACCGGCTTTGGTCGATAGCAGAAATACAAAAATATCTTCATTTGCAATGTATTCATCGATGATGGTTTGTCGTTCAACAACGGCCGTCTGCCCATCGAAACGCAAGTACTGATGATTTCGAATATCCAGATATTGTTCCAAAATGTCCAGCATCATTGTGAACTGACTGAAAATAAGCACACGATGACCATCCGCTTTTAGTTGCGGCAACAAACGATCTAGCTCACGAAATTTACCCGAATCGACAATCAAACGATCGGGAATTTTGAAACCGGTTATGTCATAGTCTTGCAATGTTTTATAGAGTTGAAAATCAGATAGATAGGCCAATTCTTCGAATACATATTGTGGATTGCGATTCTTTTTGTAATTTGGATGACGCGATAGAATTTCGGCGATTTCATGGACTTTTTCATCGCTGTAATAATAACGCAATAGAAGTGGATGATTGGCCAGTTTTCTCATATCCATCATTATTGAAATGCCTTTTTGTTCGTTTGTCGCTTGTACGATACCGTCGTCGCTCGAATACAATTGCACCAAATCCATGTAATTTTCTTTCTGTGATTCAGTTAACGGCACCTTGACAACAACATCTTTTTTCTCCGGCAAACAGGTCAGAACAACATCTTTCAAACGACGCAACACAAACGGTTTCATAATCTGTTTTGCTTGTTCAATTTGATTCCTTTCAAATTCCGACAATTCTTCGCCTTTGAGTTGTTTGGTTTTCTGAAACAGATTTTTTATGTCATCGGTATTGTTGGCAAACATTGACCTTTAAAGATAAAAAATAAATAATTAAAATAAAAATAAATAATTTATTAATATTAATAAATTAAATAATTCAATTAATTTACGGCATGACGAAGCACAATAATGACATCAATTCGAGTAAATTATTTTGCAACGGTGTTCCGGTGAGTAACAAACGGTTTTCGGCATTTATCTGAGCCAATTGAATGTATCGTTGTGTGGTCATGTTCTTTAACATATGCGCTTCATCGAAAATAACGTAATGCATTTTTGTGACCCGGAACATTTTTCGTTCTTCTGGCGTTGAAGCAACCATGTGATATGTTGTAAGCAAAACATCAACACCTTTCAATCCACCCTTCGACCATTGAATACGCAACGAACGACGTTCATGTTGGCTACCGTAATATTTTTCAACAATTAACGCTGGACACCACTTGGCCAGTTCGTTATCCCAATTGTCTAAGGTCGATGATGGAACGACAATTAAATGTGTACCACACGATTGATTGGTTTCTTTCAAATACGCCAAAAATGCAATCACTTGAATTGTCTGTGAATTTTAAGAAATAAAATCAAAATATCGAAATGAAAACAATCAAGCCAAAAATGTGTTACCTTTCCAAGGCCCATTTCATCAGCAAGAATTCCATTCATCTTCTGTGAGTGGATAATTGCAAGCCAATTTAATCCAACTAGTTGATAGTCGGCCAACTTAAGATCATGATTCAATAATGATGGTTGTTTCACCACTTTGTCGCCTTTCGATACAGCCTCTTCCAATTTGTGCACCAATTTTTTGCACTTTTTCATAATGCGATCCATGTTATTGCGCTGATTCAAATATTCTTGAGCTGAATTCAACATGTCCATCGACAGTAATTTGTGCGTATCAATTTTGTACAATAAATCGGTCCAATCGGTGAATGGTCGCAATGGTAGAAGTATGTCAATTTTTTTCGCCGATAAACTTTTCACGGCCATCATTTCGCCAGTTGTGCCGGTGTTCAAGAATTCCAACACTTTCTTTCGGTCTTTTGTCATTACAAATGTTGTTTCAGCATCACTATCTTCATCACTGTCGTATACACGACTCGATTGACGATGATTATCATCGCCACTGCTACCGCCTGACTCGTTATGCTTTACACGACGTTTTTTATGCTATTTTCAAAATACAAAATAAAACATAAACATTCAGTGTTTTGAAAAACGAGATTATGATTTGTTTTTTTTTGTCCGAAACAACAACAATTTTTTTTGATTAATTTACCTTGGGTTTTGGCGTTGGAGCCGCGTGAACTTCCTTATTGGGTGAATTTAATGAAGAGTTCAGCGAAGCATTTGGCTTTGGTCGGAAATCAGGACTGGCCTGTGTACTAGTGTTTTTATACTTTGGATTTTCGAGTATTGCATCGTACGCTTTCTGAACATCCCAATCATTTCTTATGAGAAAATCTTGTAAAGTCAATGAATCTACAGTTTGATCGATAATCTCGCGAAATATTTTGTATCGTTCTTCTTTATCTTTGGTAGTTAGTCCCGTTTTAGCAGTGCCATTTTGTGTTGGTTTTTGTGGTGATGATGCTTTCTTTGCGTGTTCATCATCCGAACTGTCACTCATTGCACGGATCCTCTTACGTCCCGTTGCCAATTTATTCGACGAACCACTGGCTCCATTCATACCTTTATTCACTCGAAAATTACGCAATTCACTCAACGAACTCGACATTTTTTTGTTTATTTTCAAACCAATTTTATTTTACTAAAAAAAATATCTTGAATTTACTACTTAAAAAAAATTCAACTAAACACTTTCAATAAATTCGGCTTGAAACACAAATTCACATTGAGCACTTAATTTTATTGAAAATCTTAAAAATATTTTGCTAAATTTGATGAGCTAATCAATATCACCATGTGAAAATACCATTCACACAATTCGATAAACCAAAATATGTCCAAAAAAATGTCCAATAGAAACACAATTTAAGTCCAAATTAAATTTTGTGAACGTATAAAAACTACAAGAGAAAATCGTATACTGACGTAGAATGAAAGAAAAAAAAAGTGAGAAGAGAAAACGCGCGTTGTACAATGACAATTCTAATAGATGCTCTGTATTGAATGCGAGAGTATTACTCTATACTACCGCTTTTTTCTCTCGATCTTGGCTTGCTATTCACAACTACATAAACACCAATTTTTAGAGAATTAGAACAGCTGATGGTTTGACATGAAAATGACAAAACGCCGCTGTGCACAACGCCATCTCTGGCTCAACGTGAAAACTGGACCATTGAACGTTATATCCAACTTCTTACTGCTTTTCCAATTTGGCTTACATTTTTTAATATGTTTGTTTTTGTAAATAATATTTTTTGTTGAATTTTTAGGCTTTGGCTGGTCTAGTCGAATTACCTGCGATCGGAATTGCCATTATCATTATCATGTGGGTTGGAAAAAAATGGATTTTATTTTCAACAATGTTTTGCGCTGGTGTTTCCTGCTTATGTATTACATTCATCGGAAACAATTCAAGCATTCAATGGTTGAAAATTACCTTTTTAATGTTAGGTGGGTATTAAAAAAAAACCTTTCAATTTTATCAACTATTTCGTTCAATAATCATTTAATAAATTGATTTGTTGCTGCAGGAAAATTTACAATTAGCGCTGGAAACACTGTAATGCCCGTTTATACAGCCGAACTGTATCCAACGGCCATTCGAAATGCCGGCGTTGGCGCTTGTAATATGGCGGCGGGTGTTGCTTTGATTATTGTTCCATATTTATCACTTTTGGTAGGATTTCCATGGAAAATTTTCCGGTGCAGATTTTCATATTATTTCTTTTTTTAGGATCAATATTACTTGATGTTGTTGGTAGCATTGTTCAGTATGTTTGGCAGTCTTGTTGTCATTTGTTTGCCTGAGTCAATGCCACACAACGCAATCAAACGTACTTCAAACGCATCTCAACACAGTGGCGAGGAACAGCACGAAGAGCGGTAGGTTCATTTCGTTTTTTTACAAGTTTATTATTTTCAATAAATTTTACATGTTTCTAGTTAATTCTTTCTTTTTTTCTCAAACGTGATTCTTCTATTCCAGTGCGTATGTATTTTCTGCATAGAAATGTTCACAAACATTGAAATTCATCATTGTGCATTTTGGATGCAAACTCACATTTTTTGAGACAAACAGCCCATCTAATCAGTAAGAATGCGTATTAATTGTTTTCGACTCCAAATGCATATGAAAAACAATTTGAATTTTTTTTGTTGAGATTGTACTTTAGATGCTCTAAAAAATCGTTTAATTAAATTGAAAACAACACAAAAGTATATGTCAGTGTCTAATGTGTATTTATAGTGTTACCACCACGATTGAAAAATGATGTTTAAAATAATAATAGTTTATTTTAGTGGGGCTGGAGTATTTAATCCAAAATTTAGCAAAAAAAAAATGTTCAGTCGGCCCAAAAGTAGCTGTTGCCGTTGATGTTGTTGTTTTTGAAAGTAATTAAAATATTATGTGTTCTGAATGTTGAAGATAAGAGATAAAAAAAAGTATAAAATAAAATCCAAAGATTATGTGAAATTGACAATAATTTCTTTGGAAATCTCGAATCGGTGAAGTTGTTGATTGAAACAAACATATTCATATCAGAGGAAAACGCATTTACAGTGTGAAAAATTGAACGCAACCGTTTGCAAAAATAAAAACGAAAATTTCACATAATACATTAAAAGTATATCTCCAATACTTTTTTTTTTTGAATCACCTGCTGTTAGCTCATAAAAAGAGAAAAAAGTGTTTATTTTGAATTTTGTTCCGCATCTGAATTGTACAAATCTCCCCCTTTGTGTCACAAAGATAATATGCAGCCAATAGAACGATTTCGTGAAGTTGGCGCAAACAAAATATATTGGCTAATTCAGAATTCAAAGCAAAAACAATGTAGATGATAAAAAGCAGGAAGTTTTTTTGTGAACAACAAAATCAAACATAAGCATCAGTGAGATTATCATTTTATAAAATAGAATCGAACAATTTAAACAAACCATATGCATAAATATACTATACAAGTAATAAATAAACAGTTTAAATGTTTAAATAAAAAAAAGCAAATTTATTTGGCTGGTCCAAATAATTTGATATTAAAAAAAACAACAGCCAAGAGTACAGTTTTCAAACAAATATATGATTCATTAGAAGTTAAGCACACACAGAAAATAATAAGAAAAAATAGCCAAAAACAACAAAAATACACACATTTTGTAGTCATAATAGAAAATCATAAAATATGTCAAATATTCATAAAAACTTATTCTCATTGAAAATTTAGATTGAGCGGCGAAAAGTAAACACTTGAACAAGTGTTCTTTACTCCATAATCGTTGGCTCAAATAGTTTCAATGTTCTGAAATTGTCAAGACAAATCAGACGATAGCATATATGCGACCTAAACTGCTAATCTTTCTTTTCTTACTGTGAAGTATCTCCATCCCCCCCTCCAAAAAAAGAAAAAGAAGTATATTTTTCATTTGTAGACTTATAAAATTGAGTATTTAGAAATTAGCTTATGTTTAGTCGCCCAATATCACATCGCTAGTAAAACTTATCAGTAATTTTGAATTTATTTTACGATAATCGATAGCAAATCGAATTAGAACTTGTTTGAATTTACGAAATTGGATCTTGTATTTTTCGGTAAGATCGAAACGGTACTTACTTTAATCAAATATCGTTAAATGCAAAGTTGTAGATGAAGGCAAAACAAAAAGAATTGTGTGTTTGTGTTCGTACTTAAGTGAATAAATATGTATTTCTTATTGCAATCAAAAGCATGTATTAATGTTTAGGCGTGAAACGAATTAGACTTTGGTTTTAAGCATAAAACTATTACATTAGAAAACAGAGCCGATGAAATAAAATCAAAAAAAAAAAAAAAATCACAATTATCGATAGACAATTTAAGAGTTAATACACTGGTCAAAGTTTTGATGGCAAAAAGTTCAAGCCGAAGTCGATCATTGGTTGTTGATTTCCAAAAGTTTAAACAAGAAAAATGATAAATTTGGACAAAAATTACGATAAATTGAAGCGAGTTTCTACTGAATTATATGCATAACTGCAAATATTCGCACGGCATCGAAAAATAAATTGCAGAAAATATCTCAAATTGTCCAATTTCCAGTTAAGAACCAGCAATTTCAGCTTGAACATTTTACGAACAAACACATTTGAACGGCGTACGTAGATGATATACATTTCAATCAAACACAAGCATTTTTTTATAGTTTACAGTCAATTGCGGGCACACTTGACTCGATAACATACACATACAAACACATACCAAAACAATAGACAAATCAAAAACCATTCAAACAAAACGAAACAAAGCTAAAAAAAATTAACAATATAATTGTAAGCATTAAGCTCTTTTTATCTCTAAATAGCCGCCCGGGTTGATGTGGGCAAAGCAAAAAAAAAAAACAATAACAACAACAATAAAAACAGAGAAACAAAACAAATCAAAGTCGTGACAACTACATACATCAAAATTATGCAACACATTTAGTGCAAATCAAGAATAAGAACAAGTCAGTGCACTGCTTATTATTATTATTTGCTTGATTATTGCAAAATTATGTATAGATTAATGTAAATGTATTAATAAAGTAAAATAAAATAAAGAAAAAATTGAAATAAATCAATTGGGTTCAACAGAAAACACACTCTCTACACACACGAACAAACGAAAGATTGTCGCGGTTCACTTCAAATCGAATAACAATAGACATAATATTCATTTGCAACATGTTTTCACGAATTTTTGCCAAAGAAATCGATTCAAATCAAACATTTTATATTCTCGCATTTGATCTGCCGTGCATGATTCTTGACAACCAGGTAAGAGAGGAGAACCTCAATTCGCATACTCTGCGCACCTATTGTATAGATAACAACACAATTGACTTCAATCGATAATAATCATTTGCCATATGCACTTATAAATTCCATTTTGTCGTGATATATTAACTGACTCGATCACCCGCGAGTATATATATTTCGCGGTGGCAAATGCCATTTTCATCACTTACAATTGAATAATTTGAAATCGTTTTTGCTTTTCAAAATCTAATTGACTGCTTCTATCGATTAATTTATTGAACAGCACGACATTATTGAATTATAAGCAATAGTGTGTTTTTCATTGTTAAAGAGACACCGCGATGACACATTTCTAATGCAAACATACATTGTGAGAAATATATTCGTTCTTTGGAATACGGCTTGCTTTAAAAGTGTATTCTTGATGTCGGCGTTTGTTTCGTTCGAAAATTAAGAAAATTCACTCCTTTCTCGCCGACATCGCACATGAATTTTGGTCAAGGTGATCAACTCTACTAAAAAACCGCCCATGCACTGTAACTAATGACACCGCTCATTAAACACCCGAAATGTTCCATATCACTTGATGGAATTAAAAAGGCGCAGATTTTATATTACATATTATCTAGGTATGTCATTTTGGAGCAAAGGTCACTTTTATTTAATCATTTGTAACATGTGGTTGGTAAGAAAACCTAAACACTTTCTTTTGCATTTAGTTTTTTATACATCCAAACTGGTTTGCTGTCACATTAAAACGCCGGTAGCAAAAACATTTAATTCCAAAAATCCCCAGTTTTACCACTTTGATAAATGATTTTTGGGTTGTAATGATGAATTTTACATTGTCCAGGTACTCTACCGACAATTTGGTTTGTGATTTAAGGATTTGTGCTTTCTTAAATTTAAATTGTGATTTCCTGGCGTCAAATGCTTCTTGAACAATTCTAGAAACCAGTTCTGAGCATGAGCTGAATAAGGCACCATATGTCACCTGTCATGGTGATGAGGAAATATATACTCCAAATGGTGTTCAGCAAATTTAATCACCAAAATTCATCATTTGGTCAAATCACGATTCGGTGTACACAAGATTGAGTAATCATTTTGATTACTTACAGAAACAGAGCACGTGTTGGTTTGAATATATGTGTCGCCTCTAATTTGAATATGTTCTGGGTTAAATAAACTCATGTTTAGAATAAAAATGTTTGTCCAAAGAAGAGAATCCACGAAATTATGCAAACATAAAAAAAAACTTATATACGAATGAGCTAAAAGAAAAAACCCGACGTGTATTTTGAGTCTATTGAGCAGAACAAAAACACGTTTATAAAATCAAAATACAAGTCGAATTTGTATTCCATATCATATAATCGTTTACCCATTCCCAGTGACATCGAGATACACATGCCAAACAGTCTCAAATCTTCTCAAATAGAACATTTTGTGAAAAATCAGAGTTCAAACCACTTATTCATTGTCTGGAGATAAAAATATGCACCGAACACTATGATGACATATGGTTACAAGAATAAAATCAATCCCAAATGACCTTAATCAAAAAATAGTTCCAAAGCCATTATTTTCAAAGGAGTTCACGCCAAAGTTATTTACGTCGAATTCCATCGTTTAAATAACTGAAAATAGACCGAAGTGAAATTTTACGAGCTTGAAACGAGAAAATGTTCATTTTATAATTAATTCATTTTCAGTGTTAAAACGTTTTTATAAAGCGTAAAACGCACCGAATAATAGCGAAGGCATACCGACAAAAAACACAAGATAACAGCTGTTCACAAGACGGAAGACACGCTTGAAATAACCAACAAAACTTGACAACCTTTGAATGCATTTTAAACGAACATGTTCGATTCATGTTTATTGAAATCAAATGTGAAAAATAATCGCCATCACAAACAAGCTATTGATAGTCACAAGAATATTGAGATGAAAAGGGAAGGAAATGATTGAATAGACTTCTAAACGAATGGAGTTCGCTATTACGTTCGTCGGCCTTTATCTCAACGAAATCTAAAAAGCAGATTTTTCAAGAAAAATCCCACACTAACGACTGAACTGAATCATAAAAGTTTTAGGAAAGAAAGAACGTGTTAATCTGTCTCATAAATAAAATATGTGTTTGTTTGTTTTTTTTTTTCTGGCGTAAATTCACCAATATCGAATTGTTTGATAAAGTCACGGGCCGTTCTATTTTGTTTTTGATTTCATGACAGTGACGCTTTCAGTATGTGTCCTTCTTCTAGTATAAAATGGCCAATGAATGTATGTGAATTATAAACAACAACAAATACTCAATTAACGTAGCGTTGACATCGTTTCAGTAACACTTTGACGCTCATAAAGGTGTGCACTTAATAAATAATTATGAAGTACAATGATATATAAGAAATCTGCGCGTATTTTACACGGTCCATTAATTCGCATCTCAAACAAATGATAATTTACGTTGCTTTAAGAAAATCGTCACATGTATGCACGAACTCTTTTCTCACTCAACGTAAAATGGGTTGTGATAGTGCGCAACGGCAACGCTTTTTTGTTGATCCTTATAGAGGCTAATCGCTAATATGCCAATGTGAGGTGTGTGTTTTTTTTGTTTGCTTGTGATCGACGTCGACGTCGGTCACTGATCGTCACTATTCGTTGCTATTCGTAGTCTAATACGAATCGGTTCACAGTTCGTAACCGTCGTTTGCGTTGTGTTTGCATTGCATTTCACATGCCTCTACGTAAGATAGAGAGAGAGAGAGAACAAAAAAAAAACAAATAATAAGCGAGAGTGTGAGAGACAAGTGCTTCTTTTACACATATGCACGGGAACGACGCAAGTTTAAATAAATACACTTTTCCCGTTAAAAACATTTTCAGTTGATCATTAGGCTTCGATGCCGATAGCTCGGTTAAGTTGACTTATTTTCATTATTCAGAAAAAATATTTTTTTCTTCTCAAATATAAGTGTACCAAGCCGAGCCATAAATTTGAATGAGATATCGACGTAATTTAAAATTGAAATTTTTTCTCCATTCAAGAAAAAAAATCCATTCGGAAAAATGACTTCAGAACCAAAAAATAGTGTGTCAGGTGAAAATTTGCGACAAAATGTGCTGTTGGCAACATCGGGAACGATTGACACATCGGACACATTAAAAAGTTCAAAAATTGAGATGGCAGAATCGGAATCGAGCAGCGATTCGGGCAGAGAAACGTCGAAAAAAAGTTGTTGGAAAAGTGTGTTTAATTTACGTGAGAATTTAGTGAAAAGTAAAAATACTGCATGTGTTACGAATGTAACAAATAAATATGATGAGAAATCATTAAATAGCGCTTGTATCATTAGCAGTGCGGCATCTTTATCGAAACGCACAAAAAATCAAATTGATACGCAAAACAATCCACATGATCCACATAGTCTGGATGATACGGGCGATTGCATATCGGAGCTGATTGGACACATCGGTTTGTGGCAAATTGTATGGGTGATCTTTCTCATAATGTTCCAAGTACCGTCTGCATTTCATATTTTCTCCTTCATGTTTCAGGTTTGTTTACTTTTTTCTTATCGTAAAATTACTATAATCAGTGACAAAATAGCATCATTTACTATGTATAGTAAATAATATAGTAAATAATAGTATAGTAGTGAAATAGTATAATTTTTTGGTAACATGGAAATTTTAATGGTTGAATGTTTGATTTTTTTTTTCAAATAAAAATCAATTTTTACAATAAATTGGAGCAAGGTCAATCTTTTTCGATTTGAATATTAATAAACACTTCAAACCGTCGTTTTGTTGATGAACATATCTGGTTACAAACTTCATGTCGTGAACGTTTCTTTTTATCAGCGTCATATTTTGTTCGAAACACAGTTCGATTCTCTTATCACAGGCCATTCATTGATTAAATTTGTGCTGACTGAGCAAACAAAACCAGACAAAATAATCACAATATAAATGCCGCGCGTATTTATTGGATGATAAATTAAAATGTGATTAAAAACCCATAAAATTGATAACGCACTTTTGCTATAAAGATATGCCTCTGTATCATTTTTCAGGAGTGCATCATTTCAAGTACGCGTCTGTAAAAAAAAAATCGAGTCCATTTATAAAAACTGTAGTATACCTGTCTCAATTCAAATGAAATGTCCCCCAGATGGGATAAGTTAACGTTGCGGTTGTGGTTTTAATTTATTTTTAATGTGTCTCAATCCATTTCCCGTCCGGCTTCAGTTTTGTTGACAAAATGGTATTTTTTTTTCATAATTTGTAGCAATCATACATTCACCTCACGTGTTGTTGGGCCAACACGTTCTTTGATTGTACAAGCGAATGGGTTTTTTTGTTCATTTGCAAAAAATGGAACCTTCATAGAACCACAATGTGTTGCGCAAGTGATAAAAGAAACGAATTTCTTTCCAACAAAAGTTTGATTCGAGCAATTTATAAGGCAACAACAAAAAAACAGATGTCAGTTAATTATATGCAAAACCGTTTGTCACTTGCGTGAATAGGGCCAAAGTGCGTAACAAAATGTGAAATAACTTTATTCTTGATATCATTTCAGACGTAAATAAAATACAAATAAGATCGAAAAAGAGAAAAAAAAATTCTCATTCATTATCGTCAGCCGAATTTTTCCCCATATTAGAAACCATAGAAACAACAGTGAAAAATTAAAAATAACAATTTTGCGCCAGCAATTAAAACCAAATATATGAAATGTTGCACGTATAATTTACATTTTGCATTCGTCATAATTAAACATTTGCTAAACGTAGTATCAAACCTACTTTGGAGCGCACACCGACCACAAACCTTTTCTAATACAAAAATACACAATGAAAAAAAAAAAAACGTGAGATATTCACAAAAATTAGTTTCCATTTCATTTCGTCGTTTCAGTAGTATTTCCTTCAATAGAACCGTTTTTTTTTGCTGAAAGAACTGATAGTTTCTCTTTTTTTACCACGATATGTTGTGCATGCATGGTTTCGATTTTAAATTCAATAAGCAGCATTTAATTTTTTGAAATGAAAATGATTGCATATAGACATGTGTTCATGAATTTAATGAGACGAATTGGTAACTGCTTGATAGAAAAAAACACACACACTCATTTTTTACATACTCGTAAGTGGATGTATGGCCAAATTGTTATTTATTGCTTCACATCGTATACAACATCAATCAAAAAATGTCGAGAATAGAAACGATAAAGAATTCCAAACATGCAAAAAAATGTTCACACATCATTTCTGTTTTTAGTTTTTTTTTATTTACATGTTTATTTTTCAAATTTGTTTTTTTCTGGAAAATTTCCACTCTTTAATAGAGATTATCCAAATTCTCTCAAAAAAATAGATTTGAAGGTAATTTGTTAATTTACCATCTTGAACAGTGAGCGCGTATGTGTGTGTAATACTGTGTATCAATGAAGCGGTAACGCACAGTGAGTGCGGGGTTCTTGAGGCCGATTGGTTATGCACTTGGGTGTAAAGCATCGAATCATTAATAATGATTTGCTGTGTTGACATTAAGCAGCCAGTATTCAACATTTCGTGTATAGGCAAAACCGTTTCGCTATCTCTTTATAATACTTTTCTAAATGTATTTAATTCAATTTAACCGAATCACTGTCAAGCATCAATTTGAAACATTTGAATGTTTCCTTCTCCACGATGTGTGCATTACATTAGTAGCCACCGTTGTTTTTGCTACACGTCAAAACCATGTGATTTGATTTAGTTTTAAGCGTTTACAAAATGTTTGTATAAAAAAGAGAATACCGTTTATGCACGCGGCATACACAAGGGCAGCAAAACAACTCCAGAATTGAAATGCTTAAGACCAATTTCTCATAGTTGGTATGTACACACTGACCCATTTGTGTGCAATACAAATGTGTTTTTTTTTCTTATTTCGTCGTATAAATTGTTACGAATTGCATTTCAAACGCAAAGTTCGAAAGTGAGTTTTGGAACCTCCAGGCATTAGCCTTGGCTGATTGGAATTACCACTGAAAAAATGTAATCACATTTGTACCCACACATTTTTTTTACTCTTGTTAGAGATTGTATTGTTGGATCTGCCAAAAATACACTTCCGAAATAAACAAATTCGTTGAAACGAATCATTTCAACTGATAAACGATATGAATGGTAAATTGCACGGAATAAAGAAAAAAAAATACAAAACAGACCATTTATCACGAGTTTAAAATAGAAAAGTAATGTAGCAAAAAATACGAACAATTATACAAGCAAGCGCAAAATTGAGATGTGGACAAAATATGAATGTTCGTCGATTGTATTTTTTTCCAGTTGTTGTTGTTGTTTTTCCATAGAGATTAGTGGACGCAAGGCTAAAAAAAGAGATGATAACACACGTCGGCCGAAGCACCTAACCGAATAAACTTTTGTTTACTGCCAGAACAGTGTTGAATTTTAATTTCAACCTTAATGTTATGATTTACATTTTTATCAATGAATTCGAGCTTCGTATGCGATCTTATATTCTTCGAGTTTCACAGCGTAAAAAACCGCCAATCAATTCCAATTAGACATTATGCGCTAGTGTCATCGTAACAATATCACTTTTCTTATTAAAATTAAATGAAATGATTACAAATTAAAGGCTAGGCGTCACCAACCGTAATGGTTTGTTTACATTTTGTTTGATCGGATGAAATATTTTATGTCAAATTAATAACACATTTTGAGAGTAGACACGTTATTTTCGTTTTTGTTTTGGGGTTTTTCTTTTATGCAAATCAATTTTAAATCATGTTATTTATGACTAATTCAACAGAAATCATAAATATAAAATATGCCAAAACATGTTTCAGACACTAAATCACGTGTGTAAAAAGTACAAAGATCAACGAGAATTACTTTTTCTTTGATTTTATCATCTGCGTTGCGTTGTTTTACTTAAAAATGTGTGGTTTCGAAATCACAGTTTGCTCTCGTGACTTGAAGAATCAAAACAAAATAACAAAATAATGCAATTGCTTAGGAAGCCCATTACCGTACGTTTCTTGGTTAAGACTCGCAACTCTCATACGCTTTGTTGCTATTGCTAGCTGAAACATTGCTCATGATTTGTTGCCAATTACATGTAAAATTGTCGCCGTATAGCTTTTTTATGAAAATAACAGAAGGTTTGCAGTCTAAGCCAATTTGGTCGCATCCCATCTCATAAAACATCAATTAGCTAACAATCTTAGGTTGTCACACAAGAATCTATCAGCTGTTTTCAATAAGCCAATAGATTTGATTTGATGTATGTGTCGCAATTCATATAAATAACGTGAAATATTTTCAGTTAATTTTTCAATGTTTATTTTCGGTCTGTTTACTAATATTCTTTGTTCTGTCTGTCTGTTACACACGAGAGTGGACCTATTAGCAAGCCTTAATTCGAATCGACGTATGTCATATTTCTGCAAACTAAATGACAAGTTTACATTGTGTATAGTCTGCGTCTATAACCGGAAAAAAACTTGTAAAAAAAAGTTAATTGAGTTGTGGCTTGCAATCGATCTGATTTATGCAATACGATAGCAAGAAAGACACACGAACAACGATGAAATAATAGCAATAAAAAACACATTTTTAATTACTCAAGAAAGATTACATCGTTGACCGATCACAATGTCAATGGTTCTAACTAGAATTGTATTGCGATCATCGCCTTTTTTGCATCGTTTTTCTTTGTTCATAATTAGTAAAAAATCGCATACAAATACAAACTTGAACGCATTTTGTGTTTAGAAAAAGATATACTTAACTCAGCGCATTTTGTCATTTTTATATGAAATAAAATCGTGTCAAACAGAGTCAAACTTTTATAGTGCTCATCCGTACCGGGAATGATATAGAAAAACGCAAACAACATGATTATGTTCTCGTAAATTATTGTCATTATCATCATTGCGTTCGTTTGCAATTGGAAAATGTAATTTCAAGTGTAATTTTGTCGTAATAAAGAACATACTCTAATTGGAAGATTGAATTTGATTTTATTTATCGTAAAATTTGACATTATTAAATGAATCGTCAATTTAAAACCGAAGAGTAGAGATGAGAAAGAATGAGATGGAGTAATAAATATATTCTTTCCGTGACATCGCTTATATTTATCAATAATATTACTGGCTGTAAAGCGTGTGTGTTGTTGTTTTTTGGCTCTGAATGTCGTTGATGTAAATCGCATGAATAGTATAAGAGCGCGAATGAAAAATATTTTCAACAGAAAACCATGTCTTACTGCTCCCACGCAATGGCGACACAAACTATACATTTTTCTCAAAAAAAAAAAAAATCTTTCATAACAATGCGCACACATTGAATGTAAGTCAAAAGCGCGCACTTCCACAAACACACACACTGTGATTCTGAAAGAACGTGTAAAATCAACCAATTGCTTGTTGTGAATATTAAATGAATTATTATCGTTCTGACGTTTGATCAATAATAGGTGGACATAAATAAAATTATAATTTCCATCATTATTTCATTACATTGTGCATGAATATGATCGATTCGCGATTTGTCAGCTGTGTGCAAAGGGAAATTGTAAATCATATGCTTTCGGCTATAGGTAGTTTCATTTCCTATGTATTTTCATACAAAAAATACGTCGGAATGTGTAGCGTAATTATTTTTTTTCTATTAAAGAACTGCGACGAAAAATCCTTGCAAAAATGCAAATCAATTGTCTTCCGGGCGACTGTTATCAGTTTGTAACCTACGAAATATCTTACATCATTCAATTCGATCATCTTCACTTTCATTGAGTAATGTGTTTAATATTTGATCGAGTGCAAATGCACATTCATCAATCAAAGTATTGCATAATACAGCATTATATGCATTGATTTATTCAATCATCGGGTTATTGTTAAATTGAGCGATTGAGGTGAAATAATAAATTGTTTATAGTTCAATTTGCGTATGAATTATTCATTAAAAAAATAGGCAGGTGGGAAAATTAATTTGTTAAAAATGTGATTGATGTGGTGATTGTTGCGGTTTACAAAGCGATCAACATAAAAAACCAACAACAATTAGAGTATCTATTTTTAAATAAATTGAAACAAAATGAGCTTAATTTGTTTGTTTTTCTGAATAGTCAGTCGAACGTGATTTCTGGTGTGCGATTCCAGCTGAACACCAATCAACGACCAATCTATCGTTGTCTGATTGGCGTAAAATTTCACAACCAAATGGCGCTTGTACAATTGCAAAAAATATCTCGCAACAACTACAAAATGCTCTTAATTCATCTGATGCGACAGTCATTGATGTACAAAAATGCAGCAGTTTCGTATTTGACAACGAAATCAGCGAATCAACAATTCAATCCGAGTGGAATGTGATTTGTGATGACTCTACACTGTTGAATGTGATTGAAATGTGTTTTTTGGCCGGTGCGGCTATTGGTAGCCTTTCGAGTGGAACACTATCGGATGAATATGGCAGACGGTAAGTAAATATAAAGGCAAAATAATGCGATCATCGTTTTAATTGATTTTGAAAACCATTTAGGCATACTCTCATGATTGTCGTCGCATTGCAGGCCATAATCGGTGAGTTATGACATTGAAAATTCCGTAAGAAGCGTTAGTAAAGAATAAAGACTAAACAGTAAACCATTTCAATTGACACTGAAAATAAAACCGGTTTCTCTATTCATTAGCCGCAACTTTCACACGTGCGGTTATAATTGCGTAACACACACACATTTGGCAAGAAACAATTTTATTTTTATTTTTTCAAGTCTCAGACAAAATGGCATCACGTAAATTTGGCCTTGATAAAAATAAGAACAATTCTTAGAAATAAAAAGAAAGAATTTGTTTGTCGTTTGAACACATTTTATTTTTTATTTTTACGCATAATTGATAGGTACTACACTTGCTGTTGTTAAATCATTGATACCTTATATGGTTCTGCGATTCGCTTTGGGATTTGTATCAATGTCAATTGTGAACATTTCGTTCGTACTAACCGTTGAAATGGTAACAGGGAAGTGGTCTTCTATCATTGGAACATTGGATTTGCTACCACTTCCGATTACGTACATCGTACTCGCCGGCATTGCATATATTGTCCGAAATTGGCGTTCTTTGCAACTCATCATTTCAATACCTTGGTTTGCACTTCTACTCTTTTGGTAAGTTAGAAAGTATACAAAACTTGTGATCATCGATCTAACTGACGTTGAGAACCATTTAGGCATGTATTACCCGAAAGTCCAAGGTGGTTACTAGCGAAAGGTCGAGTGGATGAACTGAAAAAAATCATTGAAACGGCCGCTCGTTGGAATAAAAGAACACTGCCACCAAACTATGAAAAACTCTTAATATTTCCACCTGCCGAGGATGCCGATGGATCATTCATTGATCTATTCAAAACGGAATACCTTCGAACTACGTTACTTCTTATGGTCGCTTGGTACACACTAGTATTACAATACATGGCTATAACCCTTCATATTGGAGAGATGGGAGGGGATATTTACCTAACAACAGTAAGCAATTATTATGTTTCTCAATGCAATCGAGCACTGCTTGAAACTTCAGTTTTCAAGCGAAATGTAACAAAGCCGTCCGACGACGTTGACAAACTTGAATATTTAAAGCTTTTTTTCAGTAAAACCTATCAAATGCATTGGATAAAGTTCATTATAGTGTTTTATACGTTTCAGGTATACGCCGGAGCATTCGAAGCATTTGCTATAATCATCTCAATATTTACAGTAACTAAGTATGGCATTCAAAAGAATATTTTAGTGAATATTTTCGTTGCTGGCCTTTGTTTGCTATATATTGCCATTTTTCCGAATGCTGAATGGACTTTGGTCGTATTTTTGGCGATGCTTGGTATGTGAATTATTATAACATTTTTTTTTACATTTGAAACATATGTATACAACAATTTGTTCGATTCATTTCAGGCAAAAGTACCACCGGAGGTAATTATTGAACTAAATTATTTAATTTTATCCTTTTCTACACAGACGATTTGTAACGTTATTCATTTATTTTGTGATCAAAGTTGCAAACGCAATGATCCCAGCTTTCACCAGCTTCCAATACCCTCCAACGTTGCGTACACGCGCAATGGGAATGACCAATTTTTCAGCTGGTTTCGCCTTGGTTTCGGTTCCATACATTTGGCTACTAGTGAGTATAAAATAGTTTTTCGGAAAGAAGTCATCTTAGATTTGATGCTCGTTTTTTCTTTCGATTTTCAGAAACACATCGAAGCTTATCTACCGCCGTTGATACTTGGACTATGCGGACTGATTGGAGCGTTGGTCTTATTCTTCATCGATGATCGAACCGCAAATATATTGACAGCTGAACGACCACCACGAAGACACCATACAAGTCAACAACAACTAGGCAAATAAAGCAAATTCATTTTGTGTGCGCTTTCATCAACATCGATCTGAAATGTTCCATAACTGTGCGCTAACTGTTTCTATGTCACATCAATCAATCATGAGTTGTCCATTTTATTTTACTTGTTATAAAGTGAAACAACATGGAATATTCGAATGACCACAATGTTTAAATCATCGTTTCCACGTCCGTCGGTTTGTCATCGTAATTGCATGCAAAACATTTAGTTACCGCTCTCTTGTTTTCCAATGGATCATCAAATCACTCTCAATATTCATCGATAGTGTACGAGTTTGGTTAATCATCATAGTTGATTTTTGAATATCATCATAGATGTTGTACATTTTTTTGTTGTGAGGCTTTCATTTATAGTATTTTTCACAAATTCAATAATTCTATTTTTCCTTCCCTCCCTTCCCGCTATCAGGAACGACCACCACTTGGCTTTAGTCAATCTTTTCATATATAAATTAAAGTTAATGCAGTACAAAAATCAAAGTAAGTCGGATTCTATTGAGCAATTTTTGTTTTTTCATGCTCAATCGAATACAATCAGAACAAAGAAATCAGTGCATTTGCTGTTTGGATGTTTACTTTAAATTGGTTCCTGACTTATTTCAGTGATTATTTTGCATAAAAAAGGGACAAAAAATCTATTTCGTTGCACTTCTATTTCAAATGGAAAATTGAAGATACTTCTTTGAACCATTTTTTTTTTACATTTTTAACGGTATTTCAAGTTTAAATATTTGTATAATTCATATTATGGCGATAATTCATTGTTCACCAAATCAAATGTAACCTTATTTTTACACACCTAAAAATAATTTCTTCTGCTATTTAACCATAAGTTTTAGTTTTTTTTTATTCGTAAGTTTTATTGTGATAATAAATTGACATTGAGAAATATACAAAATTGGTAATAAATTGGTGAAGCAAGAGGTTGAACAAAATCAACCCTTGAACACTTATCACAAAGTTCGCAAAGATTAACACAAAATATGCATTTTGGGTCAAAAGTAATGTTTGCTTCATTGGAAAGGTGTTTTGTCAACCGATACATCAGCAGCAACCACAGCAGCTTGATTTAGAAAATTCGAGCTATGTATGCGAAGCCGATCGATATACCAAGCGTACTCAGTGCAATGTGGTGGGGTTCATGTTTATAAGAAACACACAGAACATGAATTTGATCAGTCGATATCCGTAAGCGCTGAACTAACAACAGCAACGGAACGCTGCTGTGCAAAAGAGAATAAAAAAAACATTGTGATTAGTTTAAGATTTGAAGTGTTGAAAGAATTTTATATATCCATTCGCTCTCTATATATCTCTATCTCAATAAAAGAAAGTGCAATTCAAAATGAAGGAATACTTAGTATACAGCTGTTTGGTAAGTGAAAATTTGCTACAACAAATATCAACTGAACAAAACAACAACAAAAACTTTCGAATCCGTTTAAAAAGAAGAAATGAAATGTAAAATCGCAATCGACGTGAAATTCATGATTCAGACTTTTCAATCTGAGCCATTTTCTCTCTATCTCTCATTTATTCATTAAAACATGGTGCAAAGAATCAATATTGCATCCGTTGAATGGTTCTTTGGTACGTGATTTTCTCCATCTTTCAACAAAATTTCTTAACATCGAGCAAACAGAAGAAGAGCACACGATTTGTTTCCCCATTGCGATTTACAAATTACTTTTCCGTTGCGCTGCATAAATTCAAAATGTTTCCGTGGCTCTGTTTGCATACAAATTAATTTTTGCAATTTGAATTTAAATACGTTGAATTGCACAATTGTGTGGTGTTTTCGAAAGAGAGATGGTTTTTTGCATTTCTCTGAATTTTGTTTGCCACTACTGGGATGGAATAAATAATTTGAGAATTTCATTAGAATGGACGAATTGGTCATCGTTTGTTTTACATTTTTTTCTTTTTTTGGTTTATTATTTCGTAACTTTTACCAATTCACAGTTTTAAGTGTAATCGCTAGGTTTTGTTATTTGTTCATTTATCATGATTTTTTTTTCTCTCTGAACGAATTTGGTTTGAATGCAATTGAAATTGTTTAATTTGTATGTAATTCAAGCGTGCCTCTTTTGTGTGCTAATATGCTATTGAATTTTATCTGATGGTTATTTATGGTTTTGTTAAATCATTCGCTACCAAAGAAAGTAATATTACCGCTACGATTGATTGATCAATTTAATTGGAATGGCGCTTTCTGCTCCAAGAATTCGTTAGATATCGGTGATTTTCGGTTTGCATTGTATAGAAGAAAATACAATATTTTTGCGTCGAATCACGTCAAGGGTCAAGGTGATGATTAGTTTTTAATGCATTTATTCTCTATTGTATATAATTGGATTGTGATCGATTGCTCTAATTGAGAGTCTTTTGTGAGTATTGGGTAATTGTACGCGAAAAGAAATTATCATCATATTTTCTCTCTATCTCTTTTTCTCTGGCAATGAAAATTATCGATGGATTGCTGCAATTTAATGATCTAAGTACAATGTCAAAATAATGACAAATGATGAAAACATAAATCACAACAATAATGATCGATTGAGTATGTTTTCATTGCGTTGTTCAATTTATTTCTCAACGTTCTTTCACTTCATTACCAAAGAAATAAAATGCAACGGGTTTTTTTTTATTTAAAGAATCGCTTGATGAAATTTAAAATGCTGATCACACGGAGCATATGGCGCCTTCTTGTTCGTAATTGTGAGAACACAAGCGATTTCCTTTACCATAGACACTGAAAGCATAAATCAGAAATGCGACAAACGGGATGCTGTTTAGCATAAAAAGAAAACGAAATGCTATTTGGCTTGGCGATTTCGAAGCGAAAGTGGCTTAAATACTTTTTTTTTATTAGAAACATTTACTGCTATCATTTTATCTTGTTTCATTTCTGTATGGGTGCTTAGTGAGACTGAACCAATTTCATATATGTACGCGTGTAGTACAGTATGACTATGTGATTACAACGGTTTATATGAATAGATAATTGTTCATATAGGAAAATACAACTTTTAGTTTTCTTCTTTTTCTTCTTCTTTTGCATCAATAGCCGTTCGCGGTAATGCAGTATTGTGATCGAGGAATGGAGTATATAAGTGATCATATTTTATGAGCATTTTATAAGTAAACACTTATAATTACCGAACGCGCATGTTGAATCTGCTTGTCAGCATCAAGACCGTACAGCTCAGTATACACTAGATATTATGGTTTTCTAACCAAGCACGGCATGCTTATCGATAGATTTTTCTAAACGATTGAATTTGTGTGCCAGACTTTGTGCATTGTGTGTGCATGGTATGCGACTTTTCCTGTCTAACCAGTTTTCAACGCGCGAAAACTGAAAAAAAAAAACGCTATGTGCACGAGTACATAAGAAGAGATAAAATTGTCATCTACGAAAAAAAGCAAAAAAAAAATATTGTTTCCCGAAAACAATATGAAACGGCTCTTGGAAAAAAAAATACGATCAAAGTAATTGATTTGTGTGGACAGAAAATATTTCATTTCACCACATAGCATACGATCCCAGGTAGACTCTTCCTATTACATTCGAGTGATAGCGATTTAAGTATACACAATTCATGAACTACAATCACTCGCCTATCGATGCAGAAAAAAATAAACAAAATGTTATGAAACAAACATGAACTTGTGCTGAATGTTTTTTTTCTTTCATTCAATTTTGAGCAATAAAACTACAGGCGTAAATAATATGTTTTAATTTTGTTCGGCCCGGAACAGATTATATACGTATGAAAACAGAGTTTTCTATTTTCCCGTCAGTTGGGCTCGTTTTTCCTGCATCAAAACACTTAATTATTGCATGCATTTAATTATTATTGTCGAGTGCGCACGAAGACAGCGAAAAAAATGGACTCATATTATTATTCATTGACTTGTAATTGGTAGAAATCAACAAACGAAATTCTGTGAGTTGTATTAAATGGTTTTTTCCTACCTGAATTGAATACCGCATACCCTTTTATTATTATGTGATATTCATATATTGAAATGTTTCACTCGCTTTTTTGCTCTCCTGCGTCGGCCAAATCAAAGAAGCGTAAATTTGACATAATATCGCACACAAAATATTGATTTAATGCTCAAGAATAATCACGTAATACCACCATTATTACCACACACGCCTTCCTCTCTCTCTCTCTCTCTCTCTCTCTCTCTCTCTCTCTCTCTCTCTCCTCTCTCTCGCTGTGTGTGTGTGTGACATTCCGAAAACGGTGCAATAAAATTGGGAATGGTAAAAATTCACACAGTTAAAATAATTAACCGCATAACAATACGCAAATTACTTGCAAAAGTTACATATTCATTAAAATTGACTGGTGAACTAATTACTTTTTGGATTTATGAATTGAGTTGTGTTGCCAATTTTATTGATGCCCAGATTGATGCCTTGGCTTACAATGCACGGCAATTAGTTACTCAACCTCATTCTAGTGTCTCTCGCAGGTTTTTTTGCCAAATCGTCTCTTTTTCGTATGAAACAGTGACTTGATCATATTACCTACAACCTGATCACTTTCTCATGCCATGTAGCTGCTCATTTTTATTATTGTGCTGTGACTGAGCCGTAATCCAACTTGTTTTATTGGAAAGAGAGCAGTTGTTATTTTCTTTCATCTTCGATAATTCTCGATTTCGATTAATAAACCATGCATCATTGAATGCCCTACATTTAAAAAAAACAACAACGCTTTTTCATTCGCGATATTTTTATGATATAATATGGTTATATTTTCTTTTTTTTTTCGAAGTTAAGTGATAAAAAGTGCAAAATAATTGTACCGGTTGAAATTCAGTCGGTGCCTGGTTTTTTTTTCTTGTTTGCGTGGATCGATTTGTAATTTATTGATTCTAGCTTTTGACTACATGCCTTCAACTCGACTGAACTTGTAATTGTAAATCTCGCTTGTTTTTACTCTTCGAATTAATTTCCTTTTTCCACGAAAGATCCGAAGAAGCGAAAATGTGTCATGGAACTTTTGAGTTCAACAGCCAAATTAAGAAAAAAAAAACATTAAGCGAAGTTCTGCGAAAGCCATTTAAATCAAAATGCAAAGTGCTTCTTTTTAAAAGTAAATTACCAATTTTCCTATTGTACCATTGCATATATACCGAATATTGTTATTGACGTGCAGACACCAGTGAATGAAAGTACATTGTTTAGCGAAATGAAAATAAGAGTTGCTGCTATTGTCTATTTTTCATCTATGAAGTGTTGATCGAATGATTTGCAAAACTGACATTGCAAATATTGTGTGCTCGCTCGTGCGATGTTTGTTTATTTAATCTCCTCGTATTATTTATCATAATTCGTTCAGACAAACAATTAGCGGTTAATTGAACTGTAAACGTTGGTGCGCACATCATGTACATAAAACACACCATGAAAAAGCTAATATCGTTAAAAAAAGTCTACTCGGATGGCATTTTCCATGGATTGTATCGTAAAATCACTTTCGTTTTCGAATCAAGCGATGTTTTTTTTTTCACAGGTGTTCGACGCTGAGAAACATTGCAAAAAGAAAGTCCCAATGTATTTTCGTTGAATTTGTCACTATACGTTTGCCAATCGTATTTCCAAAGAAGTGTGCTTAAATCATGTTTATTTTTCATGGTTCAAACTCCAAAACTATGTCGAATTGTTATGATTTAATTAGCAAATTTATCGCTCGATTTTTTTTTCTTCAATGGCTGCTAAATTGGCATGGCATTTGTCAGTATTTCGCATAAATTAATAATAAGCCATTGTATCTAATTGAAAATTCGTTCCCAAGTGTTTGAGCAATATCTAATATCTGCGTGGTAGATTATTGTGACATATCACTACATTTAACGAGTAAGAGAGATTTGATTTTTTTTCGGTTGCCTTCCATATAGACTGGATTAAATAATTCTCCATAATCACTTTTTTTCGACTCTTGTTAAATAATTTAATGCCATACTCCATGCATGAATTCGATACAATTACGCGAATTGTGTGTGTGTGTGTGTTTCTACGACACTCAGATCCGGTTTGCCGTCGACCCGTTTTGTAACGAACAAATTCACCGCATATCTATATCATATCTGTTGAGATGAGGAAAAAGAGAGCATACAAAAGTAAATGTGTAAAAGCAATGGGGCGATTATTGAGATCAACGGCGACACAATAAATCCATGCAAAATATAGACACACATAAAAAATTACAAGAATAACATTGTCTGCATGAATAAATTTTGGTTTTTATTTCACAAATTGGCCGACATGAATATTTCCTGAAATATGTTTTTCTTCACTCACAGAGGGAAACATTTCGGCTTTATACCGATGGTGATTTGCGATTCATGTTTAATGCAAGCAATGCCAAAATTCAAAAACCAAAAAACTCTCCATTTGGTCAGAACTTTTTGTTGTTGCTTTTTTTTCTTTCGTTAAAATCCTGTGCACATTTAATTAATGAAAATTCATATTATGTAAACATGGAATGATGAATGCAACTTTTACATTGCGTCTCGATTTAATTTAACCGCGCACTGCGTTGTGGTGTACAGATCGTGTTTATGATCATTCGCACGCTCTTCATCATGGCAAAGTGGATCAATTTTTCTCTCTTTCGCCGCTTGTATTTCTATTTGCAAGAAATATAACAAAATTATGTAAGCATATCGGCTTGGCAATGTCGATCTTACAATCGATACCAATTCGTACAACAAGCGACTGGCTTGAACTTCGTATGTTCGTTGCACACTGTGGCTTGGCTCACAGGTTTCGTTTTGTGTCTCTCTTTTTTAAAAACTTTTCATTTTCCGTTTTTTTTTAATCATTGCGTACACATCGATGAATCTGACATAATTTTTTTTTCTCTTGAAAATAAAATGTAATTCCGATCTGTGTCATTGCAGCATCAATATTTATTCAGCGAAAATTGAAAAAGCCAAACAAAAGATTTATAAGGAAATATACAATCGTTGAAATTGAATGTATGATTTGCCGCACTTGCTCGGTCAACGTTGAATATGTATTGTTTATGGTGTATGTTTGTACGTGATATCGAAATCTGATCGCTTACGTCCATTATATTATCATTTTTTTTTTGAAATTTCATTGGGTTAAAAACATTTTAAAGGCAAACAAGCAATAGGTCAATAATAATTACCTCATTGAAATGGCTCTTAATCTCATATTTTATATGCGACGTAAATTTATTTTTATCTCCTTCGCATTGTATCGTACAATTTCATGTCTTACATTCTCATTTGCTTTTCTCCATGTTTTTTTTTGTTGTTGCTTGTTTTCGATTCATTTCGCCGGAGTATATGTGGAAATAAAACTGTTGAAACATATTTACAACAACCGAATCAAGGTTATGCCGTTGAAGTGCACTTGATGTGTATTTATTGTCGAACGTTCGGCCAGAGCAAATTAAAAGCATGGCAATTCATTTAAATTTAAATGCTCGGCCGTACATAATTTCAACGAGCACTTAAAAATTGCTTAAGCGCTTGCGTGCATATATATACATTTTTCAGAATAAATTCTACATAAAGAACCATGAATGGATAGCAGGTGTAATTGAGTTGAATGAAGACAGCATGTAATTACGACATATTTCTCGAATGATGTCTTTTTTTTCTCTCGCAACTTTTTCTTTTCATTCCAATGTTCGATATGCTAATTGGTTGAATGACGCATTCTGTTTTCTACTTTATTTTAGATTATACTTGTCTATTGTTTGACAGGCATCAATTCACAATTGGGTCCATTACCGCCAAGATTTGCAATTCCAGTCGGTCCTGTGGCACAACAACAATCGGTTCGGCAACCAATTCAATATCGTAACGAACGTTTAGTGGCACCAGTTGGTGGTTTTCTTCGTGCTCGTCGCCCAGTGTTGGGTACACCACCATTCTCAAATCAAAATAGTCTTAACGATGATGCTAAACCAGTAACCGAAGAAAATGAATCGGGCGAAGCGCCAACATTTATTCCGCAAATACAACAACAACAACAACAACAGCAGCAACAGCAACAGTACATTCCACATGTGCAAACACTACAACAACAACCACATAAACCTCAATTGCCAGCCGTATTGTATACAACCGATGAAAATGGTGAAGTTTTAGAGCAGAGTCGACCATTTAACGAATTCTCAACAACGCCACGATTCTTACAACAACCAATTCAAGAAATTATACCAACAACACTTCGATCGACCGGCAATGCACAACGATTCCATATAAATCAAGATCATCCTATTCAAAGTGCCCTTCAGGGCACCACAAAACCACCGGTCAGTTTAATTGAAATGTTTTAATTCGAATTGAGAGTTTTAGTTTTTGACAAAAAAAAAATCTATTTTTAATAGCTTCGTGCTCGTCCTGAGTACCGCGAACCAAGACCACACTTTGAAGCAAAAGAATTGGCACAACCAGTTCGTCGTCCACAACAAATTGATTACGCTCAAGTTAAACCCCGGCCACACCATCATCATGACCAAGATGTAAGCACCATTTAAAAAAAAAAATGTAAATGCAGACGAAAGAAATTTATTTCAATTCAATTTTGATATGTAGGAACGTGAAAAGAAGCCAGTAGCACAGATTTTACGTAAATATCGTGAAGAAAATGAAGATGGCACAATAACATGGGGCTTTGAAAATGATGTAAGCACTAAATATTTAACAAAGAAATGCATATGAAAGAAATTTATTTCAATTTAAAATATTTTGATATATAGGATGGATCGTTTAAAGAAGAAATCATTGGCAATGATTGTGTCACACGAGGCCGATACGGCTACGTTGATCCGGATGGAGTGAAACGTGAATATAACTATGAAACCGGAAATTTATGCGATCCAAATAAACGAGATCAGGAAGATCAAGAAGATGTCGAAGACCAAGAGGATGGACGACCAAATTTAAATGATAATGGCGCTTATATTGATTATCAAGAAAATCAAATGGTTTTGGCCAATGGTCAACGCATCAATTTAAATAACATTGGAAAAGGCGGAAAGATAAGACGACCGGGACGCAATAATTAAATAAAACAACATTTATGAAAATCACATTGGTGAAGCACACAATTTAAAGAAAAAAATGACGAGAAAATTTGCTTCACATATCTATAAGCTAAAATCGCAATGATATAAGACTTTTTTTTATTAAAATTTTTTGTTTTTTATTTTTTAGATTTAAGATTTTACAAAATGATCGCCTAAAAATGAAATACTTTCGTTTCTATTTTCTTTCTTTAAATATTATTGCGAATGTAATGATTGAGAAAAACAAACCGAGAAATAAATGATGAGTCTTTCTATTCCGCTGTGACAGTCATTGAGCGTAAAAATGCTTTTGAAACATCAATCTCATCCAAATTCATTTCATGCCGAGGGGGAAAAAACAAAACTTAAACATTTAAAAAAAGAAAAATCCACGTCACGCAGTAAAAATCGATAAAACTATGTGTATTTCGATTGTTGTTGGCAGAATAGAAAATGCGCACAAGCCAAATATATGCCTGCCTCTCTGAATCTCCTAATATGGTCGTCGTCGCTGTTGTGGCACTCGATTTGGCGGTGTTATTGAGATATCCATGAAATCGCCGATTGTGAATTTTGCCTGTGCCAATGACAATGAATCGTCGGCATTTCGTTGACCGGAGCACGTAACACCAATTTCACGCATACGATAACCGGGACCAAATTGGTCGGGTGATACTAATGCAAAATCAAAATATGTTCCCTTTCGACGAGTTTCGGGATTTACATCACGCACCAATGCAGTGAGCTCACGCAGTGTAGCATCTGGCCATGTATAGATCTGTAACTCATTCGTTGGTACATTGCCATGTTGAAATTCAGCCGGCGAGTGATGACGACCCGTTGAACAAAATACACGCAACAATAATGGACATGTCTATCAAAGAATTAGCATAACATTTTCGAATTTAAATCAATGTTTATTGAATCAAATCGCATTTTTTTAAAAATTATATATGGGTGTATACCTTTTCTCGATCGATTTGTTTGGTTGGTGGCTGTTTTTCTTCCACAATCATGCTTTCAATTCCTGCCATTTTGATATTAATATTGTGTTTTCTCTCTAATTTACCGTTTACAGCAATGACCAATTCAAAACAATACCACGTTTATTTAATACTAATTTATGCGATAAAATGTGATTATATATTTAAAACTGTATCGTATAAAGAAATGCAGACGATGCTCCGGCTGTCAAATGTCATATGCACACAACAAATATGGACATGTGTTGGTTTTCTTTCATTGATAAGTGTTGCCGCATGAAGTTTCGGTGCTGCTCAATGTGTATCTTTTTTATCCGTTAAACAAATAAACTTTATTCCTTTTTTTCGATGCCATAACATTGAGACAAATAAGAAAAAAAGAGAAAAATAAACTCTCAAATTACAAAAAAGAACGAACAAACAAACCACTTTATGTTTTGAACAATCACAAATGTTTATAATTTCAGAGCGTTGTCCCTATCGGTGTCACATTTGAAACCAAAACAACATTGAGTTGCGTTGCATGAGTTGAGTCATAAACTATGTGCTTATCGTCATGCAAAGGCGCGATACATTACGTCAATTGGAAACTGTCAAACGACGACGACTGCGACAGTGAGAAAAAAATTCTAAACAAATTATTCGTCATTGTTTAGTAGCAGCGTAGGTTTCGTTTCAACTAGCTCTTAATTTCAACTAGCTCTCTCCATTGTCGCAGACACATTCTGCAATTTTCTGGTTTTTACAGCAAGCAAAAAACGATGATTTAACAAGTGAGTATTATAAAATAAAGCGATCAACCAATTTTTTTTAAAGTTCCTCTTACATCAATTGAGCAAAATCCTTTTTTTAAATTGAATTTGAAATGTGTGTTTATCAATTGCGCTGTTAAAATCAAATAATCGACGAAATTTTGATAGGAAGATGAACCAAAAAAAAATCGTGTTGCACAAGTATACATAGATATGTTGTTATAGTGATAGGTTCAAGGAGAAAAGTTTTATATTAAAAAAGGATGTAAATCGATCTTAATTTGTTTGGTCTGTGGATAAAAATGCAGAAGTAGAAATTAATCGATTGTTTGAGTGTCAAGTTTGGTGATTAAAAGAAGATTGATGATAAACGCATTGTTTTACTTTCCATCGTTCTTGTTCTGGTTTTGTTCGTGTTTGTGAGTGCTTTTTTATGTGTATTTGCGGTATTGCGAGACATCAGCATGCGATCTATGTAATTTATCAAAGGGATAGCTCTCATGCAAGGATATTACAAAAGCGGTGAAATGTGTTCTTCTTCTGTCAAACGGCGCATTTAGAGTTCATTTGCTTTTAATTACAAAACGTATTTGGATTTATATGTCTATTTTAGTTAAACTCAATGTCTATTTGCTTTTTTTATGTTGAATATTCTGGCGTCACAACTGATGCACGCAACACTGTATTTTACATTCAATTGAATTTTCCCAGCGCCTTGCTAGCGACCTCGTCATCGACACTATTTAATCTAGTGTTGATTCATTGCGTATTAATTGGAGAGAGAGAAAGAAAAGCGAAATGAGCTACCGCGTAGTACATTTATTGAATCAACACGTCGAAAGAAAAGGAGTGTATAGAAAGGAGAACAAAAAAAAACAAAGAAAAAAGAAATTGAAAAATACATAATGCACACACACCACATTCGATTAGAGCAGCACAATAAATTTACCGCCGCCGATTAAATGTACGTGCTAAAAAAGAGCGAACACAAGAAAACAATATCCACGGCCGATTTATATGTATGTTGGGCAACAGTTTGACGTTGATATTTCGTTTGAATTAATTTGTGCTTACGTACATCAGAGCAAAGTTTGTTGTAGAAATAAAATATTGGCCGTTCTTTTTAAATCGTATTTATGAGTATGACTGTTTTCCTGATTTCCCCCATTAATGTCCGAGAAAACGCAGAGATTAAACGAAAATAAACATTATGGCAATCGTCATTCTTGTCGAAATTGCTTTTCGTTTTTTTTGTTCTCGCTACTAATACAGATTAACAAATTGTAAAACTAAATTTGGAAATTGTATGAATGGAAGAATCCATTGAAAAACTTTCAATCTATTTTTATTATGAAAGAGCAAACGTTGACGTGGCTTGTGTCGGAATGTTCGAGTACAGAAGTCCATCGAATGTGTCCACTTTCAAAACCATAGCAATGTACCCAATCAGAGGCAAAAATAAGCATAATAAATTTTTATGTATTCATAAATCGGTTTACAGCCACCGACCAACAACACTTCAATGCATCCACAAGCACAGACACGAATGAAAGCAAAAATCAATACAAAAGAAACACCATGCCATGAGATCGAGAGAAGGAGAGAGAGAAAATGAGTCAATGTGCATTGTACAAGGTGCGTGAATTACGATGTGTGTTGGTGGATATTATACGTATTTTGTCTATTTGCACGACGTTTCACGTGCAGTAACACATTACATAAAGTCAAATGTATGTATTGTATATATTTAAAATAAATTACTTACGTCCAAATCCAAGTTGGTCGAAGAGGCGAATACAATGCAAATATTTATTGTAGTTGGCCATACTCCGACACATATTTATTATTGCGACAGTTTGCTTGTTATGTAGATTATTCTCTATCCACCCCACGGACACACATAGACAAGTCAACGCGCGCCCAAAGTGAGTGTTCAAAAGACAAGTGTTTGCTCTATATGTCATTCGGATGCTAGCATTGATCCAGTGTGCAATTCGTTCTGACGTTGTGAACATTTATTCTTTTTATTCTGCTCGGTGGCATTATTCAATTGAATTCATTGAAAACAACAATTGTTTCTCATGTCGCAAAAATCTTAAGTGGTAAATAATAAATAAGTGGATTTGAAACTGAAAAAACTGATTTATTTATATCAAATGAATGAAATTAAACAAATTAGTTAATTCAACATTCGGTACATCACAAAGTAGTGGCTCACATTCTGTTGGCATCGTATAATCAAAATTCGGTTCAAATGGTTAATTTTATTGTGCCGAGACTGCATATAACTACAGATAACTGTAGTAAAAATTTAATGGATCGTTCGAATGATTTATGCACGATTAAGCACAAATCAGAATACATTCTGTGGACAATATATTCGCTTTTGCATCCCCGTAAACACATTTCCTCTTAATTGTTCAATTTGTATTTCAATTTTATTTTTGTTACGATCAATGGCACCGGTGTATTAGCTGTATGTGAATTTCGGCTATCTATATCCGAATGGCATCACAAAACCGTGAGTTAAATATCGAACAATTGAACATTATTCAAATGTGTGCATACAATTTTATTGAACGATTGGATTTTGAGTGAGCTATCATTGTTTATCGCTCTTTGTGCTTTGTGTATCTTTCTCGCTCGATTGATTGATATAAATGAAAATCGCGTGACAATCGTGTTGTTACCGCACTAATTAATATCAACTCCAAATATACCATATCCAATGGCAATTGGATCATTGTGGCAACGTCATATCGTCGCAATTTTATTTCATTTTTTCGCTGTCGTCTGCCATTGTTTTCAATTCAATGCCTGCCACGTCAAAGAGAGCATACTTTTTGCAACATTGTTTCGATCCAAAGATAAAGCAAAAATGATGTACTCATACGTCAAACCAGAGCGACGGTCTTTTTGAATGTAGCCAAAAGAATCAAAATCTGTGTGTTGCCGTTTTGTATTCATATGTACGTGATATGTGCTACGTTGATATACTATATTTCGTGAAAATATACTAATCTATGTAGCGCAAATGGTCATGTGTTGAATTTCGTATTAATTAAAATGTTGCAATAGTGTAAACTAAAACTCAAAGTTATAATTACTTTTCTGTTATTCATTCATTATTTATTTCTCATATTTTATACTCTTTCTTTTCTTTGCATTCACAGTTGATCGGCGATTGACGTAAACCGTGCATCAAGTTACAATTAGAGAACAAAGCCATATTTCACGAAAAAACAATAATAAGCGAGAACAACGTGTTGTTGTTATTTGCATCGCCCGAAATCGAGTCGACATAATTCGTGCGCGCATAGATGAATTGATGCTGATTGTTTGCGAGAAATATACGAAACAAAAGCAGTTCATTTACGTGGCCGGCGCTCTGTATTCGAACAAATAGATAATTCGCTTAATTCACATATTGTTGTTGTTGTTACCGTTTTCGTTGGTCTTTTTGTTTCTCGCAAAATAAAATCAAACGAACGCTTGGAAAGTCATAGCATAAACGCGACAACAATGGCACAGGAGACACAAGATTTTAATGAGAAATTCTCACCGGATGAAAATATTTTCATTAACGAAGCCGATGGATTGACCAATCAGCATCCAATACTACCAATGGATGATGATGATTTTGAGGAGAATAATAAAAAACATTCGCCCGATTCGGATTCATTTGACGATCTACCTACCTCATTAATTGTAACCAATATTCATTCGGAAGTATTCACCAACGAACAGCAACGCAATGAAATTGAAAATTTATTTAAATTTTTTTCGCCGAATGCAAAGTTCCAATGGTTTCGTAGTTTCAAGCGTTTACGCGTTAATTTTGATAGTGCTGTTGCGGCGACCGGTGCTCGTGTACAACTCCATCAATACCAAGTGGGCAAATCGAAAATCAACTGCTATTTCGCACAACCAGTGACACCAGTCGTACGTATTTGCTAATTTAATTTAAAACTGTGCATAGCAACTGTAGCATTGGATTTGTAAAATTAGTGTTTGATTGCAAATGTGCCGATCCGAGGCCGAATTAGAGTCTGTGGATTAGTATCAGTCAAGCAAACGTTGAACATGTGACAATAGAAGGTTTTTAATCGATTGAATAAATCATTCTTTTCTTACTTTCATTTCAGGCTCACAAATTTCTACAACCTCCAGCACCATATAAACAGTTTTTGATATCACCGCCGGCATCCCCGCCGGCAGGTTGGATGCCACACGAAGAGGGTGAACCAATTGTTAGCCATGACCTGCTCGCTGCCCTGGCAAATCTCATGCCAGGCGAAAGCCATGAACTTCATCCACCGTCGACAGATCATCCTGGCATTGTGATTCATACAGCTAAGGTCAAGGATGAAAATGATGATGAAAATGATGACAATGATCAAGCTCCACAACGTATGATACAAACAAAATGCCCCGAACGAACGTAACCAGTTCATTGTACTTAATAGCGTTGATATTAATTTAATTAAAATTTGAAGAAAAAAAAAAGAAAAGAACAACAATAATACAACATCTCATTGAATTTAGAATACGGCCGAGCTACGAGCAATGTGCAAAAAAGTGATAATTTATTATTTTTGGGAATTTTCGAATCATTTGAGGGGAGAATTCAGACCAAACACAATGAAGAATAATAAGAAAGCAAACCGATGTAGACAACAATGTAAAACATTAAATAAAGGGCATATCTTTGTGCTGCTGTTTGCTGCAGCGGATATTCCTTTGATGCTAATTGATTTTTAAGAGTAATGATTCCAACATCATTTATTTGTTTTTTTTTTTATTGGATAGGTCGACGTGCAATTTATAGAGAGAGCATAATCTCTTTTCTTTGCTGTAAAAGTAAATGCTTTTAATGGCAGCAATTCTATTGTAATTTAATCTATTTAGTGTAGCTACCACAGTTATTGAAAACTATTTTTGTAATTTTATCGAAGCAAGAATAAAAAATTGAAAAGAGATACGGCTACAATATCCACAAAGCATCGATTTGATGCACGAATGACAGAGTGAGTAAGTGGAAAAAAGTGATTTAATTTAATGAAAATATGAAATGGAAAAATAAAAATAGAATGGGATTGAAGGAAAAAATACAAGACGTACTGAGAATATTTCTCGTACATGACGTATCATAGGAGGAAATTAAATCAACGAACCACCAGACCAGAGTTTCAATGCAACCTACAAAAAATGTACTATATCAAATAACAGTATCATGAATCTCAATGTTTCTACTATAAATTTGTTTGTTCTTCACTGTGGAACTAAATTTGGCACTAAAAATCGAAATTAACCAGGCATCATATATATTTTATTCAATTTACGAGATATACCTACAACACTGTACCATATAATCAAATCAAAATTGAATGTCAATTGTCAAACATGTTTTATTGATGTGCATACCATTGAGTGCGATTTAAGCACCAACCAAATCGATGCTCCGAACCAAAAATCAAAATAAAATACTTGTGAAATAAACAAACTAACTATTCCTCATATTTTTTTTTCGTGAATTAAAAAAGAGAAAGAAAAAGAGACAAAACAACTACCAAGTCTAAACAAAATAATAATTTTTGAATTTCATTAAATTATTGAGAGTAAAAAAGGACTAAAATTAGAATTCAAAATGTATAATATTTCTAAGATTTAGTAAATAGTTTAAAAAAATCAGATTTTAACACATTATATTATGAATAAATATTTGAAAAAAAAATCCGAAGCATATCCGCTCTCTTATTCACATCTCAAACATTCATATAAAAATAAATTCTACTAATTTCTTTTGAAATTTTAAAGTACATAGCTCATTTTATTTCGGTACACTGTTCCTCTGGAAATTAGTTTGAAGAAATATTCGTCCACTTGTTCAAGATAAATGGTTAATTTCTACGAGCTTAGTTTCAGCAAAAAATCGTTCAACTCGGATTGAAAAGTTCTTGGGTTGTTCAGAATTTAAACTTCAAAAAATAGACCTCAGATTAAAGAATTTGAATGTTGACAATTCATAAAAGTAATAGAACGTTGAAAACATTGTACCCTACCTCTAATCCTTCCTTGTCACCCATCGTGCCGTGGGCTGCAAAACTTTTTAAACAAAAATGCAAACACAGAAATTCACTATTCGCTCAAATTGAGTTTGGCAGGATATTTTATTCAATATTTCATTCGAGGTGGTGCACACAATTTACTGAATAAAGTATATATAAATGTACAATCTGTGCTTTTTCATGAATTTTACCATAAAGAAAATTCGAATGAAAAATCACTTCTGCAATGTTTGTTTTTTATTTTCCTAAATTTTTTTTATCCAAGCCATCACAACATTTACCACCTTACTGTCAATTGATAGAATTTTCGTAGTTGCACCGAGTCATTTAAACTAACGTCATCACAGGTAAACGAAATCCAATCAGCCAATCACTCGGTGTTAATTTGCCTGCGAAAGAAACTCAAACAAAAAGAAAACAAAAGAGAAAACGAAAGAGAAACGAACAGAAAGATACGAACAAAATGCTCGTGATTAACAGATTTTCGGTTGATAAATTCACACCGAACTCTCGCACACAATGAGAATCAATCCAATTTGGCATAAAACTCCGAATACCTACTTCAAAGTTATCACATTCTCGAAATATAAAATTAAATTGAATTAATTATAGCGAACTGGCACCGAAGCCTGCTCGTATAATTCAACTATCTATGTGTGGTGGTGATGGTGGCAATGGTGGCAATGGTGTTGGCATTCTAGTGCTTATTCGAAACGATGGTCTGTCTGTGTGTTCAGATGTATAAATTGGATAATGCGTGAGTGGTAATATGCACATTGCACACATTGGAAAAATGTCACTCAAAATCGATATTTTTTCCACTCCATCATTGTTTCTAATTACCATAGGAACGTTTAAATTGAAGTACTTCAAGATTCGTCAAGTTTTGTTTTAACTTCTCAAATTCCTTTCTGTGTTTTTTTACCTTTATTTCCATTGCATTTTCCGTAATCGTGCAATATGATTTTCCATTGAAACCATCAATGGTTGCACTTGATTTAATCCGTGAATTTGTTGTGAATCTCTTAAACCACAATTATCTTCGAGATTTTGTGAGGGAGTCAAAAGTTCACTCTTTAGCATTATGTTTGCAACACCATTGAATGAAATGAGCAATTTTCCAATTTTCATACACAAGTGGCAAATTTTCTTAGCTGTTGAGCACGCCAATCTGATTTTTTTGGCGTCTTAAATCTGAACGGTACCCACCAACACACTTTTATAATTAAATCCCTCTTCATTTAGCTATATCAAAAAGAAAAGGAAAGAAAACTCGATACAATATTTTTTTCGTCTTTTGCTTCCGTAACTCAAAAGCCAAGCGTTGACATTCGAGGCAATCTTCAATCATGACACAAACTGCAAATAAAATCAAGGAAATAAGATATCTTTTCCATTACAAACCTGAGCATATCGCTTTATTTCAAAATGAATTTGCTGATGCGCTACTATGATTGCATGACATTTTTTCTTGTTCCAAACACATATATACCGTTCCATGCATTGTTTGCAATGGATTATGTTTGTTGATAAAAAAAAACATATGATGCACATGGGTGAATGGAGAATGATGATATTGCCACAAGAATTTCATTTGCAAATACGTAAGCCGAATTGAGGTAGAAAAAAGCGGCACCACAAAAGTCATAAAGACACGTATGCGCCCATTTCATCATATCCAGTTCTAGTTAACTTTGGAACTTGGAGTGATTTTCCATGCTCTATTTTATTTTTGCATTGTTTTTTCTCAATTTTTTCTTTGACTTGGTTCGGTTCGTGCATATCAAAATTAACGTATATTACAATCATTCTTGTGCTAGCAATCGAGTGCATTCTCCAGTTTTTGTTGGATGTTTCGAATTTTTTTCTATTTGCTTGTAGAAAAGGAAACGATTTTTTGCAGATTTCGTTTTTTTTATCTATTTGAACTCTTTTTGTACAGTTGCTTTTTAATGAACGTTTTTTTTTATTTTGGAAACAATAAAATATGTTGTTACAATAGATCTCGTCCTAAAAACTAAATTGAATGTGATCGAATTGCTTGCTTGTGTCTCACTGTATGTGTATGTGTGTGTGTGTGTATCGTTTAAAATTCTCTATATATGGATATAATTGTGTTTTTTTTATCAATTACACAATAATTATTTATAATTATAAATAGATAAGAGATAACGATACAGATGATTTTGTACGAAAATGAAAATAGTAAATTTGTTCTGTTTCAAGTATATTGCCACTTTGTTTTACTCACGAGGCGAGTCATTACATAAAATTAACACAAGAAAGAAATAATGAGGGTGGCAATAGACATTTTTATTTTGGCAGCAATCATTTTCATTTATGCTGTAGACACTCGTGGATTGTCAGCAAAGAGCCACAAAACGACCGCCGAAAATGGCTTCAATTTTCTTTTTCAATCCAATCAAATTATACACAAAATTCTTGATTAAAACGTACATTTTTTTACTTTTATTTAGCATAAAATCTATATTTTTTTGTTTCTCATATGTGGTTGGTATCTCCGCTAAATATCTTAGGAAAAGAAAATTTCGCACTCAATCGAAATCGAAACAAAAGAGTTGACACACTCATTCAATACAAAATAAAAGAAACATTTACCAAAAAATAAAAAAAATACTCAACTTTTCTCTAATTATCATCATTTTACTTGCAATTTCTTGTTCTCTCATGCTCATTATTGAGTTTTTAAATAATCAATTTATATGGATTTGTGATTTTAAAATGAACTTAAACTAAATCGTTATCATTTATATATGTCATACTTATTTAAGTGGTTTCTAGAGTTTTTCCTGTGATTGTGCTACGTTGTTTATTTTGTTGGACCATCACGGGCTGGCCGCCTATGAATGCTATGTGCAATTTTTAAAAGTCTGAAATAGACTTTGCAATTGGCCATGTTAACAACCGCATTAATCTACAGTTCAAAATCAAAACCGCATCATCAAAGAGAAATTTAATTCTTCTTCTTCAATTTTTCTCTAAGTATTTTTTTTTAAATTCTTTTAGTATGTATCTTTATCTACTAATCATGAAAAATAGCTTTTTTTATATTTTGTGATTTTAAATTAAACAATTGGTTTGTTGTATGCTTAAATTGCCCGCAAAAATCATTTGGCACCATCACATTTAGACAAATAGTAATGGAAATATGTACTAATAGCAATAATAGTGATAATGGTTCTTTTTTTATCATTTGCATGGAAAATTTTTATACAATTTTCATTATGATCTGTGTTGTTGGCGCATGAACATGACTTACATCATTTTTCTCACATAAAATTGGAGAAATACAAATGATCGTGCAAATTGGCATTTGTTCAAATGAATTTGTGATTGTATGGATGCGAGTTCTTTTTGTCTGATTTTTTTTTTCATTTAAAAAAATCGCTTTCAATACAATGTGTACTGAGGACAAAATTAAATCATCACAACAATCTTCATTCGATGTATGCACGCGAGAACGCTCAGATCACATGCGTAATTATTGATTGATGCCAGAAAATAATTGTTGGGCTGGATGGAAGGAAGGTCGAAGAAGATGATCGTAATTAGAAAAGATACATATTCTTATATGTTATAGTACACCAAATCCAAATATTGGGCTACATTTACATTTTGGAATAATAATGAAAAAATGATGCAGCGAATAAACATTTTCGACTATCGATTTTGATAGATGTGATTCAATTTGCACTTCAAACTGCTGCATTTATTCTCTATTAAATTATTTCTCCGAAAAAAGACTATGTTATTCTGCGTTTCTTTAATTATTGTTGTTGTAGTTATTTATATCTCTCTATCATGCTAAGAAATTCTTTTTTTTTATTTAAATAATTTTGTATGGATTTTTGTTTGAGTGTTTTAGCTTGTCTTATACAATCATGATTTTGTATTTGTGTGCATTTATATGTAGATATATATAGTAAATATATATTTTCACTAATAAAAATTCTTCCCTCTTCAACTGTAAATTGGTTACGTTAATAAAAAAAATAAGAATAAAATGTTCACCATTTAAAAAAGAAATGAAGCAAATATTTTGTTTGTTTGTTTTTCATAAATTTGCTGTTGCAATTAATGTGTATGTTCTTAATTGTGGTTTGTATGTTGGTTTTAATATTTGTTGCTTGTGATTTGTCAAACTGTCAATTGTTTGCGAGATACGAGACTATTCATCTAATCGCACACCATCGGCCAAACAACTGTATGCATAACGAACAAACAAATCGTAATGCAATTTTACTGTTTATTGGACTTATGAGGTGGCTGCAACGCTTGTATCATTTGCCGCATTATCATTTTCATTGGCAGCGGATTCGTCGGCGGCGTTGTTCTCTGTATTATTTTCATTTGTTTCATTTGCATTTTCCGACTCGGTTTTCTTATCTTTTGCCTGTAAGGGGAAGAATCAACAGTTTCGAAAGAAAGAATTATAGATAAAATTTGTCTATTTAATCATGGCCACAGTGTTTTGCTGTGTATGTATGAGAGAGAGAGATTGATTGTTTTGAAGGGACATTTTGTTTTTGGGTTTTCATTGATTTCATCTGTACTTTTCGACAATTTGGTTTAGGTCTTTGACGATCAAGACACAAATTGTATTCAATTTCGATTGTGCTGAACCAGCATTTAATTTTTTTTTCTTTCAATTGGAAAACATTAAATTGAATTGAACCAGAATGACAGATTACTCATGAAAATACCGAACACTCAATTCGCATTTGATTGTTGTTGTTTTTATTTGAGGCGAATTTCAAATGAACGAGTCTTCAACATAATCAGTACCAGTCAAATGTGACTTGGTATGATGAGCAAAATTAAAAGTTAGATTTTTCCAAAACAAAAGTTTAAAAAAAGAAAGAAAATATGATTAGTTCAACGAATATCAGTTACCTTGTTCTTGTTGTATTCGGTACGGGCAGCATCATACATTTTAACAAATTCATCGCGTTTGGTTTTGAATTCGGCGAATAATTCATCATTTTTATTGCCTTTCAATTGATTGGCCAATTCAACCTTCTTTTCGTGGGCAGCTTTTATTTCATCCGTAACCCATGGCTTGTTCAATTGATAGCGATCTTGATTTCGACGCCCACCTTTGAGCTTACGGCCTTTTAAGTTTTTTGAACCCTTTTGGTTTTTTAAATTGCGTCCACCTTTAGCATTACCATTGGCCACCTTACTGTTGGCCAATTTACGGCGCAATCCCAAGCCACGTGGTCCGTTACCTCTGAATGGTCCATTACCATTGCCATTGGCCAATTGATTTCCACCTTGCAAACGACGCAACTGACGTCCAGCTTGACGATTCAATAATGGCAATTGTGGTGCCAAAATTGCAGCTGCAGCAGCACGGTTGAAACCTAACCAAATTCAATTTTATTATTCCTGAGCTAAATCGACTAATTTGCGCTTCATTTTTACAAACATTTTCGATGAATTTGTTTATAAAACAAACATTTCATTTTCAATAAAAAAAAACTAAGAAATTCTAAGGAAAAAAGCTATAAATACGAAAAAAACTGTCTTAAAATCTATGCTTACCTTGGTTGCTGAACAAGCTGGCGGCAAAATTGTTATCAAATGGTTGATTTGGGAATGGTGAACGTTGATTTTGTTGTTGGTTGCGGTATGGACCGGCATTGTTACCCAAGCCACCGAAATTAGCGATGCTGGAGCCGCCTTGGTTGTTGCCATTGTTGTTGTGGTTGTTGTTATTACGTGGGAATCGTTGATTATTGCCGCCCTGGTTATTACCATTCAACTGATTGTTGTTGTTGCGTTGATTGTTATTTCTTTGATTATTATTGTTAAAATTGCCTTGATTTCCACCTTGGTTGTTGTTGTTCTGCCTGTTGTTGTTAAAATTACCACGGCGTCCCCCTTGGTTATTGTTTCCATTTCCATTGCTGTTGCGGTTGTTGTTGTTGTTATTATTATTTTTCATATTGCGATTGTTACCATTTTGGTTATTGCCATTTTGTAAACTTTTGTTATTATTCTTTTGGGGTGAAAAGTTTTGGCGTGGTTCATTGAAATCCAAATAGCCTGGATTGTCCATCATTTGCGATGCATTTTGCAACAATTGATTTTGTTGCTGCAACAACATGGCGGCAGCTAAATTAAAGTTTCCCAAGTTTCCACCGCCATTGCCCAAGCCACCACCGCCACCATTATTGTTACGGTTTTGGTTGTTGTTTCGTTGATTTTGTCCTTGTTGCTTAAAACCACCGTTGTTGCCGAATTGACGATTTTGGCCTTGGTTTTGGTTTTGATTCTTAAAATTTTGTCGCAAATTACCTTGCCGATTTCCATTTTGGTTGCCATTCATGCCATTATTTCTGCGACGCATTTGATTATTTCCTTGACGAGCCACCATTTTTACAGATTTTCTTTTTTCAGTATTTTTATTTCTCAAAAGTAAATGTACCACTGATTATTTTATTTAAAAAAAAAAACTGTTGCTTTACTATTTAGCAAAAACGTTGCGTTGAAAATAATTCAATTGACTTTATGAATTGTTGAAAATTATTTCAATAATTTAGTTTTGTAATCTCGAGAGCAAAACAACTATACACACGAACACACAAAAGAACTTTTTAGAAGTGATGAGAAAAAACTTGAAAATGGCTGACTCAACTAATGGCTTGGTTTTGCGTTTTACGGTTGGCAGCGACACACCGAGTCATTAACACAAACTGAACACGTTTAATGAAACGTCAGAACTTGAAATGGATGCGTTCAATGCCCGCAAATGATACATATGAATGTGTGCTATAATTTTGTTATCAAATTTATAATTTGTATATATAAATTGTTTTGTGTGCGTAGCAATACAAAATAAATGAAAACAATTACAAATTGAAAATAGAATGAATCATATCGCGAAATAGAAAAAAACATCATTATCAAATCATTGATTGACTTGCAAACTGCTGGAAAACTGTCAAAAATGAATAAAATCGACGCAAAAGAAGAAAAATACACAAATAAAATTATTAAAAATATTATCGCAATTAATAATATTGATTTAGACGATTTTTTTTATTTGGAACAAGATTTGGATTCTTACGAAAAGGTATATCGAGCATATAAATTGAGGAAGAGTTGACTTGATTTTATTTTTTCTAATGACTTTGATGTTATTTATATATCAACAGGTGTCATTGATATTTCTATTACTAAATGCCGCTGATAGGAATGAGTATAGATATTTTTTGCAACAGTTATTGTCGATTGATAAGGAAAAACCGACGGATTTATTGAGAACATGGGCCAAGGATAAAATTGATTGGAAGATTCATATACTTGAAGCGCTTTGTTTGATTCAAGCTAAATATGTTATACATAAACTAGGGTTGGACTATGTCGAATTGTGTGAACGATTTCTACCATTGAACTACTACACCACCACACATGTTCACCTAATCGTTAAGCTTCTTTATTATGTATGCGAACAATTGACCATTAGAGAAAGTAGAAAACTCATCGACTATATGCAAAAAAAATATCCAAGCGTTCGAAACGTCAACTATTCGGACAATGGAGATTATATAGAACTTTATTTTATGCATTGGATTTTGGAAAAGAATGTTATTGATGTTGGTCAAACGAACCAAAGGTCGAAGTACGATTGTTTTTGTTAAATGTTTTTCATAACTTTCTTTCATTTTTCAATTATTATAAGCGTCTATTTTGAATTTTTTTTTTTTTCATTTTCTAGTGTTCCAGAATGTTGTAATTTGGAACCGATTATTCTATGGTTAAAAGAGAATGAATTTGATTCGTTGAATGAAATTGTGAAGAATGTCACAAAAGAATTCAATGGTAGAGTCCAAACGGATGACAAACAAGCAACAACTGTTGAAGAAACCTTTGCAAGTTTGAAATTGCCGGTTGATGGATCGAAATCGGCCTATAAAATTCGCAAAGACTCGGCCGGAATTGTGTTGATTATTAATCAGAAGAATTTCCATTTTGATGCGAGGCCCGAGTTCAAAGATTTCTTACCCCGACGTCGATTAGACACACGCAATGGTACTGATCGGGACGCCGAAGCCATTGAACAATCTTTCAAATGCTTTGGCTATAACGTACGCATCAAATGTGATCGATTACACACGCAAATTTTGGACGATGTACAAACTGTAATCGATGAAAGTATAAAATACGATTCGGTCATTGTTTGCATTCTATCGCACGGCCACAAGGGTGTGTATATAACTTTATTTGTTTCAGTTTCATTTAAATGATTGTTTCGTATTGATTCAAACATAACAGGTGTCGTTTACGGAGCAAACAGTGTAGCAGTTAAAATAGAAAGCATTGAAAAGTTAATCATTTCAGATAAATTAATTGGTAAACCGAAAATTCTCATTATACAGGTATATTGAACATATAATGTGAACGAGTGTGAGGATTGATTATTTTTTTTTTTTTTTTGCTAATAACTTTGATGTTAGGCGTGCCAAGGAGAAGAGACACAAAGAGCTAGAGATGTAATTTTGCATTCGGAGTGTTACGATTTCTATACAATAACAGTCTTTGATTTGATGTTTTTTCATCTAGATTGGTTATCTTGCTCATGACGGCCCATCAAATACGCTGCCGGTGTTCAGTGATTTCTTAACGTGTATTTCAACTGTCCCGGGTTTCACGTGCGAATAATTTCATTTTTTTAAAATTCTCTTCCAATTCACTAACCTTAAATGCTTACTTTTAATGTAGATCGATTCGTCACACTGAACATGGATCTTGGTTTATACAAACGCTGTGCGATAAAATTAAGCAATTTGCTCATCAGTAAGTTATTCGAACATTCATCAAAAACATCCTGAACTTTTTTTAATTGAAAATAATTAATTTTTTCTGCAGAAAACATTTTCTTGACATTTTAACGGCGGTCACCTATGAAGTATTGAATAAGCGTGGCCGAGATAATGAATGTATGGTACCAATTTTCCATTCGACATTGCGTTTGGGTCTTTATTTTCCCTGCACTACTTGACGGAAAAACACGTTCATATTCATCATTGTTGGCATTTAAAAAAATGCCACCAAATCAATTGTGAACATTTATTACATGGCTTAAGAAAAATTCAATGGATTTTTTTTCGCAATAAATCTTCCAATTTGCGTTGGCAAATGACATGATTGAAAGATAAATTTGCATAATGATTGGGTTGAATTAATAAATAATTGCTCTAATTATTCTTATTTTACGATATTAAAACAAAAAAAAACAACAAAGAATTTACACGTTAATTGCTCGAGCAATGCGTTGAAATAGTAACGATGTAATTGCGTCGATATTGTTTGTTCACGGCAATTATGATGATAAGTCTTCAGAAAATTAACAACTTTATTTAGAATGTCGTCGAATTAGATGAACAAATTGAAAGCTAATATTTTAGGGTGTAATTCTACACTATTTGCAGAAGGTATCGAACCAATGAACCTTGATTGTTGTTTTTTTTTCTTTTACAATGACACTATCAGAATGTGCATTTATGAGAAAGGTCGACACCATAATTATAAACATGTGTATGACGTGCACATTTTCAACTATAAGCTGACATATAGATCTAAATTCATTTTAATCAGTTTCACTGACCTCTTTTTCCGTTTGCCTAATTCAATCGGTTGGATGATTGGTTTTAAGAAAAACGAGACTACAATTCAATTCGGGACAGTTTTAATAGGCTTCAAATCAAATCGAATTGCGTTTTATCAATAAAGATTCATTGTTCTTTGGTGATACATTCGTATCGTTCATCATTTGTATAATCTATCAACATTGTTGTCACAAAAGCAACGGTTCACATGAAATCAGTATTGAAATTCTATTGAAAAAAGGTCGTAACATTTTAATCAATTGATATTATTCGTAATAAAATGTTTTTGCAATATTTAAATGAGTCCAGATGGACTTAAGTAAAAGTCACAAATGTTTACGATCTATATATTGAACGTACTTTGATATGTCGTTAGTCAATAGGTTTACAACAACGAACACAGCAAACGACCAACTTCTTACATGAAAAGAACCAAAAGAAAAATGTTTCTTTCTACAAATATATGTGCAGCTTTGAAGAATGTGCTTATGGCGACACGGATGTAGAAATTTCAACACAAATCGATATAGCACGTGCATGAATACATCAAAATATTGACGAATAAAAAAAAACAATTGTTCGTGGCGCCCGTTAGCATGTTCATGTACATTTATAAACTCTATCGACCGCGGTGTAAATATTTCATGCACATGTACACGTATAATTATCCTGATTCGATTTACGGTGAGATTGTGTTTGTTCGATTTTTGTTTCATTTTTACGTCTATCGAAACAAAACGATGATATTTCATCAGCCACTTTAAAACTTTAAAATTTCTCCTCGATGCGGTTTAGAGAGTCAGCTATACACATATACATAAATCATGCGACGCAAGAGAGAAAAACATTTAGACGCAAAGTCACGAACTGAAATCATATAAGGTTGTCGACGACGTTATGATATTCATTGGATGCTATTGCTGATGATGATGATGATGATCAAGGACCGTCTGCGTTTGAGACAATTTGCATTCAATCGAAAGCTGTCTCTATTTTACACGCTCCAATGATATGCCATTCTATATAAAATATATTATTCAATATATGCAAATAGTAACGATGTTAAGTACTGGATAATTTGTGCACATTAGCAGCAACAAAGTGCATACAAGAAGCCAATCACCGCAACAATGACGACGTCGGTCTTTGCTTCACAAAGAAATTAAATAAAAAAACATCAACAATAATTTAAGTTTGAACAATATACCGCACACATAATTCGCTGAGGTGTTTGTTTTTGTTAATTGCTTAATTACGCGTGTTTCGTTTATGTATTTTGTTGAATCGATCATAACACTTCAAGGTAGATAATAAAAACACCTCGTTCTTTGAAGCAGATTTTTTTTTGACCAGCAAAATATGCTAATTTAAGCACGCTAGCTAGAGAACATGACCATAAGAGAGCACGACAATTTTGCCGGCTGCGGCTGCAACACGTACGGCACACAATCGACCCCATCAACACATATAGCAAAACTAAAACATATTCTTTGTCGGTTTTAAAGCTTAAATATAAGCGTATTTGGTTGATACAAGTGCGTTACACATAAAGATCTGACAGCGCTACTGCATGAATTCGCGTTAGAAAATCGACTTAATGTGTGTGTATATAAATAGAAATCGTTCATTCCATTTCCTTCGTCGTTGCAATACGATACGCGTTATGGTGTGTGGCAATCGAAACAAACAAAACGAAATAAACAAATAGCACACTATTTGAGATGGAAAGAGAGACCAACTCACACTCACTTTTTTTGTTGAGTTGTGCACACGCGTTCGATCGCTTCAAGTTGTAGCGGTTACGTTAACCGCTATCTCTCAGTGAGAGAGTTTTTGTTTTCACATGAAATTTGCAACTGAACAATTTTTCCCTGATATAATTCTGATTTTGGTGGTTCGGCCTCATTAGTCGCATGACAGTCGTCGAGCAAACAGCTAGTTCTTCGTTTTTTTTATTACTCTGTCCATATTTGCACCGTACACATTCTCTATCGCGATATCTTCTAAGCAAAAATTCTTATTATTTTTCTATAGTTTATTTCCTTTTATTTGATAAAAATCAAATTGTGAATCGGTTGATATTTTCCAAAGTAAAGTGTTCGTCTAAGTGATCGGTTTGCGTGCAACTGTGTGTATGTGTCTTGTCAATGCACTCTACAATTAGAATGTGCTTATTATTTCAATAACCCCGGTTGTGTGTGCATGCATGATTTATTATCAAATAACTTCATCAAAGCTATAAAAGCAAGTTATATATTTTTATTTGATACAATTACGGTCGGTCGTGGTCGTGGCCAATGACGATTATTAGACCGCACACAGAGAACGCACAACAGATAAATTGAACAATTTAGAAACAACGACACAAATTTTGGTCATGACATTGATGCAAAATTAGCCAAAATTTTGCGTGTGTGTGTGTAAAAAGAAATACTATTACATGAACAGAAACGATATAAATTGAATAACCAAATACAACAACATTTAAGATGGCAGATGAACAGTTACTATCGAAACAAAATAGCGCGCCAAATGGATGCATTGTAGCTGCTGTAAATTCTGCCGGCGCAAATAATCAACTAAATCATAATGATGCTGGCAAATTGAAAAATTGCTTAAACGGCGGCGACGTCAACGGATCTTATCGAACAAACGACAACAACACCAATAATAATAAAATTCATCAACATGAATTCAATATAAATTTGAATGAGACGCCGCCGTCGTTATCATGCGTTGAGCCACCCGATGGTGGCGCACGTGCTCTGTGTGTTATGATTAGCGCATTCTTTTGTAACAGTATCATTTTTGGAATAATCAATACCTATGGCATAGTCTTTGTGAAAATAAATCAGTATTTAGAGGAAAATGGGGATACCGAAGCTGCTAGTAAAGCTGGTAAGATTTAAAAAATAATGTGATGGTAATCCTGTGAATTTCTCTTTTAATTTTCAAAAAAACTCGATATTTCTTGCAAATTCGTATAATGAGTTAAAGTTAGGGAAGAGTTTTGAATTTCTACTGATTTTTATGATCTTGCTCAAAATTTTTGAAATCTTATCTTACTTAAAATTTAATGGTTGTGCCATGGATTTGCGTGACAACTGCAACGAAAACTGCGGTTATTAAACTGTATAAATTCGAAAGAATTTATTTTTAGAATGCGACAATACACATTTTATACATTAAATGCGTTTAAATATTGTTCACGATGCCATGAAGCATTCACAAAGTGTTCCGTGACGTTCCCAAAATAGCAATCCTTGAAGCAGTCAACAGTTTTAAGCAAATGCTCATAAAAACATTTTATAAAAAAGTGTCGGTGTGATATAGCTACATGTATCGATGCTTAATCTTATCTCATTTGTCATAAGAGAAATTTTATAAAAATCATCCGATTTGACTTTTACTTTCGACTCCGTTCAAGGGTTGAACTCACTTATGTGGATTTCCGTTAAACACTCCTTCCTTGACCAGCATATTATGATAAGAAATATAGCTGCGTCAGACGTAAATCAAAACAAAGCCAATTAATCTCTTATCAAAGTACAGCCACCAATCATAAAGTCTATCATAAATATTGTTTTTATTGTTTTAACATATCACCAGTCAATTAAAATGAACTTCATGTTTATTGAATTGTATTTCAGTCAAAACTGATATTTTTTTTCCCTTTGATATATTAAAATCTGTTAAATTGGCAATCATTTAATTTATTCTGACTATGTTAAGAAATACTTTTTTCCACTATTCACTCCAATCAAAATTCAGTGGAAATTTTCCATTCCAATTGATGTAAAAACGTTCATCACTGTTGTATCAACATCATTATCTGTTTTTCTGAAGACATCAACGTAACTGTTTCTCCATACACGATAGAATATTTTCTTTCATATCGTTTATGCTAACAATTTATAATCATTTGGATTAACCCTGATTCTCGATTCCAATAAATGTGCATTTCAATTGACAGCGAAATTCGTTGAACTCAAATCCTTGTGTGGCTTTATTTATCTTCTAATTTGTCTACAATTAAAATAATTGGAACAAGTTTCATTTGGCATGAATACACATTAAGCATGAAAACTTAGAATGAATATATGACATTAAATGGCTGGTTATTGAGTAATAATTGCGATGAAAATGCAAGTATTTTGATGCTTTTGCCTTTTGAAATGACTCTTTTCTTAATAGTGTGCATCAGAACTAACGACTTACCAAAGGAAGAGAAATTAAATGGTGAGATTCAAGTGTTGCTCGTTTTCATTTGAAAAGTCAAATATCAACAATTGTTTACCGATCGTATTTTGCTACGATCATCGCAAAGTTTATTTTAAAAATATTTATCAAATTCTAGACATTGTCTCCATCTCCGTGAATAGCTTTATGGCTTTGATATTCAAAACAAATAATTTTTTGTATTAAGCCAAAGCGCATTCGCTTTGAATTGGGTAAAAAGATTACACATAAAAGATAAATGTAATATGATTCCAGAGTTCCGCATTTTCTTTCATTAATTAATGAAGCTATTATCTCGTCAAAAAGGTGCTCGAATGCAAACATCGAATTGGGAACACCATTTTTTTGTAATCTTATATATTCAGTGATAACTTTTTATATTCGTAAATTATCCGAATACAGTTGCGAACAGTTTCAAATAGTAAATACACTTTATAGCATTTTCAACTAGTTGAATGAACATTATAGCGTATATGATGATTTTATAATCTTTGCTTGCGACACCCCCTCTGTGTCGACCGAGGAAAAAAACATATTTGACAAAGGAGCAAAAAAGAACAACAACAAGCCTATCTACAATGCCATATGAAATGGAATTAACATCTGTGTTCGAAAGAAGAAAACGAGAAGAAATATTCCATGTCTGTCATAAGTGATGTAAAAAAAATTGCAGTTGAATTTGCATAGTTGAAGCGTAACCGAAGTGTGTGTGTGTTTTTATCAAAGTTGAAAGTCGAGACTGTGCAAAAGGGCAGAATACGTCGGGGCCATGGGTGTTTATTGCATTTGATAAAGTAAAAACGTTGCGATTCTTAAAATTTTGTATAATTGTTTGAGTTGTTTTCAAAATATTTGCTCAAAGAGAAAGGTATGCTATCTTCCGATGACTTAATCATTTATTCAATGTCAAATAGGTCATGTTGTGATAAACAATACCAAGTATTTTACTGAGTACGATATCAATAGAAAAAAAAACACATTCATTGACGCAAAATTGAAACTCCTTCGTTTTTTATTATCGTCGAGATGTAATATTCAAACATTATCAATTTAAATTAAGTGTCAAATGCGAATAATTGTGAAACAGACGTATATACAATATATAATTTTTTTTTTTTCATAAAAATGTCGTCGAAAAGAAAACAGATAGTATTTTTCTAGAGAATCTCACAATCATCTTTATGATAATCGTTTTTATACGAAACAAATGATTTTTTATTTTTTTAATAACACAAAATTGACTAAAATAGGTTTTTTTTATCGTTGAGCGTACACACATAATTTGTAACGTGAAACAAATGAACGTGTTTTTTTTTTGATTTCGTGTGTAAATTATGCTGATTTATTGCCAAGAAGAAGTATAAAATTTGACATCAAAACACTTTACACATTATTCTGCATTTTTTGCTCAATTTATTCATTTATGGGAAAATTCCTGTTTCACTGCAATTTCATGTAATTGATTAAAGTGTGTTGCAAATAGTTTGTAAATGTCGTCAATGCATAATAAAATCAAACAAAAAAAATTCGCAGTAGCGAGAATTGACGTTGATTAGATGTTGTGGCAATTGTTGGTAATAACACAATGTAAAAAATGAGCGATACATTTTCGGTTTCTTTCTTGCATAAGCTAACAACAAGAGTTTTGTTTTTGGCGCCTAATTAAATTCAGCATCGCGAATTGAGGCAAGAAGCATTGGGATCAATTTACCATATTACATCGATACATACGATTTGAATGGAAATATTTGTGCATGGTAATATAATTAATTAGGAATTGATGTCAAAGTACACTATGAAGCCATCAGCATGAAGTTCCGCGATACATAATACCAAACGAAAAAAAAGAAAGACTAAACGAGTGTGGGTATTTCTTGAAAATGCCAACAAATGTAATTTTCTGAAAACTTGAAGCACTTTAGAGGTTTCACTAGCCGATTGAAATCCTACGAAATTTACGCTAATTTTAACTTGTTATCCATGGTATTCTTTACATGCTTACATTATTCGTTTTAACCGATCAATAATAAATGACTGATATAGCAAATATTACGCAACTGGTCGAAAAAATTGTGTACATATAGATTATTAAATAATAATATTAGTCATTTTGTTCCATCATCCAAACAATAATTTAATATTATAAAATATAAAACATTTTGATTTATGCATAATTGTTTATTGATTTCGTTTCGTTTCTTCCACAGCTTTGGTCGGTTCATTAACAATTGGAACGACATTCTTTCTGTCACCAGTATCGGGTATTCTGACCGATAAAATTGGACTTAAAATGACCACGTTCATTGGTGGTGTACTTATGACTGCTGGAATGATGTTATCGTCAGTACTGTATCAAAACATTTATCTCCTCTACCTTTGTTATGGGATTATGTACGGTATTGGAGCTGCTATGGCATACACTCCGACAATTTCAATATTGGGCCATTATTTCAAACGGCATTTGGGCATTGTTAGCGGTTTTGTGACTTGTGGATCCAGTCTATTTACCATAATTTTGCCAAAAGTATTAACCTGGTTATTGACTTATGGTTTAACCACGACATGCGTAGTTTTGGGCATGAGTACGACGATTGTAATAATGTGTTCCTTAGTTTATAAGCCTCTTATTTTACCGCCACCACCGCCAAAACGAAAGGTTGGCCAATCAACAATGAGTACTTTAAAAATGCATTTTCGATCGTTGATTCACGTGGAGAATTTCAAACGTATGCGATATATTGTGTGGGCACTTTCAATGCCGGTCGCACTTTTAGGTTACTTCGTACCATACGTACACATGGCCAACTACATAAAAATTCAATTTCCCAAAAGTGATAAGGACTTACCGATCATGTGGTAAAATGTTATTGAAACTCTTGTGTCGATATTTAATTAATTTAATTTAATTTTATTTTATATTTAGTATTGGTTTAACATCGGGATTGGGACGATTATTTTTCGGTTACATTGCTGATTTTAAATGTATCAATCGAATTTTCTTGCAACAAGTGTCCTTCGCACTAATGGGATTGTTTACAATCCTCATACCGATGGTCGATTCATTCGAAATGGTTTTGGTACTTTCACTTGGCATGGGAATCGTTGATGGTTGCTTCATATCATTGCTCGGGCCCGTTGCTTTCGGTATTGTCCAGTGAATAGATTGGGCTACAGCTATAGCATAGATGTCCGGAATTGTATCACTGCTATAGCTGTAGCCCAATCTATTTTCATATCTATGTTCCACTTGACTGGGCACAATATTAAAAGATTTGTTGTTGTTGTTACAGATTTATGTGGTAGCAAAGGAGCCACGCAAGGAATCGGTTTTTTGCTTGGTTTGTGCTCTTTCCCAATAACAGTCGGAGCACCAATTGCTGGACTTTTATACGATCAAACAAAATCATATAAAATGTCATTTGTAATGGCTGGCATTCCAGCATTGATTGGAGCAACGATGATGACACTGATTCGGTTTGTTCGTGACGAACGGATCGATGTGTGCGATAAACAAGGCGCAGATCAAATTCACAAACTACTCAATAAACCAGCATGGACAGAAGGTAAGCGTTATTTAATATTTCCATTACGTTGTGCACCTCACAAAATAATATTAAAAAAAAAAACAAATATGTTTCTCGTTTTATGTTTGTCTGTAGATATTACAATGGAAATAAAAGAGAAAAACTGCAACACATTTACATTCCAAAATATCAACGGCGGGCAATTGAAAGCAGCGATTGCACCAGAAACGACAGGTATATATTCACCGCTATTATATGGCTTACATTTTTCCGAATTTTTGACGGAGGAAGCTTACATGTCCAATGATTCATTACCAATACCCCCTAGACGTAAATACACCTATAGCGTATTTTAGATTATAATCACATCAGACATTTTCTTGATGCTTTTTTTATTTTAATTTTATTATATGTATCGCCTATTGAAAGCATATTTATCACCATTTAATTATTATTATTCGATTGATTAGTATATGGAATGATCTAATTTGACTTATTCCAGTGATGGTTTTTTGCTGTCTGAATAGCGCTAGTACAGCATTGCTGCCCAGATGCTGATTCGATGCGTTCACCGCAAACCGCATGCGGAACACACTTTTTTGTACCACACACAGCGGCGTGCGGTGAACGCATCGAATCAGTATCTGGGCAGCGAATATCTAGCGCTATTCAGACAGCAGTTGAACGTAGATGCATTGAAAATGTGTCAACTTTTGTTTTCTAGTCAAATAGCCCAGGTCAATGGTGATTAAAAAAAATAATACAATTATTATCACTTTCGACACAAAACTCTGATTGCTTTTGTTGCTTTTAATTTATTATGAAAAGAAACGATGGCTATTTTTGGAAAATTAAATTGGATGATTGCAATAATTTATATTTTAAGATTAAAACAATGAATGTTAATACATATAGATAAATCTCAAGCCAAAAGATACTAATATATTTTATTAGGTAAATGCACTTTGCACTTTTATTTAACATTAACACATCGATATTTTGTACAAATGAGATTTTTACAAAAATAACTGCACCATATTGATTGTTTTTAAATTTAAAAGTAGAACAAAGGTTTTTTTTTGCTTGATCATTGTTTGCGGTGCATTTTAATTGAACTAATTTAAATGGAAAAAAATCAAATGTAGAAACAAGAAAAAAAGAAAAATCTAATAGAGTTTTTTCTTAAGGGTGATGGAATACTGAAATAAAATACAGACCAGAGACGGGTTGGAGAATGTGAATATATTCCAGTTTGAAAGATATTTAAAAAAATCTTTCCTTCAAAAACACTCAATATCAGCTTCGAAAAATTACTGAATTCACTAATAACTTACTATACTTTCGTAAATTTGGCAGTTTTAAAAAAAATTCTATCTAGATCTAAAAATTTGGAGTAAAAAAGTTGAATCTCAATTTCTGGATTTGTGCTTACATTATTCGACATTATTACTCAACAACGTATCTCTGTGTTTAACAAATAATATCCTGTATTATGTATGTAGTTGAATATTGAATGAAGATGATAAAATTGAATTTTATAAATTTGGTGTTGGTAGTTTTTTTATGCAATAGTTACCCATTTCCGTCCACATTTTTCCGATTCTCATTTTTCCTACCACAAGAAAAAAAAAATATATTTTTGGATGTTTCAATTGTCATTTCAGAATTCCAAATTGATGGTGAAGATACTAAGCTTTAAGAAAATGTGATTCCGATGAAAGGATGCATCGCCCAGCTACCATTTTGAACTTAAACACAATTATTATCATACATATATACATCATCCTATGCGTCTTATAAATTTAAGTGTCTCGTAAAAAGTTTGCTTATTTTCAAAAGATGAACAATAATCATTTTTTATAATCATAATCATCCCCAATTTATGCAGTCATCGGTCTGATAGTAAAAATGCGATTTATAAATCTATTATTTAAACAACACAAAAAAAAACACGAGAATACTTTAGTTTAGGAACGAAATCTGTATGTATAGTACACGATTGCTTCTTGGACAGTGCCTAAATGAATTTTTTACACATGTATTTTACTCGCTAGTTTATCTGAAATGCACGTGAAATGAGTATGATATTTAAAAGATTTTTCTTTTAAACTTTCTCTTATATGCGAATTTATTATTTTGTTTTACAAACTATTCGATATTTACACACGTCAATTATGATATATTCATCAAATTAAAATAATAAATAAAAACATACAAACTATTTACAAAAACTATCACGAAACAATGCGGTTTTTTTTCGAAGTGTTGGCACTAGGAATATGATACTGTGCAAATGAGAGGTAAATTCATCAAAAATATGGGTGTTTACTGAAATTCAATATCATCAATAACGAGAATTCCAATCATTCTAATTCATTTTGTAGTTAATTCTGCGAAATACATTTGTTTTAGTGCCAAGAAGTGGTCGATTCGAAAATACTGTAAAATTGAATGTAAGTCACTGTCTAACTTCTGGCGCTTGACTTTGAATGGCCAGTTGAGTCAGTGCAACCCACGACAGCCAGACCGTTAGCGTATTGATAGCGATAAGAAAAAATGCGGCATGTCCGGTAAGTAGCGTGTTTGCGGTGCGTTTACCTTATTGTGGTGTAGTGTAACGATATGCGGTGTGTGTTAATGTGTATTAGTATCTCCAATTATACTGGCCACATGTGTTTTGGCGGTTTGCGTACAAACTGTGCGATAGCTATTTAAATCACTTTACGTCAAATCCTGCAACTGAAATTGTGACCGTTTTGAAAAGCGAATGAACAGCAAAAAAAAAATCAACAACAAACGAAACCCAGACACAGCTAATACGATTTCGATTTCATAGTATATGTTGGTATAATGGGTACAACATCGAGTGCTTGACACACATTTTTTCGTTTTTCATGCGATGTCGATTTTCATGGTTACAAAGTTTACAATGTGCTTCAATTATCACTTGCATATTTTCATGTAAATATGGTATGCGCTGCAGAAAAAAATGCGTTTCAATTAAACCACATAAATTAGCGTTTAACTTGAACGAAGAACGAAAACGTTTGACTTTGAGACAAAACCGACATTCATTCCGCTATTGTTTGACAGTCATTTGAAAAACATTCACCAACATTCTTATCATATTCAGAACATTTTTTTTTTTTTGTGATAATTTTTTGTGTGTGTGAATTGGTGACATCGAATCTATTTGAGAAATTGGTTTAGACTAAACAAAATGCGTGTATGTGTGAAAGTGTAAACGCAGAACTGACGATATCAACAGAGTCAGAGTGAATTGCGAGAAAGAATACACATCGTCACTATTTAAATCGTGTTCCTCCGACGTATCGGTTAAGCTTTATAATATTCATTCTCTGCCATAGGTGTGCATTCGATTTTGAACGGCCAACGATAAAACGTTGTACGTCCTCTAACCAATATTTTAACAGTTTATGATTTAGTAACCAGCAATACTGCGAACGAACCAGTTTTGCGTGCGAATCAGTGTGAGCACATGCAAAATTGTCGGGGAAAAAAATAAAGAGTGAAATTCCATCTCAGTTTTTTTTTTTTTTTTTTTTTGAATAATTATCAATTTTTTAATCGATGATTTAATTGGAGTGTCACATTTATTAAATTGCAATTACTATCAAACGCATGACTTGTCATAAATCTCTATATTATTATTATTTTCATATGTGTTCCCGATTATTTTTAGTTATTGTAATGTCGATTGAATAAATGTAAACGATTTTTTGAAAAAAGTCAAATAACTGCGTAAAAGTGGAACGAGTTTTGTTTGTTTGGAGTAAATTCGTACCATATTTGTGCATTGTGTAACAAAAAGGACTATAAAATTCGTCTAGAAGTCAAATGATATTTAAATTATTGCATTCAATTGGATAAAACTGCGGTTATCAAAATGGGTGTTGATCATACGCTAGAGGAGCTCATGGGACAACTCGGTAAGCTATTATAAACTGTATTGTGTAAAGTCTGTCATTTGAAATTTGAATAAACAAAAACGCCATAACGTTTTGTGTAAACCAACAACAATGGATAGAATTTTGTTGTGTTGAGAAAAATATATTTATGCATATAGACATTAGAAAGTGAATTTATTACATCATAATACGTTTAAAATAATGAATTTCATTTAAAAAAAACCGAGACAAATAAATAGGTGATAATTTAGGTTCTTTATGGTCGTAATTCAAATTTCCACCTAATAAAATCAATTTCAAAATGCAATAAAACGTACTGCTTTCGTGGGTTACTCCAACGGTTGTAATTAGTCGGCAAGCAGAGATGACTTTCAATTTTGCACACATCGCGCGAAAAATGACTTTTGCTTCAAAAATCTGTACAAAAGACCACGTATTTTTCCAACGCAGATATTGCATTGCATTGAGCATGCGCAAAGACCTTGTTTTCATTATACTAAAATTGAAAATATTTTTCCATTCAATGGCACGTAGATTTTTCGGTGACCGGTCATATTTTCCCCGGTTACAATTTCCCCCATACAAATCTAATGGAGAATTTATGACCGAAATATTGAAGAAAATAATTCCTCTTAAAATTTGGTCATATTTTCCCCAAGAAAAATATTTTATTTTCGGGAAATTGTGGCCAAAAACCTAGGGAGACTATTTCCAATTCGATTTGGACGTAATTTCCCGGGGAAAATATTACCAAACTGATGGAGAATTTACATCCAAAGCTAAATGGATACAATTTCTCCATACATTTTTTCAAAAAATGGAAGAAATTGTGGCCAAAATTCGAAAAAAAAATCCCAATTAAAGTGAAGAAGCTAAAGAAATAATTAAAATAAAATGTCTTACATCCGTAAGATGAACTTTTCCGCACTGTGATCCATAACATGCATTTATTACAAATCTTTTACTCAAAGAATTCACGAGAAAACTGAATCTGACATTAGTTTTACGATACAAATAATTTTCGAAGCACTTTTCATACAAAAACTAATAAAAATGGGAATTTTTGTATCGCAGCCATGCCTATATGATATCGTAATCATGTGAAAATTTGCAGAGGTTTTTTTTTCACAAAAAGTTAACATTCTGAACGTTTGAAGAAATTTCAATGCATATTAGGGATACTTCCCATACAAAATTTCGTGTTTGAGCGAAAAATCCAAAATTTTGTTCAGGAGGTACCCCTAATATGCGTTGAAATGTCTTCAAAGTCTCGGAATGGTATTTTTTTGTGATAAAAATAGCCTCTGCAAAGTTTCAGCTAGTTACGATATCATACAGACATGGATTTCATACATAAATTCAATTTTTTTGAAATTTTTGTATGAAAAGTGTGTCGAAAGTTATTTGTATCGTAAAAATAACGTCATATTCGGTTTTCTCGTACCCAAAAACCCCCCAATACACATTTTTGAGTGTTTAGGAATACATTAAATATCACTTTTGGAAGAAAAATTGAATTTTTCCCATGGATGGCCATGGGCATGACACCAGACATGACACTTCACTCTGTCAACCAAAGTCGCTCAAAATCTAATGGTTTCTATTCCTCGGCACCCCCAATCATCCTGTGAAGTCAGATTTTGAATTACTTTTCTTGTTTGAAAGTTATCGTGTTAACAAATTTTTGCGTACAGCGTACAGCGTACAGGGTACCACGCACATACATTCGGACATCGAAAAAACGCTAGATTCGTGTTCCCTGGCTCCTAAAACACCCAGAAAACATGTTTTTTGAGGGTGTTAATTTTTCGACCGATTCCAATACTTTACCTTACACACTAGGTGTGTGCGGAAAAGTAAAATGTACCTAAATGTATAGTCGTTGACAAAACAATGTTCCAAAAATACATACAAAAATACAAACACTAAAGCAACATTTTCTGTAGCTTATTTGTATGTTGATGTTTCTTTTCATTTGTATTAGTTCATCTAATTGCGTATATACAAATTATGAATTCCATGAGTTTCAAGTTATCCATTTGGTGCCTCAAAATTTTAAGCATTGCATTGGTTCAGTGGTTACGCTTACAGCGCATAACAGTGAAAGACCCAGGTTCGATTCTGTGTTAAAACAAAATATTTTTTCTCTTTTTATTATAATCTATGTTATATTTTTTCGAATTAGTGTATTTATTATGAATGGAAAAATCAAGAAAAAAAATGATTCATCGTTCATTTGCTTCAAAAACAAGACATTTCGTCATAAAATCTTAATAAGATTTAATATGACTAGTTTCAAAGCAAATAAAAGATAAATATTTTTTTTTCTTGTTTCTCCCACTCATAAAAAATGGAGCAATGCAAAAAACTATGAAATAAAAAAAATAAGAAAAAAAGATGAAAGAAAAAAAAAATTGTTTTCACACGGAATCGAACCTGAGACTTTCAGTGTCATGCACCGTAAGCGTAACCACTGAACCAATGCAATGCTTAAAATTTTGAGACACCAAATGGATAACTTGAAACTCATGGAATTCATAATTTGTATATACGCAATTAGATGAACTAATACAAATGAGAAACAAAACGTGTTTTTGTGCATAGCTTTTCTTATCCAGTAATCAGAACACAAATACAGCCATAGCATATAGATTATAGCGATTATAGAACGCAGCGTGTATTACAGTGTAATATACATCAGTGATTTTCATAGTAGGAACATTGTTTTGTCAACGACTATACCACTTTTTTTAAAAACTGTACCATACTAGTTTGGATAATATTTGAAAAAGGTCACATTTTGGAAAATTTAAATTTTCCGGTATAGACCAAGAGCCAGCCACTGCAACAAGTAACTTTTTTTTTGCATGAATGAATTATGTAAAAAAACTATCAACTTTTTTGTCAGCTTTATGTCTGAAATTTTAAACATCGATTTTTTATCATAAAATAACACTAAATTATAAAAATCTGCACTTAAATACGCATATTTATTGTTTTCTGCATAAACAAATTTACATTAGAGTGGTTCGATGTTGATATTTTTACGAGAATCAAAAATCGTACTCCCATAATCTCTGTAGAATGGTCATAGAAACACGACTATGACAACTGTTTTGAAAAATAAATACCTTTCCTTTATGCCCGAAATATTGAAGAAAATAATTCCTTTTTCAATTTGGTCATATTTTCCCCAAGAAAAATATTTTATTTTTGGGAAATTATGGCCAAAAACCCGGGGAGACTATTTCCAATTCGGTTTGGACGTAATTTCCCGGGGAAAATATTACCAAACTGATGGAGAATTTATATCCAAAACTGAATGGATATAATTACCCCAGACATTTTTTTAAAAATTTGGGAAATTATGACCGAAATTTGGGGAAATTGTAACCGGGGAAGATATGTCCTGTAGCCGATTTTTCGTGTGTGCAACGACATAATCACCTGTCGAATTGGCATAATGCCATTGTACGTTAATTGACCGATGAAGACCTCCATCGCCACAAAGAAATAACTGTATTTATAAAATATTATTCATCGTTCACCAATGAAAAGTGATAGTCATAATTTCTTGATTCATACTTATCAATGGAATTTCTAAATTTTTTAAAATTGAAAAAAAAAAAGATTATTGTTTAATCTCAAATTTGGCTAATTTTCAGCAACAACGTAACAGCTTATGACCACTCAAATTCCATCACGTTGTTTTGTGATCATTTGATTTTGGTGAGAAATAGATGCTGACACAACGATAACCAAATGACCTATTTCAGCACACAACAAATGTGTGCGAGTTTTATTGTTGATGTTTACCTACTATAATACCAAATTCTATAAATTATTTTAAAAAGAATTTGCTGACGCAACCGAACTTAGAATAGCTGAATACTTATTTTAACAACAAGTCAGAAATTGATAAAACACATTCCTTGAACGGTGATAAGTGAGCGAATTATCAACTTCGGTTCGATTATGGAAAGATTTGAATGAACTTTTAAAACGTCTTTTTTTATGTTATCTATGAATTGTAGCGATTCTAACTAAATTATAATCAGTCAATGTTTTCAGCATATCTTGTTTTGTCTGATACAGCCAATTTCAAACAATGTATTAAAAAATACAACGCCCTTTATTGGTGAACAACTGAAGCACCAATGTACCTTCAATATTTCGTTTCTGTCAGGTAATTGGGTTTTGAAGTGACTCATTACAAACTATAATATTAATTGCAAAAACTTATTTCAACTGTCAAATTTTGAATAAAATAAGAAAGAGCCAAATATGAATGTCATTTTTATGACATACTGTTCGATATACAGTTCTGATTATGATGAACTTTAGCTTGTTCTCTGAACAATGATAAAATCTATTCATACACTTGGTGTACCGCAAAAGTTTTCACTCAATAATTGAAATAAAGGAATAAAGTGAATTCACTGATTAAAACGAATGATTGACGTCTGATTAACAAACAACTGTGCGAATAATATACGTGAATATTTTACGATTATTATAGAAGAACAAATGATTATCAAATGTTGAACATTTTCTTGACGATAAAAATATAATTGATTTGTTTGTATGTATTTAATTATTCTGTTTATATATGTACAATGTACAACCTATCGAATTGCTAGCTCTCAGTTGGAGTAATGTTCAGTTTTATAAGCAAAGTTTGTTTACAGCTTAGAAACTCAACAATTTGGTGGCGACATTGTTGCACAATCAAAATGTCATACACCATGATTATTTTATCAAATAACGTACGTTTCATTCATTTTTCGAGGCTTCAATAGTACGTTTGCGATTTGCAAAATTACCTAGCTATAGAAAATGTCAAAGAATATGATATTTCAGTCATTTTATCAAATTATCATCTTAATCAGGTCGATTATACTACTATCACGGGAGATATGAATTCATAATGGTGGTTTCAAGTGCGTGCACAATTCAGAACAGTTTCAGAATTTTATGATTTTTGATTTTAAAAATTGAAATAAATGTACGGAGATGATAACTTATAATGATCATCATTTATATGAATAGCTACAGCGTCGTCAGATATTTTTATCTGAATAAACTGATAAAAATGTCTGAATTTTTTGAGCGTGTTGGATTTTAATTTGAACCATTTGTGATAGGCACAATTCGGGCGAAAAAAATAGTCATTCGTGGGAATGATTCGAGTTTTCTTCGTTTCACGTAATTATTTTATGAAATTAACATGAAATTATCACCAGCGAAACTAAGAATAGAACATTATTATAGATGCTTTAGCAGTTAGCACTATGGCGATAATGCAATTACGGCAATGTTGAGTCTGTTGACATTCGGGATTTTTTTTATCGATAAAACGTTGATGATTTTTTCTAATTTGGTTGAACAAAGCACCGGAGGCATATTTTTTTAAATTTCAAGTCACAAATACCGAGAATGCATCGAATATAATAGTGTGTTTATTTTTATTTAACCATGAGAGTTATCTTTGCATCTCAATCATAAAATGTAAATAAACGTTAAACGTCTCTTTTTGCGTAAACATGTCTATTTGCTTGATTTATTAAACGACTCTCGAACAACGTAACGACTCTGTCTATTTCCAAATGACTTTACGAAGTTTTTACTACCATCAACGGATATGAGTTTTAATTGCGATCAATCAAATGTAAATTAAATGATTGAGATCAATAAAACGTGTTTTTCAAATAAGAAATGTTCAATTTTGAATTCGAATCAACAAATGACGCTCTTCAATTCAATTATTTTCTTTCAGGTGAATTCGGGACGTTTCAAGGATTCCAGTTCTTCTTACATATTCTATCGGCTTTCACGGCTGGCATGCATATGCTCAGTCTGGTCACAGTGGCTGCAACGCCGGAACATCGATGCTTTATCGAAGGGGTCGACACAAATACAACAACATTGCTCTGGAATTCGACGGAAATTTCAAATGCAATTCCAATAAAAAATGGTGTATTAAGCTCATGCAGTATGTACGGTCCGAATAAAACTGAAGTGCCATGCACTTCATACGTTTACGATCGAACCTATTACCAGAGTTCAAGAACGATTGAATGGAATTTCGTATGCGATCAAAGATGGTTAATGGCCATTGCACAAACACTTTATATGTTAGGCACATTCACCGGTGCAATCACACTTGGCGGTTTAGCCGATAAAGTTGGTCGTAAAGCAATTTTCTGCTGGTCAGCATTATTGCAATTAATACTGGGCGTTGGTGTCGCGTTTATTCCAAACTATATTCCGTTCTTAGTCGTACGGTACTTGTACGGGATATTTGGTAGCGCTGGTAGCTACATTACAGGTATCAATCATGTTCAAATGCCTATTTTTAACGACAGTGTTTAAAGTATTCTTCATTTTCTCAACTAAGGTTTTGTGCTGACAATGGAATTGGTGGGAGCAAGCAAAAGAACTGCATGTGGAGTTTCTTTTCAAGCCGCTTTTGCTGGTGGTATAATGTTGGTCGCTGCTTGGGGTTCAATTATACCAGGTGAGGTTTTGAACCCTAAATCAAAAAGAGAATAAAAAAAAAAATTGTTATTAGGTTCAAAATGCCATTCTATATTTTGAAACTAATATAATAATACTATTAATTAAACAGATCGAAAATGGTTACAAGTAATTTATGGATTGCATAGTTGTTTGCTCATCGCTCATTGGTGGGTAATGGACGAATCACCCCGATGGTTATGGGCCCAAGGTCGTCGTGAAGAAGCTGTTAAGATTGTCGCCAAAGGTGTTAGATGGAATAAAAAGGGCATTCCACTCGACGAACAATACTATTTATCAAAAGCCAAATTTATATCAACAACTACCGAAGAGAGTACAACTGAATCGGCCGGCTTAAGTGATTTATTCAAAACACCAAATTTACGCATGAAAACATTGAATGTATGCTTGTGTTGGTTTGCAAATGCATTAGCATACTATGGACTCTCGTTAAGTTCTGGTAAGTACTTCTTTTTTCGTTCACAATAAAATTTGATTTAATGGAAACTTATTATGCAATTTACAGGTAAACTTAGCGGAAATCCTTATTTGATATTGTTTATTATGGGACTGGTCGAGTTTCCCAGCTACATTGCATTGGTATTTACATTGGATATTCTTGGCCGGCGTTCAATTACAAGTGGCTTAATGCTAATTGGTGGCTTGTGCTGCATAGCTGCCGCTTATATTGAACAGGGAAGCACGCTTGCAACAAGCGTTGTTATGATTGGAAAATTCATGATTGCCGGCTCTTTTGCTGTGATATACAATTACTCAGCAGAACTTTTTCCCACGGTTGTACGAAACAGTGCAATGGGTTTGGGTTCAATGGCCGCTCGTTTATCGGGTGAGTAAAGCAAAAATCATTAATGGCCAAGAATGGAAAATTTTCAATTATTATTTATTTTCGTTTATTAGGAGCCCTTACACCACTGATCACCTTACTCGACTCATTTGATCCGAAAATCCCGGCGTGCTGCTTCGGTATAATCGCTTTATTATCGGGTACATGGGTGCTATTTTTGCCAGAAACCAACAATCAACCAATGCCCGAAACAATTTCTGATGGTGAATCATTTGGCAAAGGTGATACTTGTTTTGCTATCTGTTTTGGTGGCAAACGACGCAAAAATACCGTTCGCGATGAATACCAGTATGCCGGTGTACCAATGGAAACCGTGGGAAAATAAGTCATTTTTTCTTAATTTTAATTGTAAAATGTGTTTGTTATAAATACAAAATAAGTAGAGTAAATTAGTAATTAGAAATATTTGAATTTAATGTCAATCAGTTATATGATATTCAATAAGCAAATTTCAGAATGTAATATTCAGAGAAGAAAAAAATTGAAATGTCTTTATTTTTGAAAATTATGAACAACTTAAAATATGCCTTTTTCTGTTCGCCAAATTTGAATTTTATTTTTTAGATCGCATACAAAAATCATTCATGGTGTTATCTTGGAGTCGATGCCAAAAAACGATCATGAAGTCTGACAATGGGAGTTTGTCTTTTGTAGTATTTACACGCAACTGTCGTCAATAATTCTAAATATTCAATACACGATAATAGCTCTCACATTGATCATCAAAAAAACAAATAAACAAACAAGAAAGCGGTCGGCATATTTTATTTGAATGGTTAAGAATAATAATGAAACTTAATTTTGGTTCAAACTGGAGTGTCCCGCAGAATTATTTCAAATGAAAGTGTCCCGAATATTTGTTTCAAACTAAAATGTCCCCACAAAAAAGATTCATGTAAATTTTCCTAAGTGCCATTTTCATTTGCAATAAATTTGAGGGACACTTTAATTTGAAATAATTCTGTGGGACACTCCAGTTTGAACCAAAATTGAGTTTCATTATTATTCTTAACCATTCATTTAAACAAGAATTTACATAATAATAAGTACGTCAATATGAATAAGAGAACTGTCTATAGGCACTGCTTTCAACGCTCAATTTTTTTTTCATAAATGCTCAGTTTCAATTTTCAATTGTTGCTGTTCTGCAATATCTGTATAGGCTTTTTAATAAAGCCTTTATTCCTCTGTATTGCACAAATTACACATCCAATACCATCGCGATCATATGGAAACATATACCAATACTTTAACATGGCACAATGTCCCTTTCTATTTCCCTTCCGATGATTCATATTTTTGCTGAAGATGACATTGGTGTAGGCGAAATAATTGCCATCGACAATGCATTCACAACATGTTTGTGTCATCGATACGGTTTGCGATGTTCAATTTGTCTTAAGGCTCGCACCAATTTGACTCCATGCGAAAAATGTACGGTTGCATTGTTTTGTTCTGATTGAATGTCGAAATGAATCGGTTCATAGCTGTTAATGTGGTGTAAAGTTTATTCTTTTGCCATCAACATGTTTACGACCATCGATGAACTGATGCATTTTGTGGAAGAGACTATCAGTAATCAAAAGGAAGTACCGCGCAGCTTATTAGATGCAAAATCGAAATACCGTCAATTTCTTCAACATCCAATCGATTCCAAATGGCAAGAATTTTCCGGCAAGCTGGAAGTTTTTCCCGTATACAAAGTGCTTCTGAACATTCCGGAAATTGGTAAAATGTTTGACACTGAATATCGCCGTCGCTTCCTCATGCATCTAATTGGGCAACATGGTCGTATTGTCTGTCATTATTCACATTTTGATTTCTTTTCACTGATCCGCAAAGACACAGATTGTTCGATTGATCCAAATACTCAAAATATCTGCAAAGCAACACATAGTCAAACAGGAGTGATGGCCAAATTTTTTGAATACTCATGTAAACCAAATGTTGCATCATTTTCAGTGGCAAATCAAGTATTTTTTTACACATTGAAATCAATCAAGAATGCTGAACCACTACGACTTGCAGAACAAATGGAATCAAAAGAATCAAAGTTTGCGTTAAGCCAACAAGACAAAATCATTTGCAAATTCGAACGATGCAATGAAGGTCCGATGATGTCAAAGACTTAACGAAACCAAGATGCCAGTTGGCAATCGATTTAATGCTGAAAATGATAAAAAAATGTGAATTTTTTTCACAAAGTACGGCCGAATGATGCAATGTGATGAAATCGACTTTGTCATTCAGGCTTACACCAAACTACAACATTTGAAATACGACGGTAGCTATGCTACATGCTTGTTGAGTCAAACACACATAAGATGAATTTCTACATTCAATTTCGATCTAAAAAAAACTTAAGACATCTTTTATTTCAACAGTATTATATACTCTTGTCCAAAAGCTTTTTAATCAAAACACAAACAAGAAAATTGCATGCAATTATTATTTATTTTGATAAAATACCAAGTATGTAACATAAACATTGAGTTTTTAAACATTTATTATGTATAGCTATAGTTTGTTCAACTTTCAAAAGACTGAAACATGGAAACTCTTTGCTTCAGGCATATGAAAATCTAAGAAAAGAATTAAAGAAAAAATGTTGACATGAAGAATAATTTTGGTGCGAGCATTTTCAAATTTTTTGAACATTTTCAAAATACAATGATTTAGCAGCTTCCAATGCGAAAAAAGCCAGAAATTTACAGTTTTTATTGTTGATGATGATGATATCGATCAATGTAGTCTTTTGTTGCATGCGAATAAATAAAAACGCGCGAAAATTATGCTGTACCTACACAGTCTACACTCAACCCACTGCATGCATGTTCACTATAAAATACATGTATGTGCTATTGTGTAAGCCCCAGCGCTCAGTGATGCTCATATGAAAGCATTCCAACACTTTGACATGCACGACACCAAATGAAAAGTCCTCTCCTTTTTCCAGTCCGATGCTTCACGACATACATTCGATTTGAATACGCTGCATAAACGGACAACGGCTTCACCATTGTGTAATCCGCCATCTTGCAAAACAAAATATTCTCTATCAAAGGTGAGCATCAAGCTGAAATCACATTTTCCAATATTAAAATAACATTTGTGATATAAAGATTTTGTATGTATTAAATAAATAAGAAAAGTAGAAACTTGAACGTATCGCCAAAACCGAATTGATATTTTCCGAACCAACGTTATATCTTCAACGTACAACAAGAATAATGATATCGCAGTGCAACGACGAGTAGAAGGGAATACTTTGCTTGCAGAGGGAATGTGGTCCAAAGCACTTAAAAAGTATAACGAAAGTCTATGTTTTGCCATACCGGGTTCAATAAACGTTAGTATGGCCTACGAAAATCGTGGAAATTGTTATCTAAAAATGAAATAATACAACGAATCATCGAAAGATTGGAGACAAAAACTACAAGTCTGACTGATGCAGTGGACACATTTTTTGAACATTCATGCTCACCAAATGTTGACTCAGAAATTTACACAACAAACTGGTTTATTATACTATGCAACCAGTACAAAAAGGGGAGCCAATTCGATATTCGATAAACTCCCTTTTCAAGGCACCAACAGAAATTCGAAAAGAAATCTTACGCAATCGAATGGAAATCATATGTAAATGTAAACGATGTGACGGTCTAATGATTTCAAATGCTCAGAAGCTTCAGATGATCTCAGATCCCGACTTCAAATACATCCAGGCAAACCACTCGGTCGATGACACGATCATAAAACATTTTCTTCAGTTTGGATTCGTATAATAAAAAATGTCATTCATTCTTAACAAAATATGGCACATTAACGTGGTGTGAAGAAATCGGACTTGTGGTTCATACGTTCTGTTTAGTACAATTCTATCATTTCGAATATTCAATGCCATTTTTTGATCTTGCTGCTCTCGACAACTGATGATAAATGAAAATTAAGAATTTCAAATCAAATCATTCTGCTGATGAACATTTCAACTATTTCTTCAGCACAAATCAAAATGAACAATTGATAAAAACTGTTGAATATCATCATTATTGAAAATACAAATAAAAAAAACCAAAAACAATGAGTCGAAACTTTAATTTGTATAAAAGTCGTTTTTTTTACTAACGAAAACAAAAGTCATATTTTTAAAAAAATACAGGTAAAAAAATTCTTTAGGTCCAGCAACATTTAAAGAAAACACTTAAAAAAACAGATCCAATTATCATATCGAACTGAGAAAAATTAAAACTCGAATTTTCAAAATGCTCATAATATTTGTAAGGTAAACTTTATTTATCCCATTCATTGCCATCGCAAAAAATAGGATGTAATTTCAATGTAAGAGAAAACTTTTAATAATAACAAACATTTTGGGTGTACATTTGTAGTTCAACGAAACTTCTTGCTCAAGTGCAAACTAGTCATTATTGGGCATTTGTTTTATTTTATTAATTATTTGTGGAACTGAGACCTTCACATTGGGTTATATCTGTTCATGAATTATTTCATGTTTGTCAAGTCGAAAATTCGGAAAGAAAATAATTATTCCAACTGTAAACAAGAATGTTCAGTACCTCTTCCACAATGTTTTCGAGAAAAAAATTACGTCATTTTTAATGAAATGGATCTAATTGTCAACTGCTCAGATTATGAAAATGTCGTCTTATTTTTTCTCTCTGTCATTTCATTTGTGCACCCATGGAAATCATGGATAATGTATAATCTTATGTTTATAAAACGTTGTGCGATATTGTGTTTGAAATATAAACAAATGTCAAATGCGTTTCAGTATATGTTTCTGGAGAAATATGAAAATAGTATTTGTCCGTTCTCTTTCACATACACGCATATAGAACCAATACATAAACGAACTGACAGGAGCGGAATATTTGCCGTTGAACTAACATTGATCGATGCATAACGAGTTTGTTCTTTCGCGTGTGCACAGCATATAGAATATACTTCTGAAACCGGCAGCTTCTTACGCTAAAACAGAATAAATTTCAAGACAAAAAATCAAAAACTAATTTAAAAAAATTGTGAGTGCAAAAATATTCCGAAATATAGTAATAATCGTGTTTAATTAAATTTAAATCAATTGGTAAGTTTGTCATTAATTGAATATCATTGAATAAAATATATTATACTTACGCTGCGTTACGCACCACATGAAAATGAATTTTCTGTGATTGATTAAAAAAGATCACATGAAAATTCACTTTAATTTAAGTGATATTCTTTGTAAAAAGTTACGAAAAATTTGGACGATAATTGGAAGAGCATGTTAAAGTTTGCTTTAATTGTTTTGCTGTTGGGAAAAAGATGTCTGTATTTTTCTTTATTTTTTGCTTGGGCAAGGCTTCAAGCTATTATATTTCAATTTCAGAAACAGAGAAACTGCTTACATCACCATCTTAATGCATATTCGTACAAACAAATCAACGCATCCAATGCTTAAACAAAGAACGATTGTTTCATATTCACAAAAAAGAAACATTACAAAACTGAATAAGTAGGCACTGAGTATACGAAGAACAGTAAATAAAATCCTTTACATTTAATGCTTACATAAACATTATACCAAAACGATATTGCAGCCATTAAAATGCGTGACTAAAATACTGTGAAATCATCGAGACATCAAGACTCTTGCTTGAGAAGTATACATGTTGAATTTTTTTTTTATAAACGGAATTTCAAATTCGTCTCTTTAGTTATTTCAAACCGTGTACACCATAGCCAAAGTATTCGTATAGTTTTTGTGTTTTTTGAAGCAAAAATGAAACTAATTTTATTGTTTTTGGTGCTTTTGTGGTCAAAGCTATTCAAAATGATGTCATTTCTTGTGATTTCCAAAACTTCAAATTTTGAAATATTGAATTATATTGAAATACTGAGAAATATTTAGCGAAAAATTAGAAGTTAATACAGAATATTATAAGTTTATACAGTGAATATGCAAATGTGTGTATTTTATTTTGTGGCTTGAATATTCTAAAGTTGAAAGAAAAAGAAAATCATCCATAATCGATGAATTAAATACAACTACTAAATGTCTTCAATTTTTATTTTACTTTCATTTTCAGACTTAATGAGATAAAGTAGTCTTGACAATTTTTTCCACTGCTATATTCTGCAATTGTTATACACTGCGATTCATGGATTTTGAAATTATTGAATTGGAAAAAACATCAAAGAATTTAAAAATAAAGACAAGCGTTCAGAAAGACATACATTTATGCGAGTAATTGAATGATGCTTGCATCATTTGATGCGCATCGATTGTGCTGTCGCCATACATTTGGATCTTCGGCAGCGCACGAAGTGCTCCGAACGCACAACGAAAGCACTCGCGATGCGCATCAAATGATGCAAGCATCATTCGATTGATCGCATAAATGTACATTTTCGATACATTAAACGTCAATACAGATTTTAATCATTTTTCTTTTGTTCCATTCAGACAATATATTGAACTAACTGGTCAGTTGAGCTGACAGTACGTTAGCCATCTAAATGGACTCAAACAATAGAAGTTATTGTTATAATGAACAATCACTTCTATTAAAACAAGAAAATTGATTCATCATTAAAACAATAACGTCTATTGTTTAAGCCCATTTAGCTGGCTAACGTACTGCCAGCTCAACTGACCAGTTAATTTAATATATTGTCTGGTTCCATTCTACAAAATTTCTTGTCTTCCAATAAAGGGTTCACATGAAGAAAACGCGATGTCTGATCATCATCAAACTAGGCATGAAAGCCTATTGAATCATGTGGTTTTACCACGGCATTTGCCGCAATTAAGGTCGTCTGAATTGCATTCACAAGAATTGGAACTATTAATGCGAATGGTTCAAAATGTCGAAAGTCTCGCTGAATCTATTCCAGCAAATACATTGAAAATGATTTGTTCTCTAGCTGAAGTTCATCGAACTCGTACAGCATCAACGATTTCAAATAAAATCAATGATTTAAAACCAGGCGAAACTTTTGCAATGTTTATACGTCGACAAAACTGCGCCATTATGATTCACTTGCCATTCGCTTCAGCTGGTGGCACAAATGATGCAATTGTGGCCACATTTCCAGGCAAAATAAATCACAATGAAATCTACGAAAACTCAAGTGATTTAGAGGTAAATTAATTTTTATCTTTGAAATGCCAATGTATAACTGACCAGGTTTTTTTTAGTTCAATTACCCGACACAGGCAATTAAAGTGAAAAATTCCGAAATGCTTCGCTCGATTGAATTTGCGCATCAGCTTTGTTTTTTATATGAAACCGATCCGAAAACCAAGGGCCGTGATTACATTTCAAAATGGTTGGTTACAGTTCTCATGAATGAAAATAGCACAACGCCATCTGAACAACAGTTTCCATCAATAACAAAGAAGATTCGAGACGAAGTTCTTGGTGAGCCAAAAAATCATTTCCGCCGTTCGGGATTTTACATGTGTGTTAAAGTAATGTTACAGCATAATCTAACACACGAAATTGGACACGAATCAGCAAAAATCCTCTATAAAATCATTATGCTACAGTTTTTGTCGCGGCAATGCGATTTTTTTAATGAAAAATTGTGCAAAACATTAAACATTGACTTGGTCACACAGCTTATGGCAAAAATGGCTCGACGGATTGAAAAACTTTCGGAAATGGAAGATGGCCAATTCAAAGAATTAAAGGAACGCATCATTCGCAATGCCACCAACACAATTCAAGAAGCAAGATTGAAAGTGGATAAACAAATTGAATGTTTGGAATCAACTGACGCTGAAAAATCCTTACTTACTCCATTGGTTGATATAAATTTTGAAGCGGGCGTTTTTCAAAGAGTACCAAAGTTACGTGCACACTTGAAGGATCGCATCAACGGCACGAGTCAAGGTATTGATACTCCAGCACTTCAAGTGAAAACATACAAAAGACATTATATGAAACAACCAAATCCACCATCGGTATGTTTTGGTCAATTTAATGATGAAATTGACAAAAATTTATTCATTACCGATTTTGAAAATTGGATTTTATATGAATTGAAAATCGATGAAACTCATTATGGACCAAATGTTCTTAGAGAATGGTGCTTAGCTTATGTTCCGCAAGCAGAAAGCTTTTATAAAGGTGACCAACTTGGCGTCAGCAAATCGGTGTTAGTTGCTTTAAAAATGCTTGCCATGCTCGACGAACAGGCTACCAAAGCTCATTCAATGTTGTTAGAGCACAACAGTGGTGTCAACACACAGGTTATCGACACACTATTATTGCCACACACCATCGATATGCAAATTGCTTACGAACTGGAGCAGTATTTTAATTATCGAAACTTGAAAGGCACTGGACCGAGTTTGATTGGTGAAAGAAATGCTACTGTGAACTCATTTTCGCACAAGTATGCAGCAAACAATTTTGAAATGCAATCAGTTCGAAGAGATATTGAGGCGATGATTGAACGAAAAATAGATGAAAAAATGCACGAGTGGTTGGAGGGACGTTCAAAGGTTAAACGTCTAAGAGCAAGAGCTGCAAATTTAGAACATGAATATGTTAATCTGTATGATAGCCGTTATCATTGTAAAATGCCTCATCACTGTAGCAGCTGTGTAAAGTGTTCATTGCAAAAACAAGCTGAAAATGTCAATATCAATGTGTATGAGCGTGCATTGCCTGATCAGTATTATGAAAAAAATGCTGTCGTTTTCGAACTCAAAATTCCACTCGAACTGGCTTGTTTGCGTGATACTCTTCATATATTTGTCAAATACTGTAATGATCGACCGACTGAAAATCTATGTATAAAAGGAAATTGGATAAAGTACTCGCAAATTTCACACCATAATCGGTCGTCAAGCATTCATGTAGATCTTGGAAGTACAACCCCGAATATAGAAATAAAGTGTCGACACGTTGACAATGATTTCAGTGATTTTAACTTGAAAAATGGTTTCAACTGTACTTATCATTCATCACACGGAGGAATAGCAATTTCAATGATACATCAATCAATAAAACAAAGATGCACATTGCAAGTTGAACGCGAATACAAATGTTTGCAGTGGACTTTAAATACGACACACCACACTCAAAATCAAGTGCTAACAAATCAATCTGACTGCCCACAGAATCTTTCACTTTTGGAGTTTAAAAATTTCGGTTCACTTCGTGCTGACGGTCATCGATTGCAGTGGCGCAAATTGTATGCAATGATTGAATGTGAGGCAATGTCATTCGAAAACTCATCGGTTTTATCTCTAATACTGCAAACGATTTGGGAAACTGATATTAGCGGAAATTCTGGTGCAATTCGCGAGTCCCTTGAAGATATCAAAATTCTTAAATTATCACATAAAATGATCGAATTACTCGAAAAATTTGCCGAAAAGAAACGAAACAACTGGGTACGTCCATTACATTCTATTACTATTACACGCTCCAATGATTTACAATTTATTATTGTCTGTTCCATTACATGTTGATTAATTTACATTATTTCCATTTTTTCTTCCAATCATCCACAGGTACATCCATTGAAGCTGCTAGTACCAGTTTTCATTGCTGTTCGGATTTTCGAGTTGAATGACGATGAAAATTTGGCGGAAAAAATTGTTGCCGTCCTTAACAAAATGCGAACCATTGCTTTAGAATGGATGGATAAAATTCAACAAGCAATCAAGGAAATGCAGAATCCAGACCAGGCTATCGAAACAGAACTACGTACCAAATTGATTTTCGTTGCTGTTACTGGAGCTTTGACATTTTGCGTTAATTCTCATCATAAATATTTCGATAAGATATTTTTGATAAATAAGGAGAATAATTTCACTTCGTCGCGAACATGGTTGCAATCCATCGTTACTTTGAACAATAATATCATTTTGAACCATAACGACAAAACCTTATTACCGCTAAATCTTCGGATGTTTTTGCGACTAGTTCGAAATACTGGCATTCATCTTGAATCAAAAGTCAGAGAAATGATAAAACGTGATACAGGTGATATATACAAATTAATTAAAAAACAATGGACACGCGCGGAAAATGGAAAATTTGAAAAGTTCTATTTTCATGAAAGTTGCCCGCAAGTCCTGATTGTTGAAGTCACGGTCAAAGCAATGAAAAAATTCGTAACTATCGATTTGATCACCGGGTCATTTCTAGTAAATAACTTGCCCATTTGCCGACTTCCCGATGCTATTACAAAAAGCGACATTTTTCAACGGGTTTACGGAAATTTCGTGTTTGAGGTACAGCCTGAGAATGATAATTCTTACTCGACAGTTCAACGATACAATGGTAATTGCTATGAGTTTACACAGACGACTAAGGGCATCATCATTACAGAGCGCGGTGTCAAAAATGAAAATGAATTGATACCACCCAGTATTTTAAATGGAGAAATTCCAGAGCTTCTAATAGAGCAGCACAGTCAGTGGTGGAATAGAAACAATAACAAAATCGAATTTCGTCCAAAATTATTCAAGAACAAGAACTTTTCCAAAGACATTGGCATCGAGTATCAATTGGATCTCTTTGAATACCACTTATTCCATTTGAAAACGCGCCGAAACATGCTAGACATTACTAGTAAAAGTTATTTGAAAATTGTGAAACAACTTTCTCGTTTGGAACGACAGAGATACATCCATGTACTGATGGATGAACCAAAAATTGCCAAAATTGAATTGGTTCGAATGCAGCTAAAGTTTAAAGTAGATTGTTCAAAGCACCATGATGGACCTAATGATATTTTATCGAACGAATTCAGTAAAATGCGTGTATCTCTGCAGCAAAAATGTGGAACTTTATTCGGTTTGAATCATGGCTTGTTGTTGGAGGGTGTATCCCATGGCTCTGATGATGATTCAAAGAGTACAAAACTACTTTTGTTGCCGAACGGAGAAATCCAAGTTAAGCAATGTGATTCACATGTCACAGTCAACATTGACATTCAATCCGAACTTCGAAGTCCTCCATTTTATGCCTATCAAGTGGACGAGTTTTGCAAACAATTGAAACCAAACAGTAACAATTACTCAGCGTGGTTTTACTTGGCTCATTTACATGCTGTTACTTCACATGGTGAAATCGAACCATTCATTGGAATGTCCGGAACAGAAAGAGCCTTGAAAATACTTCAATCTGGATGTGTGTTTTCTTCAGCTCCATACGATGAGGTATCGTTGAAAACATTGACAGCTATTGCCAAACTATCACCCAAAAGAAAAACCAGAGAAAAAATGTTAAGCGTCAGTTGGCCAAAATTTGTTTTTCCGAAGTCAGCACAAGATACATTCGTTTTCATCGTAAACAAATTATTAGAAGATAGCGAGCGTCTTTCCGGTCTATACGATCAAAAGCACGATGATGATTCAAAGCCTACGATTAACACAAATATGATTTACAATAAACGTGATTACCTTCGATGTTTGCCGTTAACACCAAATTTACGTATTTCAGGGGAATATATTAATCACGATAAGCTAAGCACATCTCTTGTAACCATCCCTCCTGTTAGTTTTGAAAGAAATACCCAAAATATTGTGATATCGTACCACAAAGAATCGTATTTCTTGCCAAGTGGTTTAGATTTGAAGTATTTTGTAATGAAAACCAGCGATCACATATCTGGACCGTTACACATTCTCCATGTGAAGGAAAACTTCCTGAATCATATGGTGACCGAAACATTCGACGACCTATGGATATCAATGTACGAAATTTGTAGAAAACAAAAATTAAACTGTAGGGAGCTTGCACTAATTTGGAGTTTGCTGTCGCATGAAAAGAATCACGTCAACTCAATTTTGGCCTTACAAGCAATTTATGAAAATGCACACGCTTTCGCTTTAATTAATCCACCCGATATAGCGACATACTATTTAAACGAAGGGACATACAGTGACAGTAGAATAAGAGATATTCTGAAAGATCATCACACACGATCAACAAGTTACCACAGTGAAGATTGGTCAGATAAAGATCGTAAAAAATATGATGATCGTATAAAAAGCAACATTTCAAGTCTCGTTTCAATTGTTACATCAGAATGGCCATGTGATTCGGTAAGATTATATCAATATTCGTATTATTCTCAGGATATCAACATCAATGCTGCAAATGAAATAATCAACAACATGCTATTGATATGGAATAATAATCGTAGACTCGGCATGTTTCTCGATCAAGTTGAGAGTCAACTTCAATCGTTGCCCAGAACCAGCATAGCTTATCCGCATATAAACGTTTATTTGCATCCGAAACCCAAAAATTGGTCAAAATATGATATCGACTTTAGATCGAAGGTGCATCAAAGCTTAGATGAATACAAAAGCAAAGTAGAAGAAGCCAAAACTCTTTTCCAAACTGGTCGTATTGATTCACATAAGACAGCACAAGATTTATGGTCAATTTATGACAAAATTGTAAACTCTGAACAATGGCCACATTTATTAGATGCTGGATTGTATCCAAGAACAGTACCAACTATGGTGTTGCCAATGTTGATTTCAAATGAAACAGATAACCGACTGAAGATGATCATAGGAGCTTTGGCCTTGACCATTGCCAAAGAGCAGCGCCAAAAACGCATTGAAATATTTTCACAGGATCCTCAATTGAAACCGGCCTATGAACGTGAAATTGAAAACGACCCACATGTTAACTGGAAACCGCATCAGCGTCCTGAATGGCTCCTATTTGAAATCGAACAAAATTTAACGATTCGCCGTATTCAAATCGAAATCGCTCGACGTATGCTCAATCCACCAAATATCGGTACAAAACACTCGACAATGCAACTCAACATGGGTGAAGGTAAGACGGCTGTGATCGTCCCATTATTGGCAATAATTTTGGCCAATGGAAATCAGGCCTGTCAAGTTACCGTCTTAAAGCCATTGTACGCTACAAATTTGAAGTCACTTCGTCGATACCTAGGCGGCATGCTCAACAGAAAGGTTTACAACTTTCCGTGTCGTAGAGATATGCCTATCAATGAGTACATTTCACAAATACGCAACATTTACGAGGAATGTAAAATAGCGAAAGGTAAATTTAATTTAATTTCTTCAAATTTGCGTTAAGTAGTATTTATCTTAAAAATATGTTCCTTTGTTTAGGTGTTATTCTCACACTTCCAGAATACCGACTCTCTTTTCAACTGAAAATCTATGAATCGGTGAAAAGAGGTGAAATATCCGAAGCGGGGGAGTTTCTTGCCGCACATAAGTGGATTAACTCAAATGTTCGAAGTATACTCGATGAATCGGATGCAATTCTGCATGCAAAATACCAACTCATTTACACAGTTGGTAATCAGCTAATGATTGATGGCGGTTCACAACGTTGGCTCGTTACGCAAGCCTTACTCAAACATGCTTCGGTGCACATGAAAAGTATATACGAAAAGTACGGCGAAAAAGTATTGGAATTTAACATCGATTACGTCAAAAATGGCCATGTATATGGAGCACCAAAAATAGACTATCGTAATGATGTTTTTACACCGTGTCGTATTCTTGATCAGTCAATTTATCCCATGCTCAAAGAGGCGCTGATCGATGATTTTCTTGAAGGCCGAATGAATATCACGTTTCCCGAAGTTTTGGCATCAACCAAAAAAGGTTTGCACGACTTGATGAGCGCTACAAATATTGATGAACACAAATATGAAGCAACACTTAAAGATTTGGATGTTACTGAACAAAGAACCATTTTGATTCTATCGGGGTTACTTCGATTCGAAGTGCTAAGATTGGTTTTAACTAAACGATGGCGAGTAAACTACGGTGTGAAAGAAAATGGTTCACGAAAAATGGCCATTCCTTTTAAAGGTACACATACTCGAACCCCTTCCTCAAACTAATTTTATACCAAAAACAATTTATTTTTGTTTTATTTTTAAAGCAAAAGACGTAGCGGCGGAAAATACTGAATTTGGACATCCAGACGTTGCGATTTGTTTTACACAGTTGAGCTACTATTACTCAGGTATGGTCCCATTGAAAATTCACATTTTTCATCAAATTAAAAAAAGTATTTTTTTTATTCAGGCCTAAGCGATGTACAAATGTATGAAACATTCCGAATTTTGGCAAAGGTACAAACACTCGATCCCATTCCTCATTAGAAAATGATTTTATACTAAAAACTATTTCTTTTTTTTATTTTATTTTTAAAGACACAAAACGCGTCGGCAGTTTATGAAAAATGGATCACAAATATCGCTTCTCAACTCATCGATTCTTCGATTGAAACATATTCGGGTATCAATTTGAGTGATCCCGTTCAACGAGAAGGGATCCTTTTCCCATTGTTTCGTTTCAACATGGACTTTATCGATTTTTTCCTCTCAAATGTGGTGTTTCCAAGAGAAGCCAAATCATTTGAAAATAAATTAATTTGTACCGCGTGGGACCTGGTTAATGAACGGATGAAGCACACAATAACAGGATTTAGCGGTACTAACGACACCAAAAAATTATTGCCATTGCCAATATCACAAAACGATCTAAAAGAATTAGAAGATACAAATGATCGCGTTCGACAAACATTATTACAACCAGAAAATCAAGACTATGAACATCTTCCACCAAATGTAAGCGCAACAACGATACTAAAAAGATTGGTCGATAGTGAAATACCGATACTTTTGGACTCGGGTAAAAAAAATATTCTTTTATCATCAAATTCATCAAATCACATGAAAAAATGTGTAATCAATGTATATAACAACATATATTTAATTTTTTAAGGTGCGTTGATGTTGGAGTTAAATAACAAGCAAGTCGCCGAAGAATGGTTGAAAATGGCATCAGATTCGTTTTATGATGCAGCCGTTTATTTTGATTCAAACGATGTATTGCAAACGATAGATCACAACGATTTGGTCGCTGAATTCGACTGTTCTGTGTATCGAGAGAATTTGGATCGATGCTTGATTTATTTGGACGATACACATACTCGAGGAACAGATTTGAAATTTCCATTGGGTTTAAAGGCATGTGTTACTCTGTCTGGTGAAATAACACGCGATAAAACTGTTCAAGCTTGCATGCGAATGCGACAATTGGGCAAAGGCCATTCGATCGCTTTTTGGGCATCTTTTGAAGCTGATCTCCGTATTCGTGAAACGTGCCAGCTATCATCACTAGACCAGGTACAATGTTAAACAAATATCAATTGAAAATAACCTATCTCTTTTTCTTCGATTATTCCAGGTTACGAATGAGAATGTAGTCGATTTCATTTGCAGAAATAGCGCAAATTTCGAAACAGAAAACACCGTACACTGGGCTGCTGCCGGTTATAATTATGCGAAAAAATTGGCGGCACACAAACTCTATGAGAACACAGACAGTTCTATGCAACAACTGTACGAAAACTGCGTCGAAAATGAATTTTTGACATTGCATGAAATGTATGGCGACAAAAAAACGGCTCTACTGACTGACATTTCAAAGTCCAAATTTTCTACATTATTCAAGCAATATAAATGTAATGAAAATGTTCGAAATTTCATTGAAAGAATTGATGATGGTGTTGTTGAAAAATTGCAAAAACAAGTACCCGATGTTAAACGGTTTGTTCATAGTTTAGATGAGGAGCAAGAAAAAGAGTTAGAGCACGAAATCGAAGAAGAGCGCCAAGTTGAACGACCACCGAAACTAAGTCCAGCCACCCCGTCATTCGAACCGAAATTAAAATCATTGATTTTAAATGGTGCAAATAATATGGTTTTCTCCGAATTAAAACAAAACCAAACGCTCGTTCCATTTGCCGCGACATTGATGAAAACCAAATTATTTGAAGTATATAAGGACACCCCGAATTGGGCAGTGCATCTGTTCGTTACAAAAGATTTTACTCAGGTATTGGCCAATTCGACCGATTTATGTGATGAATTTTTACGTCCAATCTGGTGGATTGCTCGTGTTGATGGTCATATTGGCACTGAAATACTGATTTTGTTGAGCTCATACGAGTGTGACCGCCTTTTAACAACGTTTCGCAACAGCACTAAATCAACTCTTTACATGTTTCGTCCAACTCTGAGCAAATTGCATAGTGATCTATTGATCGAACCAGATTTGCGGGTAACTAATAAAATTCACATTCATAGTTAAATTCATTTTCTCCATTTTCTTTTGCAATTTCATTTTCATTATTTCGATTATTTTAAATGATTGAAATTCTTTTCTTTTGTGATTCTTTCCTAGGTATCTAACAAAAAAGTCACACATAACATCGAACTAAATGATTCAGCCCAAATAAAAATGTTTTCGGGATCGATGTATTTCTCAACTGAAGCAGAGCAAAATGCCTATTGCAATTTTATGGGCCTTATTCCACGACCACGAACTCGAGAACAAGAAATTGCCTTTGACAACGACCAAATCCGACCAAATGGGTTTGTTCCAGTGGAAAATCGCCATTCAATTGCTATTTCCAAATTTGTTGAGCGATGCAATTTTGAAAAAAACCCAGCCGATTTGGCCATTGATTTGATTGAAGCGCACCATGCATTTATGCGAAAGGAATCGCATGCAGATTCGATTTTGAAACGTGGCACCAAATTACCAATCAATCCACGAAACAAATTCTAATATAAAAATTAACTTTTTTCATTTTTTTATTTGTTCTGGAAATAGCATTATCAGAAATATCATCATTTTTTATCTTTCATATGTTTAACATACTATCCATTGGATCCAATATTATATGTATCCAATATTGATGAAATAAATAAATATTTTACTACTTATATTATCATCATTATCAAATACTCAGTCATTTCACCTACTTTATAGTGATAATTTATAGGTAAGCTTTTCTTTTTAATCACTGTTGGGTGGATATTTCAAAGCATAAAAGTTCATTAGATAGTTTACATCATATCTGAAAATTAGGTAGTGTTATGGGTGTGCTACGAAAATATTTTGAGCATTCGTGCCCACCGAACATTCGTATAACATCACTCGATAACAAATTAGGTTATTATGCACTGCGTCCAATCAAGACAGGCGAACCGTTGCGCATTTCAATAGTCACATTTTTGAAGCAAACGAAGGAACAGTGACGATTGGCTTTGAAAGATTACGGCTTTATTTGAAAGTGCCTACGATGTGAAGGTCCATCTGCTTCAGACGTGCAACGTAATCGATTAAAATCCGATTCCGACTATAAATTCATTGTATCAAATATTTCAAAGATTCGTTCCAACTTCAACGAGTTACTGAAAAAGTGTAGCACCTTTTTAACAAAGTATGGCCAATAATGAAATTGAGGAAGTGGTTTTTGCATTTGGAAGACTTTTAGCAATACCAATTGGCTCTATATACTCTATTCCACTCACTTATGCAGCTCAAGAAACAAAGAAGGAGAAGTAAGGTGATTCCATAGTTTGGACACTAATGTTTTCCATGTATCAGATCAACCAAAACAACAAAAGCAACCATAGATCGAAAACAACTATAGCAATACTTACTACACTAATCAACGCAAAGAATCGTCAATCGAAAATTCAATTTTTTCACAACGTAGAAAAACATTCGTTTATGTGACAAATGCAAGTTAGATTTTATTAATTAAATTCCTCTAAAAATATGAAAAACAATTTATGTGTATTGTTAATTTTTAAAAAAGTCATTAAACTTGTAGTTTATAAATTGTTCGGCGTCCAATTGTTGTTTGGCATTTTCAATATCTTGATTAATGGCTGCGATCAACGCATCCAGTGAGTCGAAATTTTTTTCGGGTCGCAAATAACCGCATATACACAGTTTCAATGTTTGTCCATAAAGATCTGTGTCAAATGTATGAATTATATGTGTTTCCTATCGAGAGAGAAAAACCAAAGTCATTGTATTAAGACACAAAAAAAGTGGTTTTGATAAAAATGAGATAAAGCTAAACTGGCTTTGCCATTCAATCGTTGACACCGTAATCCGCTTGAATAATAATGCTCAAATAAAATGAATATTGAAACACAAACCAGGGATTTTTCTTTATTATCGTAAAATGGATTCCAACCGATACTAAGTACAGCTTTGTAAACTTCCCCATTATCAACATTTGCCCATCCGAAATAGATGCCAGTTTTCAATTCCTCTGGCAACGCTTTAACGACATCCAATGGAATATTGGCTACAAAATTAAAACAAATATCATGAAATACTTGATTTTGAACGATTCAAAAGAATAAGATGAACTTTTCGAAAGAGATTACAATAAATGTTTACCTGTTGGACAGCCCAACTCTTTAGAACCACGTCCAAAGCCTTTAACAATTGGACCCGAGCAATAATACGGAAGACAGCTCATTGTAAAAGCAAAACTTAATTCTCCAATCAATAGTTTGAAATCGATTTGTATTTATTTCCAGTAATGACTGACCGCAGTTGCGATAGTATTTCAAGAAGCCAATAAAGTGATTGTGTCAATTGTCTTATCATTTAAAGTGTCAACAACCGAGTGAAGTTATAAACAATTGATTATAATTGTGGAAAATTCAACTTTTGCAGAGAAAAATAAGCAAATAATTAAAATAATGGAGTCAAAACTATGATAAAAACCATTCACTCTCATCTGAATAAATTGACGTTCGTTTTATAAATATTGACACGACACACGACTGTCATTGCTACATTTACAAACACATATGTGTTCGATGACAGTTGCCGTCGTTGCTGTTGCTGTTTCTTTGTTTTTGTAGCAGACTCTAAAATACGTAAATAGCACGTGCGTACTGTGTTGTTTTGAAGCGAATATTTTTATATTTTCGTTATTTTGGAACGTATTTGGTGCTTATCTGTATGTCTGAAGAAAAAAAAACTGAAAAAATAAAACGACAACAAAATGCTTATGATGTGTTTGGATATTTTTATTATAGAGTTAAACCAATACAAGTCACATGTTTATTTCATTTTATTTTCTGTTTATTTTATGTTGTTGAAATCGATAGATACGACATACATCATAGACATAGACGATGATAATCGTTCAATTGTATTTTTTTTAATTTTATTTTTTTAATTATTTGTTCAAGTGTGGAAGCAAAATCAAAATATGTCATAAACATTGAGAAGAATATTAGATTAGATCAACGGCAAAAAATGATTTAAAAATGAAGAAATAACATAAAGATTTTTTTTATCACCGATCCCCCATTTTTTTCTGCTTGAATTCCACAAAGCAATGCTTTAGAATGTAAAATACATTAATACCATTTTAATAGGCATGAAACGAGTCGTTTGTTTCTGGTGAAATTTAATTTGGTTCGGATGAGATTTTGTTGTTTGATGTTTGTTTGTGTTTGTTGGGTTGTTCAATTTCGCAAAGCAAACGAACTGCAATGAGTTCCGAGTTTGCGACCTTATTGAAACTCCTTCGAATTTGTTCCCGTTTGTCGTTAATTCTCATAAATGCCAAGCTTAATTTGTATGCGTCATGCGACGACAGAAAAAAAAACTTTTTTGATATTTTTTTAAGCATTTGAGAATGGACACGAACGTTATTCTTACTGAAAAGATATTATAATTTCCTTGAATTTGTATGTTTGTGTGATTGAACCTTGTCATACGCAATGTATTATTTAGTTCAGTTTTTTATCCAAAATCCGCTTTTTTTGAAGAAAGCTTTTCAAACATTTGAATACTCATTTCATTTTATACTTTGCATAGAATTCGTTAATTTGCTCATAATTGATACCGATCGCATCCAAAATACCCGTGAAACTGATATTGCTCAATTTCTTATCGATTAATTTGCCACCGGTGAGGAATGTCACGACATTCGGTTTTGCCATCGATGCATCCAATATATTTTCACCATTTGCTACATGCGTGTCATTTATGTAGTTGCAGAATTGGGCGATGTGCATAAATGTTGATGCCTCACGATCTGGAACGGAAATGAAATCGAATGAAATTAGTCAAATGTACAGCTCTCTCTCTCTCTCTCTCTCTCTCTCTCTCTCTCTCTCTCTTGGCATAAAATAAATTCAATGTAATAATTACCTAATTTCTTCGGAACCTTAATTAATGCGATTGATTTTGTTTCGTTGTTGCGTTGCAAACGAATAAATCGGCTACCACCACCATTGGTGAATTCACGTTCTAGCCATCGAATTGTGTTCCGTACTCCATCTGATGTTTTCTTCAATTCATCCAGTTCAGCAAGGACTATAACGAAAAATTGAAAAGTTTTAGCATTCCGTTTCAATGGCACAAATTTGGTTTTTAAATTTTCTTACCCGCGCTCGGTATAAGTACAACGAATTTCTTAGCCTTGACCAATTTTTTGACGATTTCCAAATGATGGGACAGGACTTTTGAATCGACCACCAAATATGGTGATAGAATATTCTTGGACATTTTGGCTTCAAGTACTTCAATTTCATGTTTCAGCCACAATTTTCCCATGAGCTGATGTTTTTCAGCGGCCGATGTTGCGTTGCTCTGTTCACCATTTGCTGGCGACACATTGGCTTGATTGTTTTGTTGACGATTTTTCAAGTATCCTTTTTTCAAATTGGGTTTTTTATCATCGTCAATGTGATGGCCATCGTCAGTACTGCTTCGGCCGGTTTGTTCTCCGTTGCGCGATAGAACGCACAATTCAGTGCCATTCGATTGTCGATTGCGACTTCTATTACGTACACGTCGTCTATTGCGTCGTCCTCGTTTGCGAATCCTCTTCATCGATCTCTGTTTTGTCGAAATGACTTTTATAAAGTTTCGTGTGCGCGAACAAAAGTTGTAGTCAAACTTTTTCATTTTGCATAACGAAAAACCGAAATCAATGAATAAGAAAATGCGTAAAATGGTCTCTTCATTTTCGGTGATTTTCAATTTTAGCGGTAACGTCCAATCCATGTGACGTTGACACAAATCAAATACGGCAAATTCTTTCAGCAATACATCTTCTTTCATCGGAATTGTTTGACGCATATCGAACAGTGAACGCAAACTCTCGCGTACATCATCAATTTCAATAAACGATCGCTCAAAATACACTTTTCGTGTAAACACATCAATGTTCATGGCGTTCAATAAATCAAAAATTTTCTCAATAAATTCAGGATTGGTGGTGAAGCAGTTCACAATTATAGCACTATTTCCGCGAAGCCAATCGAATAACAATTTCAAAGCAACCATTGTATTTTCATGTTGAAAAAATTCAATAATAATATTCGGATCAATTTTGTTGTATTTTTGTTTGAATCGAAGTTTTTCCGGCGCGGTAGTATTGTTCGAACTGGTTTCACCATTACACAATGTATTCTCAACATTATCGATTAGTTTGAATTGAAAATCAAACGGATTTGCCATACTGGGTTTATCAAATGTAAAATTATTTTGGCCATTTGTCGTTTCTTCGTCGAACAATTGAAGTTGCTTGAAACTGGACATAAAATCACCAAAAATACTGTGCTCATAGTTATTTGGCTGATTCAAACTTTCTTCTGGCTGCTTCTGATCAACGCCATTTGATGGATAAATGATTTGTTCATCTTCAATAATCACATCGTCATCATCGTCATTTGATTGCGGTTGGCTGTTGTGTTTTGTTTCACCATTCATTGACTGCTGTTGAACGAAAGAAAATTTATTTAAAACAATCTGATTTATACAAATGTTGTAATTGAATTTACCTTCGAACCATTTTCCATCACATTCTCTTCCTCTTCCTCACTTTCCGATGTGTACCAAGAATCATCGGCGTTTTCATCGGCACTATCTTCATCCGTACCGAAATCAGTATCCATTTCACATTCGCTGTCCTCAAAATACGATAAATCACTGTTCGAATGCTCCGACACCATGCGGCGACGACGTCGACGAAAATTACCGCGACGTTTTTGGTTTTTTGTTTGTGACGAAGACAACGGTGTTGATTTGCCAGCGTCTGATTCCCGTTCACGGCCACTGCTATTGGTTGCCATATCATCGTGCCCATTTAAATTGAACTTATGTCCGTTTCGCAAAAAGAATGAGTCATCGGAAAGTTTGTTAATTGTCAATTTTCCATTTAAATGACCTTTAACGCTTGCCGTGTCATTGCTTTCGTCATTGGTGTGCGAAGCTGACGACACCAATGATTCGATGTAACGTTTATGTTTTTCGCGTGCATCACGAACGGTTTGCTCGAAATCTTCAAAGTTTTTTAAATATTTTGCTTGAAATTTTGCATTTTGTGCTTCACGGCCTTCAATGAATTTATTCAATTTCATCGTACATGCACTCACTAGCTCCGAGCATAGTGCCACCAAAAATGCATTCAAACTGTGAATTTTATTCGAACCAATCGTCTTCAATTTTATCAAACAGAAGAAAAACGTCGCAATCATTTTGTATAGAATTTCGCCTGATAAATCAACGCGTTGCGATTGTAACATTTTACGAAAATCAAGCAACATACAATGGCACAACGAATTGAAATCGTTGATTTCCTTATCGTAGAAAAAAACATCGATGACCAACAGATAACGAGCAATAAAATCACGTAAACCGATTGTGTCACATTTCTCGTTGGATCCTTCGTTTTTTTCCAAATAGCTTGCATTGTTTTGAAATAAACACACGACACGGCTATCGCTCAATTCAAACGGTACAGGGCATGTCAACGAATACAAATAGTGATAAATCGAATCCAAATTGTATGTACTTCCAGCCAACAATGTTCCCAGTTGATTTTGTGCCATTCCCGTTTTTGGGTTTAGCTTGAATGCTTCGAAGTAATAGTTGGCAGCAAAATCCTGTAACAAAAAAAAATTGAAAGCTAATTTAATTTAAAAAGTAAAATAAAATAGTAGAGAAAATCACACTGAAAATGGTGGTAACTGACCTTGCTAATTTTCGGCATGGTAAAATCAAAATCGATAAAATATCGATGCAAATCACCCAATGAAATGAGTAATGCATGAATTGTTTCCATGGCATACTTGGTGACCTCATCTTGGGTTCGATTCTCATTGTGACAAATGCTATTTTGGCTGGCAACGGCTGTGTACAGGTTTTTTTCGCATGTATCCAGAAATGAAAAATCAACAACATCACGTAAATCCAAGCTAAATTTGCGCTCCAAATTTACGATGATTAGTTTAAAATGTGAAATACCCTCGATGATCAAATTGCTGATTTGCTCTTCCGCTTGTTTGCTGTTCGTCTGGTTTTTCTTCCACAAACGTTTGGCCAGCGAAATTAAATCATAATAACCTTTGAACCAAAGAATTTCACGACATTTTCGACCGATAACTTCGAATTCAGTTTGATAAATCAATGCTGTGCTCTGGTCAACGATTGAATTGCGCAGACTTTCAATGCGACCATCAAAAATGCCATCAATTGATTTAATTTTCTGCTTCTCTTGTTCGAACTGCTTCAGCAAATTATAGACACATCTAAAATGAAACGAAATTAAAGTGAAATTTTCAATTAGTATGCTGTTTGATGTGAAAAACAGACGTCGGCAATGGCCGTGCCAACAGATGCGTTGCAAAATGAGCAAGCACAATTTTATCAACACTTGTAAAGCGTCAACAAAAATAATCCAGATTTAACTGGTTGAATGAGGTTACCGCACGCAATAACCACAAAAATAAATTCTAAAACAAATAAAATCGTTTATGTTTTGACATCGGTTACGTGGAATTTGTAGAGCACCGGTTTATTTTTATGCAGTGCATATGTGAAGCTTCAATCTAAGTGGGCAAGAGACGTTCTTTCGCCCATTCTAACCAAATGACTCAATGCATATATTATGACTTTTCTCTTCATCGTTTTGGTTTGCATCGGATCTGTCGAAACTATTTTTTTGTCTGTCAAAAAAGTTGATAGATGTATATGTTTCCTATAATCATATGAAATGCGGATTTCTTTGCAGCGAAGCGGTTCTTTAAAATTGACCATTCGGACGATAAAATTTTGCACTCATTTTTAAATCACGTTTCAACGATATTCATTACAGTTAGAAAATGTATATGCAACAATCGCACATACGAAGGCATAAAAGTAACGACTTTTGCATAGGCTACTACCTATTTACTCTCGTGATATTTAACGATTCTATTTTTGATCGACCAATCAAATTTTTTTTTTCTATCGTTGTTTGATTTTCTACAAAAATACAATCCAATTTGTTGAGACAGCGAGAGAAAAAGAGATAGGAGCGACTAGAGCGTAGAGATAATGGTATGATGCAAAGACACGCTGCTGATAAATATATTTTCAAAAAAAAAATAATACGTGGTGGCATGCACGTCACAATCGTTGTAGGACGACAAAATAAAGTCATCGCTTTTAATTTGCAAAATATATTTAAAAAAAAATGTTATAAACAACCGAAAGAAACAAACGGAAGATTTTCGTCTAAACAAAAAATTTCAAAAAAAGAATAGCCAAATTTCAAATAGATGTGTATACTTACTTATATTGTTGTTTGATATCACGATCCAAAGGTTGTGCTGCCGCCGCAAATGGTTTGGATATCATAGATGTTGTTGTTGAATAATCCATCGTCATAATGATATTTGGTTTTGATTTGGTGTGTTCCGTTACTGATTGATTAAACTGTTGAAATGCATGAGATCCAAATGATGATCAAAAAACACAAGCTTTAAGCTGTTGGGATGGATATTCTCTGCGTGTCTATGCGATGATAAAATTGTAACATACAGCTGTTTTTGCTTTCCTCGAATTTTGCTTCAGGTTTTTGTTTCAGTGTTTCCCCCTTTCTCTCTCTCTCTCTCTTTCTCTTTGTAACGATCTCCTCTTAATTCTTCTTCTCTTTTTTTGCGCTTCGTTAAAGAGCCTTGAATTTCTTTAACATTGAAAGAAAAATACGGTTTTATGGTGTATTTTATTCCGTAAAAAATGGTGAACAACGTTTTTATGTATTATGGTCTGCGTTTGTTCAATGCATGGCCTATGTTGTAAGTTTCCGTCAAGATTTCGATACTAAAAGCACATTTTGCACGTTTCCATTAGTTATTTGTAAAAAAATTGCGTACATATTTATTTCATATTCCCAATTTGATGTCATTCCCGTACGATTTCGACTATTCTCTTCCGCACTTTGTTAATTACGTTGACGTGTTATTTTAATATTATTTATTTATTTATTTTACTTCTATCTTCTCGTCTTTTTTACTTTCGGTATATTTTCTGTTGAGGAAAATCGTTTCACACAAATTAAATCACAAATCGATTGAGTGACAAAGCAAAGTGATAAAAATAAAATGTTGATTAATTATTCACTTCGGTTCGTATGTGATTTCACACTTCCCATACGCACAACTTTGTGAACTTGCTTGCATCAGACAAGTAAATGACAGTACAAATCGTGTGTGCGATGAAAATGAAATAAAAATCCGCCACTGAGAACTGGCTTTTTCAGCGTGAAGCTATGCTCACATCGAGAATTTGCTAGACTCATTTGACATAATGATGCTGTGACTGGTCGTGTATGTGAGTTGACAGCACAACCAACTTCATGCTATACTTGAGACGATACACCGATAAATGAATAAATTAAAGAAATAACATTGAAATAAGCGATAAATTAAATTAAATTAAAACATTACAAAAATCACATTTCTCATCTGGATTTCAATTTAAATAAAAAACATTAAAAATTACTTTGAAATTGAAATTAATATTATTTTAGATCTACACTGGATTCTCATTTATTTTTGAAAAACCAGTGTTGCCAACGATTTGGCAAGCTTCCCTAAAAACAGAATCAGAAATAGTAAATAAATAATGAAAATCGAAGCATTTCTTTTGACAGTTTTATGTATTTTCACTTTGTACCATTGTTTTTTTTTTGTATTGGAGCGAAAGTATCCGATAAATTAAATTGAATAATATTATATTGCTTAGTGTCTATTGCACATTTTAAATATATTGATGTGAAACAAATCATTTTGAGTAAACGTTTGCCCAATAAATTTAAATGAAATGACTTCTGCATTGTATCTTGAACATTATTTAGATGGTATGGAATTTATTGTTGTCGCTGTGCACTGTAATTTGTGTGTTATTTTTATGTTGTTTGCTTTGTTTGTGAGATAGATGATGCATAATGTGAATGAAAACTGCAATAAAATTTCTAACCGCACCATTTGAAAATGATCAATTTCAATTTGTATTGTTATTTATTTGAAGGTTTGGAGCATCTGCCGAATGAATTACAGCGTAATTTTACTCTAATGAGAGAATTAGATTCGCGTGCACAAACTCTGATGAAGAGCATTGACGAAAAAGCCGATGAGTTTATGAAAACGCTGGTGAAAGACAAAGACTCCATACCAGAGGAGGCTCGCAAAGAAAAATTAAAAGCAATCCAAGACATGTTTAACAAAGCAAAGGAATACGGTGACGACAAGGTACAATTGGCTATTCAAACATATGAATTAGTGGACAAACATATTAGACGATTGGATTCGGATTTGGCGCGTTTCGAAGGTGAAATTCAAGATAAAACATTGACAGCTGCTAAGACAACAAAAACAGATGAATCAGCACCAAAACGTAAAATCCACCACCAAATTTTATCACTTTGTTCAATCATTGGTTTCTAACATAAAAAAAAATGTTCGTTTTTTAGGTGGCCGGAAACGTATTAAAGATATCAAAGTTCCAATGAATAAAAAGAAGCGTGCAGCGCCGAGTGCATTGTCATCGGAAGAGGAATCGCGAGCAGAAACCGTTAAAACGCCGAAGAGCACCAAAAAGCAGAAGGTATTTGTATTAATTGCTAATTAATTTTCATTATTTTCATTCGTTTCCTTTGTGGCTCTTCTATTTAAGGTAATTCAAGAAAAAGAGACTCGCAAAACTACAAAGGTAAATCATCCATTAATTTTACTCATTACTCACCATTTTATCAAAAAAATATGAAGATTTAACTTTTTTTCTACTTAATTTTATTGTATTTAGAACTATTTTTCAGTTTATTTGAGTTTATTGACGATTCATAGAACCTTAAGTACACTATTAAATATAGAAAGGATATATCATATAAAATTATTTGGAATATTTCAACAACAAAAAAACATCCAAAAGAATTAATTGTTGACGCTTCAATCTGATGGAATTAAATGATCCAGTGTGATTTTTATTATTGATCTATTCCAAAAAAGATTAATATGAAATACTTAAAAATATTGATTTCGTTCATTTCATAATCATATTTTTTCCATCAATTCATAATTTTGTTGTGACATTTCTGCTAACATTCTAAAACCAATGGTTACATAGCATGTAGTACATACCCAAAATTTCGTGACCTCATTTTTTTAATCAATGACCTTAACCATGTGTACAAACCAACATAGGTCAAGTCCATTATATTATTAATTTCCAGACAATATATTTGGATATTATCATCCAGAGCTCATCTGATTCAGGCACGGAAATGGAGCGAAAACAATAGAAGTCTTTTTATGAGTATAAAAACACTGCCATTGCGAAATCATTGCTATTGTTTTCACTCCATTTCAGCGTCTGACATCAGCCATATGAGCTGAAATATCTGGATATCAATAACCAAATATATTATCTGTTAATTTTCTCACATTCCATATGATCGTTAATATTCATTGCTTAACTCACGCATTTCCATCTCAAATGCTTGTCTATTCAAATGATGCTAATTTTCAATGTTTTGATTACATTTTTAAAATGAAGAAAACAACAGAGACAGAGGAACCGAAAACAGAGCCGACTGGACATACTACACCGCACCCGAGTGATGTTCTTGATATGCCGGTTGATCCAAATGAACCGACCTATTGTGTGTGCCAACAAGTATCTTACGGTGAAATGATTGGCTGCGATAATACAGATGTAACATAATTTCTCATTCGAATAACATTTTTCTTATTCATTAACCATGTATTTTCGTTTATTTTACAGTGTCCGATCGAATGGTTCCACTTTGCTTGCGTTGGATTAACTACAAAACCGAAGGGCAAATGGTTTTGTCCGAAATGTTCACAGGATCGCAAGAAGAAATAAACAATGAACACATCGATCCACAAATTAAATTTGATAATTTGTATTTTAATTTTATTTGCATCACACGGACAAACACACAAACATTTTCACACATACGATCACTCCTGTATACAGGCAAAAACTCTTCATACACATTTATGCATAGTTTGATGAAACAACATAATGTTCAACTGTATCTAAAATTATTTGTTTATATGCAGTTTGATTTCTTTTGTGAGCACCATGTTGAGCATTTAATAGAAAAGTTGCAAACCTCTTCTGTTTTTTTTTCAAGATTGAAGTCCATCTGAAGAGGCAGCTAAACGCTATTTACACTCTTCTTTCAATTTTATGTATGCTGTGGAGCAAAATACATGAATCGGACTCGATGCTTCACGTCGTCTTTTATTGATACGCTCAATGTACAAAATCGAAACAGAAATGCAGCTCAACAAAAGTTTATTTAAAAAAAAAACGGATTTTTTGCTTGGATATTGTGGTGGCTGCGCACATTCACCTTCAACTCGCTTTAAATCCTGTCGGAGTACATTTCTTTATGAAATAAAAAAAAAACAATGTTAACATTTTCACATATTTGAATACCAGTTACAAAGTAGCATTAGCGCTGCCGATTTACTATTATTTTTTTATTATGTATGTTTGTTCCTTTTGTTTGTTTATCGTTATTGAATCAACGATCAAAAGTGCTGAAAATTGAAAATAGTGAAACGATTTTCAATGTTCAAAATCCAATATTTGCCACGAGAAATGAAAAAAAGAGTAAAATATTGTATTAGCGTATTTTATACTTTAGTATGTAAGACAATAAATCTCTCCTAGCATTAGGATGCAAACAAATTCACCATTTTTTTTGGTGACCTGACGACCATCAACACGTAAACACACAGACACACATACTCAACAGATTTACACAAATACATACCAACATTAACGATTAAAACAGTTTTATGATTAATTTCGTAAATTTCTATTAAAAACTAATTATTTACACATATTCGATAATCCAATTTTTAATAAATTCCATAGATAATATAGAGGAAAATTGTTTTCTTGGATTTCTAGAACAAAAAATAAAACGGAACTTGTCTTATTATCAACCTACCACTACTGGAGCTCGTGTGTGCTGTAACAAGAAAACAAAATATAAAAACAAAAAAACCTGATTTCTGGTTAAGTTCTTCCTTTATTCCAAAAGAAATTTAGTCATAAACAATTAACAAGTAAAATGGTTGAATTAAAAATCTAAATAATGAATTGAAGCAATTTCAAATTTTGAAATGTATGCTCAAAATGTAATGTTACTTTTACAATATGATTCACTTAGTGCGATTTGAAGTAATGGATATTTTGTTTGCGTTAAAGCGGTTTTAATTGGGAAGAACGTATCTTGTTCGAAATATAACGTACACATTTGTGCACCACGTAATTTGCTACGTTCTTCATTTAATTTTTTCAGATCGATGTCGGTGTCCTTATTGCGAACAACCTGAAATATGATTCGTTTCAATTGCGGTGAATTCCGAATGAATGGAAAGACGGTATCAAATTTTTCGATGATTATCTGGATTTCTTCAAGATTTTGTAGTTTCCGTGACAATATTTCAGCGTATTCAATTTTTTTGATGGTATAAAAGTTCAAACTTTTCAATTGAGTAAATGTACCAATGGCTGCGGCCAATTCTTCGCTGTCAATTTCCTCTGAGCCCAAGTCCAATCCATGCAATGCCTTCAATGATTTCAGCTCTTTTGGAAAATCAACGCACACCGTTCCGTGCCACACTTTGATGTATAATCGTTTATAGTTGCCATTTGCATGAAGTGCATTGAACTGTGTGCATAAATCGTCGATTTTGTGTCTAATTGCACGATATGCTCGGCTCGAATAATACTTATCAAATGTTTTGGTCATTTGTGATGCCATTCTGTGTCCGCTCTCCTTTAATCCAAACAGTAGCTCATCCAGTTTGACATTGGCCAATTTAATAATTTCAGCAACGGCAAATGCATTCAAATCTTGCGATATGAATGTTTTGAGCGTTGTATTACGTTGCATGAATTTGATTAAATGATCATATATCTCCTTTCTGATGTAGTTCAATTCCAGCAACTCCAAATGTGGATATGTGTGCTGTAGCCATTGATGTTGGAGGCCACGCTTTTCCAAATCTTCAAATATAAAACCGCGCAAATGTAAGCGTTTCATATTTTTACAGTGTTGCAGTATGGTAAAATGGAGATTATTTTCAACCATACAATCGTCAAGTGTTAATACTTCGATATTTTTCAATATATCAATAATCCAGTTGATGTGCTCATCCAATAATTTTCGCGATGATATAGCCAATGATTGAAGTTGTTTGCTACAACGTTCGTATACACAACGATAGATATTCAAGTCTTCACCCGAAATGCGAACGTCTCGTAACAAATGACTGAATGTTCTCGACCATGTTAATTTTGGTATCAGTATAATGCCGTCGCCTAAATTCCATATGTTTATACAAGCAAATGGAAATTTTCGTGGGAAAAAGTCCATAATTAACATACGCAGACGTTTACACGTTCTACTCATTCTGGCCAAATCATCTAGAGGTAACCATTCTAGTATAGCTTCAATGCAATCATTATTTAAGATTAAAAACGTCATTACATTTTCGTCGAAAACTGATGTTGCTGCTGTCGACGTTGTCGCCGCTGCCGCCACCATCTTATCCGAATCCGTTCTCACTACAGTGAGTTTTCGTCTTTTAGTTTCACTCATTTTTCGTTCAGTATTTTGGTAATTTTTTTTATGTATAAATTGAAACTTCACGTTACATTAATTTTATCACAATGGTACACAACTTTTTAATATCGTTTTTTTTTTTACTTATGAAATTCTTTGAATTTATTTTTAAAAAATCGTCTTTCTTTTTTTTTCTCAATAAATTGGCAAAAAATTATCGAAATTTTATTTCAAAATAATACCATCAATAATTTATCATTATTGTCACACTATTTTTATTGCTATTTTAATGTAAGCTTGGGTTTTTTTTGGACACCACTTCATTTTGCTGCAAAATGCATTTCATTTGAAACCAATGTCTTTCTTTTGACAGCAAAATGAAGTGTGACTTCATTAAACCGCTTTTCGAAACATGAAACCTCGGTTGTTCATTTTTACGTATCAAATACTGAAATATCGATAGACTACTGACTCTCTTACTCTTTCACTTTTTCTACAGTCGGAGCGAGAAAAATGCTCAACTATTAGAGGAAATTGATAATTTGGCCGATTAAATTAAATACATACGCATCAAAATGTATTTTTATTGGAACCCATACGCATCACTTATCACAATTTTTTTTTGTATTGATGAGTACACAGTGAATTTCGTAACGTTCGTTTCAAATATGAACACAAACTTACGAATCACAAGTCGATATAACAGAATCACATGTACGTATCAAGTATTTTGGCATTTTGTATGTGTATGAACAACACAAAGAGTTTACTGACAGCTCATACACGACGACAACAACGATGATGATGACAACCAAAACTAACACAAGCACACACATTCATCTTCTATACACACAAACACATAATACCAATAAGAAATTTCAGCTGTGAGCTGGTGCAGTGCAGTGAAAAGGAAACAATACGCGACATATCGTCAACAAAACAACTATAAATTGCTAGCACATAGCAAAATTATAAATGAAAATAAAAACAATAATAAATTTGTAAACCATGAGACAAAGGTTGAAATAGCAGATAAATTATAAATAAAAGTGTTCATATGTGATGTCTTTGTTTAGTTGTTCTTGGTCAATCGTTGCATTCAAACGTGTATTCTTCTGCAATTAATGATTCACATCTTTATGGTGACTCAAACGAAGAAAAAGATAAAAAAGATAAATAAAAACAATAATAATTTTTTATTAATTGTGAATATTGTGCATTGTCTGATAAATTGAGAACAAACATTTTGATTGATGTTGATGGAATCGGTATCATTTTATCAATGTTATAATTTATTCGAAAGAAAATCACTGTAAATGTAAGTGCAATATTTATTTTTACCGAATTTTTGCAATTAAGAAACAAGTTATTGTGTAACATACATCATATGCAATTTGATGGGCCTATTTTCGTAACATTTTTTTTTGTCTCATTAGTGATTCACTGCAACTAACGATAATAATAAGTTTGTGTTTTCATTTAAACACGCCATCAATATACACTTGGAACCTTTGAATTTTGACCTCATTCGTTTATCGTCAATACGCTCACATACGCGTTTCTGTGGTTGTTCTTGTGCGTTCTAGTTGCGTTAGATTTCTTCTATTTCACGTGCTCTACATGAATTTTAAATAACAAGACCTTGCCAACAACACTGTACGAAGCAGCTGTATAAATTGAAGTACCCTTGTGCAAAACAAAGGTGTCTGAGTCCAATTTAGTTAATTAATATTTAGTGAGCGAATATAATTATTATTCTGAATTGTTCGTTCGAAATTTGTGCAAAGGAATAGGTAACTACGATGTAATATCAGACATTTGTCTAACTAAATTCACGATTTGTGTGCTGAAAAATCGACGTTAGCCAGAAGATTAATGAAAATATTTTCAGAAGGGTTCAGTTTGTTCAGTATTTTGCTATCGGTTTGAAGGCAAAAAAATAGACGAAAAAATCAAACATTACAGACGTTATAAAGATTTTATCATCATACGAAAAAGTCGAATTTTCGCCGTTTTCCTTCTTCGTACCTTCATTCGATACGGAAAAGTCAAAGTTCAACGATCAATAATAACTATACAAACCACTTGCAAGAAGATTAAAATGAACACGCTCACTTTTCATGCAATGCACCATTTAGCTAGCAAAGCATATTTTTGAAACAACATGAACTTTAGTTTTTGTTCTGGCGTCGTTGAGCAATCGTCGACAATTTGATATCTCGGTTAATAAATATCATATCCGCGATGAAATTCAATGAAAATTCTGATTTGACTGTTTCAGACCAAACCAAAGATGTGGGAATATTATGGCAAACCGGGAACTTCACCAATTGATTGGTGTGAAGGCAATTATCAAGTGAGCAGCAATATAGCAGAGTTCGTAAATACAGTGAGTACATAAATAGATTTGGATTTATTGTTATTAATATTTGTCACACAAAAGTCGAATAATTTCAGTAAACGATGAGTATTATTCGATTATTATTTTTGTTCTGTTCGTGCCGTTACTTGCAAATCATTATTTTCTTCGTACATCAGAATGTATTATAAAAAGAATAAATTAAATGAGTAATTTCACACAAAAAAAAAAGAGTCAACATGGACTTGTTTTACTTGATACGCAATTTGATTATAACGCTCGTTTGTAATCGTTGTAACCGTTTACCTGTTCGTGTCGAAAAAAGCTAAAATTAAGTACACGTTTTATTGAGAATAAAAATGAGAACGAAAATAACCAAGTTTGTATGTCAGAAAAAAGTAATAATCGTCGTTGATTATTAGCTGTAAAGGATTTTTCTATTGGTTCAAATATATTTACATCACTTTTGATCCACATCAAAATTTCAATAAACTCAACGAGTCACTGTAATTGTGATTATAGATAACATCGACAAAGACAGAAAAAAGCATTCGTTTATATTGTGCTTATCATCGTTTCATCGTACCGATTGTAATAAACAGAACTATTTACAATAATTAATGATTACAAATATTTTATGTTCGTTATTTTTCTATTTTTCGTTTTAGTTGAGCAATTTCTTGTTTTTGTTGTTGCCACCGATTTTGATACACTTGTTCAGAGATTATGGTCACTTTGTAAACCCTGGAATACATGTCATATGGGTTCTAATGATTGTTGTCGGGTTAAGTTCGGCATATTTTCATGCAACCCTCTCGCTCATCGGCCAATTACTTGATGAGCTGGCTATTTTGTGGGTGTGTGCGGCCGCATTTTCGATGTTTTTTCCAAAAAAATTCTTTCCTCGTTGTTTGAATGGAAACCGGTAATTTAGTAGAAAATTATAGATAATTCTGTTTTAAAATGTTATATTGATTGTTTCGTTCTCACCAATCAATTACCTATTTAATAATTTAGGAAAATATTCGGCACCGTGTTGGGAATATGCGCTGCAATTTGCACAGGACTTACGTTTTGGGAGCCAGCTGTCAATGCTTTTGCGCTTATGCTTCTCGTTATTCCAACATTTATAATATTGTGTTCAGCAATTAAAGAGTATGTATTCACAACGATTATAATTATACGGTCATTTGTTTCCATTGAAATTATTGATTATTATTCATTTCTATTTTCACAGGGAGCGTTCAATGCGAATCTACCGGTTAGGATTGCGTACAGCGCTCGTTATGACATTGGCCATTATATGCTGGTTACTTGATAAATTCTTCTGTGATACTGTGCTTGGTGAAAAATTCCCATATTTGCATGCAATGTGGCACATTTTAATTTTCATATCATCGTACACTGCTTGTGTTCTATTCGCATACTATGCGGTCAAAGAAGAATATGCGAATCGAATTGCTGATCTCCGTTACTGGCCTGTCAATGATTTTGAGCTTGGTATTCCATTTGTTTCCATCAAATGTTATTACAATGATGAAAAACGAAATATATAACTCGAAAATGCAACACACAGCGGTCAGCATGTGTGAAATACGACGAAATAGGACACCCGGATACATTTCAATGTACTCAATTTGATATACACACTGATTAGCAGAGTCATAGATTTTAAACGACGTTACAAAGACATACCAATTGATGATAAAGATTCACGAAGAACACATTTCAATTATAACTATAATCGTGACTTCGGTCCATTTTATCAACTATAACATATGTTATAGATTTTTATTGAGACACTTTAAGTTTTATTTTTTTTTTTATCCTGAAATTTTGTTTATTGTGAAAGATTACTAGACACTAGTATATTTTGTAAGCTATTATTTAGTGTAGTGTTACTATATCCCGTAATTATTCTTTTACTAATGGACAACTGACGATTTATCAATTTAAAAGTACCAGTATATATGTACTTAAATGATTTTCCATTTGATTTTCGCAGAAAAACCACATAAATATAAATATATATACCATAACACCGCATGCCGAACGATAATTGAAATCAGATTTACATAGTTTATACATTTTACGCTTCCATGATAGTGTTAAATAAATGATATTTGCATTAAACATGCATGCATCACAATACCACAAAACATTTGACTATATGCCATTAAATGATATGAGATATTGTTATTAAAACTTATAGTAGCCAAAATAGAAAATAATCCATTCGTCTTTTATTTGAATACAGTCGATTTTGAATTTTGGAAAGGAAAGATAGCTTCTTCTAATCACCTTGGAAATAATGACATCCGGGCAGCATAGTAAACATAAATTACTATGTTTATGATAGTTCCTTTGGCAATTTGATCAATTACCACGGGTAAAATAACGGTATTGTTTTTCCAAGTTTTCACAATGATAAGTAAAGTTCGATAATCACTGAGCCGCTCCGGTTGAAATCAAGCAGACTTTTAGACAAACCTATTCACTTCATAGAAGTATTTCGATTATTTAGTAAACTCGCTATTCGTTAAATTAATCTGCTAATTGTTTCAAACTTACTTGCTTCGAATCAATAAAAAAATTGTGATAAAATTAATGTAACGTGAAGTTTCAATTTATAGTATTTTGTGAATTTCACATGGTGTTCTTATCATCATTTTAAACCATCAAGTCATTGCACTCTTTATTGTACGTTACTCGCTGAAAGTGATATGAATTTAGTTGCGCTATGATGGGACAGATGGCGTTTTTTCAAAAAGCACATCAAATTGTTTTGGTTGCTACAAGTCAAAATACATATCATATGTAACAGATGCATTCAAATATGAGCAAATGCAACGAATAAGTTGCTTTGAACAGATTAAGTCGTTTTTTTAGATCTACAAGTGTAAATGTCATTGAGACAAAAAATTAAGGTGAGTAATGGTAAGTAATAAAAAATGAACACGAAAGAGAATTTCTTTAACTATTTAAAATAAAACTTCGAAGATACATCAAATGGAATTGGATGGTCGAAGAGAAAAGTGACAAAGAACATTGAAACTTTGATCACAGAGTGATTGTTTGGGTAAATAAAAAAAGAAGCAAATGAATCAAAGCATCCTAATTTAATTTTTACTTGCTTTGGGTCAATTTCTCAATAAATTTATTTACAGCGATCAAACAATGTCAGAGCTCAGTTTGACGCTGATTCTTTTGCGAGTCATTTCCAAACATTCTGACTCGTTGCAAACGAAATTTTATTTGTGCCACAAAGAGTTTTAATATTTCCTTATGACTTGATTTATGCGGTGTACCCGTCTGAAGCAATAAAAAAGTGTTATAAAGCACTCGTGCGACATTCAGTGAATTGGCGCATCAAAACAAACCACCATTCGTTTTTCGCATTTTACGATGCATTGCCGTGCATACCATAAACTAACTGTTGGTTATATGTACTCTTGCATAGCCGTCAATTTGTGGATTTCATTTCAAGTTTTTTTACATTCACATCGCAAATATTTACAGTTGTGAAGAAGAGTTAAAGTAGAGTGTGGTTGAGGTGAGTTTATCATTGGTTTAACTTTTCGGTTTGAGATTGTAGTCGCTTCTGTGTTGCTCTTTTTGGGGTGGAAAGAATTAAAAAGAATATACCAAATATCAACTTTGTTGTCAAACTTTCAACTTTGAACTTTGACACACACTCACATACACACAATTTTGGACAATCGATCCTTGGCTCAGCAATTGCCGTCGGTGGTACTCCCACCGGAGGGCAAAAGCAAAACTGTTGAGCAATGTGATAAATTGCCAAACAAATAGACAACAGGAAAGAATAAAAAAATACCGACTATGTTGGTGCATCGAATCCGGAACATTGTTATTCGAATTTTTCCGTAGAGAATACAAAAATGGGTCAATAATTTAGCAAAAAAAAACAAACTCATTTTATCAACTCAAACTTCACACGCACTTGCGATGCGTGTCATTGACAATAGAATTCATAAAATATGTCCACGTGTTGATATCATCTTTATTTAGCTGTGCGCATATAATGAAACCACTTTCTATGTGCTATATCGTGTAACTCGAACCAAAATGGCAAAATGTTTGAAAAATATTTATTATAGAAACATTTGAGAAAGAATACTCGATAGAGAGCCAAAAAATAACATCGAAAACTACTTGAATTTACAATTCACCGAAAATTCGTTGGATTCATTTTTTACTGCTTTTTGTTCAGTCATCAATAAATGCCAGTTTTCATGGAACTGGTTTCTATACCGAAAAATTTGCTTTCTCGTCCAAACCAAACTATGAGCGAAAGATGCGAAACAAAAAAAAGAACGGAAAAAATCACTTCTAACCGGCTCTTTTTTTATTAAAATTGTATAAAATATTCTGTAAGCAAAACTCGAAAGCTGTACACAATAGCGGTTATTTTATAGATTTTTCTTCGGTATATCACTTCTGTGAACTAGCGTCTGGCCAAGCAAGTCGGTTTTTACAAAAAAAAATGAAGATTTTTTTGTGTTGCTTTGTTGAACCTTTGTTTTTGGCACTATTGCTTCATTCGTACGTTCGTTATGTTTTTGCTTTTTATGTGCACTTTTTGCCCGAAATTGTGTTTATGTCTTTTGCCTTCGACTGATGTTAAAGCTCGTCTGTCGGTGGATTCTCTTTAAAACAATATTTCGTTTATGCGACGTAGAGAAGTGACATAACGACTGTTTGTGTAGCCGCTTTCTTGTTGTATCACACGAAAAGCGCAATGTTGACACATACTGTGTGATTGAAAATCCATTGTTTATGGGGTTAATTGATGTATTTGAAATGTTGCCTAAACGTCTACGCCACAAACAAATCTAAAGTTATTATTTACGCGAATGTGTCGGCAGACCCGGGTATCGTTTTCAGAACTGAACTGAATTATATCAATCAATATGAATAAGTGTCTTTCAAATTGAAAATTTCAATAAGGTACTCCGAAGTTCATACTTCATCCTAGGTAAAGGAGTCCAAGATACAAACGGAAAACGGAAATGTTCATGTTTTTGTGTGTCCGTTCGTACGTTTAGTGGTTTTAAAATGACGAACATTTCGCAAAGTGTGCTTAAAGGTAGGATGAATGGATACAGAGTTTTGTACGTCTCATTAAATGCAACGAAACGAAATTTGCTCATTGTCATTGTCTCGTTTTTAACAACCACTGTTGATGGTCGTTTCGGTATTAATTTGTGAAAAATGTTGTGTGTATTGCTGATTTGTTAAAAGTGAATTTTATGATTTCAAACTTTTTCGCCATACAATGAGGCTATGTGGTCCGCCTGATGATGAACAATACGGCACATAAAATGTATATGCTTGATGTTGGATAATGAATGCGATTGCTTAACTAAATACACACAAGCGTAAAAATTTCATACCCAAAACCCACAAGCGATCCCAAACATAAAACGACAACAAACGTTTCGGTTAGTCGACCACATCAAGCGGTGTATCTGTATGTAATAACGGGGTAAATACTTACCTCGAAACAGTCTCGCCACCATCGATGTTTGATGTTTGTCGATCCGTTTCAGTTTTCATACCAATGATCTAACTAACGCTGTACGCAAACAATTTGTATTTGATATCGTTCAAACCGTTTCACAAATGATGATGATGAACAAAGTTAAATTATAGTGTTTTGGATCCTTTTCAAACAAGACGAAAAAATTAGAAAAATCTAACATTTGTGCGGCGAAAAAGAGTAGCCAAAAATTAATATCGTCGATGGAAAAATCGTATTTTAACACAATTAAAACCCGGTCAAAACATCATTTTTTGTTAGCGGTTGCCTTTCACCCTTCATCAAATTATAATTGTACGCAGACATGATGCTTTTATCCGGGTGCGAAATTCCTACCTTGTGGTAGTATTGAAAAGAGCAGGTAACATTGTTTTTCGAAATATTCCAATCAAACCAGAGTATATTTAAAGCTTTTTTCTCACTTTTTCTGAGCCATACTTCATTGTGATTTTATCGTTTGTTCTGGGTGAGCGAACTGCGATAACAATAACATTTATAATCTCTAACACACACACGGTTGGCGCACATCAAAAATAACTGATAAGAGGAAATATTTCAAGCGTGCGCGGGTTGCTCTTTATGCCATAGCTATGTTAACGATGTTTGCATTCGTAAAATGTAAAAACAAAAATAATTACGGCCCAAGACACACGCTCGATGAGCATATGTTGTACTGCATTGTATGTTTAGAGCGTAAGGTTTTTTGTTCGTTCGTGTAAGTACTCGAATGAAATCATTTTAATTCTGCATAACTGAATATCAACCCACGTAACGAATATAAATTGCATAATGATTGTTTGTCCGTTTTAAAATTCAACGGTTTATCGATGGCGTTGAATGTTACCCAAAACAATTTGCTAATTTGGAGTGGGTGCTATTTGCTATTTGCGGTGTTACGCTAACGATTCACATTTGAAAAAAACTTTTGCAAAAAAAGAAAGAGCACAAAGCTTCAATTTCATTGTTTAAAAAAAGGAATGAGTCATGAATACGAGCTGAGCAAATGGAATGTAATCTGTTTCTTGAAAGATAATTTGAAAAGCACCCGAACCACACTGAGTGAACGTCGAATACAGTAAAGGTGTTACATTGTTGACTAGATTTACGATGCACATCGAATGGAATTTCGGCAGGCTTGTAATTGGGTGTGTTTTTTCTACTGGTGTTCATGCTCCGTTATTCTTTGATTTTCCGTTTTTTTTTTCGCACACCAAAAGCAAATTTATAAAGTAATCAGAGTGCCAAAGTGTATCATATGATAACATCTATTTTGATATTTTCACATTGTTGTTTATTATTAGCATGTTTACTGAAATGCCATTCATGCTTACATTGCTTGTCTGCTCTAATATACAAGAAAGTAAATCGAAAACAGCGGAAGAACAATAATCTTATTAAATATACTCAATTTCACATATATGAGCTTTGACGCTACGCTATACTCTATTTTGCCGCATTGAGCTGACATGTTATGTTTTAATGGCGCAATACTTTGGCGGCATTGGATTTGCATTACACAAACACACACACACACATAGGGTAGATTTCATGTGCAACATTTTAATGCGAATAATAATAAGAACTTGTGTTTCCAGCATATTTTTCGATTCTTCTTTTGCGTTATTTGTTGCCTTTCTGTTCGTTTCTTTTTCGTTTCTTCAGAAAAGG